CTTTGCTTTGTAAAGCTTTGTTATCTGTCAACACAGCTCACCTGCCACGATTTGGTGCATGGATCCTTGGTTCATCATTGAAAAATTGTTATGGTGCTTTGTTGTGACGTGCGTCTGTCTAGAAGTAACCCATTGAAGTATGCAATATGTGCACAACAATTTTAGAATATTTATTATGGCTTCATCGACTTGATTAAGACACAAGACGTGCAAAGCTTGGTTCAAACAACTGACCAATCTATTATGTCAACCCTCATGCCTTTGCTTCAAATTTCGAGTACGCGACGCAGTTCAAGAATCTAAATGAGCTGGTTTCAAATCCATACTTTACAGTTTCTGTAAAAGCGTTTTATCACGCAGCATAACCGTATGGGGACAAAGGAAAAACAAGTGGGGCTATCGTGAATAATTCGAAAGACACCTCGCTACAATTTTTGCTGTGCTCTACAAACATTCATGATCACTGATAAAAAAGGAAGTCCTTGGGTTGGTTGCTGTAGCAAAGACAAATTTGACGATCCTCCAAACGAATACTAGCGAAAGGTTGAACGCACACAACTGCTCTGCATGCTTGTATTTGCAGTCGTGCGGTGGTGCCTCACACAAACAAATTCTAACAGCACCGTTGCACGGTGATACTGGTCATTTTTATTAGGCCACCGACACAAAAGAATCATTTGACTTGCACAAACCGGCATCTTAATCGAGCGCGTCGACAGAGCTCCTCTAATTTTTAGAATCTGACTTTGATTTGCAAGATGAATTTACAGTCTAAAACGCCAAGAATCCGGCTGCCTGCGCCCGTCATAGACTGGTGAAGCCTAAGCACATGGAGTGACAGGACGAACACATGACTTTAACCGACGCTTGTACTCCCTAACAGCCGAGTCTTACTCTGGAGTTGATCGTGGTACACAGCTTTTTGCTTCTATACCCTCACCTCAGTATGCGCTCGAAGCAGCTATCTGACTATCAATTGCGAGGCCGACATAGTTCAGGCAATCTTTGGGTGAGCTCCTGACGCACCCTAAATGATGGAGCAGAACTGGTGTATTGGTACAAACAGCTGCTCGGCACTTCCTGCAAATCAAATCAGATTCTAACAAATGGAGAAGCCTCTGTTCAGGTTCTTCTTTGAGGTGACGCTTACAAATCACACGTGTCACCGTGTATGGTCAAAGAGGTATCGTGAAGCTCAATACTGATGTTAACTCATCTTCAGCCATGATAGCTCACGGAGATGAACCAGATACCTCCAGTGTATCCTTGGCTACTCCAATGACGTAGCAGGCCCAATCGGAGCCCCCCAGCTCGCCCGAGTGACCTCATTTTTCGTTTCTTCGTCGAGTGTGCAAGTAAGCTTCCACCTTTACAATGGTCTACCAATCGTCGTTCACTTATACGCCAAGGAGGGCAAGGAAGTTGAAGAGAAAATGTGCAACAAGCTGATTGAAGCCTCGCAGGTGTACTCCAAGGACATTGAGACCATCGATTGGCACGTCATGCAGGACCACGAGGACCCACGAAAGTGGTGCATTGTCGAGCGTTACGAGAATGAGAGCAGCCAGAAGTACCACCTGGGCAACCCCTACTGGAAGACATTTGACCCGTACATCATGCCGCTGCTGGACAAGCCGATGGACTTGCGACGTTTCAACGAGTTAGATAAAAGCAAGCCTGTGCATGTCGAGTAAAGAGGTCCAAGACGATTGTCATGGGATGCGCAGCGGTTTGTCATTGAAGCGGATGCCGAGCCACACCATACCGGTGAGCCTTGGGTTCATGGGTATCAACGGTCAATCGACCAATTGTGAGCAGCCATTGGGGTCTTGGAGTGAATGTAGTCTCTTTGCTTTTCGTACGTATGATGACAAGAACTATCACGAGCAGGTATTCATACAGAAAACTTAAATACATGTAACAGGCAGTGCATTTTGTTGCATCGTATGAGCTAGAAAACACAAGCATTCGGACTCGGTATCATGGCATCGCATACCTATAAGTACCTTGACCAAATTTTTAGATGAAGTGGCCAAATGCTGATTGAAAAAGTGTCAGAACATCAAAAGCAAGGCAAACGCCGTCAGTGATGCAGACATGTAACCGTTGATCGAGGACTTCTTGTCACGTTGTAGCATAATCTGGTCAGCACCACTTCAAGGGGCATTCTTCCACGTGTCCCTCATGTACGCTGAACAGTGTAGCTTCTCTCGCTTGGCTTCTCCCGTAGGTCGGAGAAGACGGCGATAGCCATCTACTTACTCATAAACGTTGCACCCTGACGCAAGGAATGCACTTTCAAGCTGTTTATCTCGTATCGTCCTAATGCAATAAACTCGTAGCTCGCTCGGATGGCATAAAGAAGTATTCGACAGGTTTCACGTTTGTTTGTATCCTCAACTTCGGTCGGAATTGCACTATGTCATATATCCCTTTGGCAACTAGCTTGACAACTGTCTATCGTTCACTCGGAATGATTGCAGTCCTGACATGTATCGATAAAAACAAACGCCAAATTTACCTGACGAATTACTCTCAGATGAATCTTCGAATTACCATTGTACAAATAGCCTCGTCCCTCAAGAGACGGCCTGTTTGATCGTGCTAGTCTGCTAAGTTATGTTTGTGCTACCCGCATGAGCTCAAGATGCGTCCACGGCGGGTTTTACGGACACACGTGATGAAATGCATATCTTAGTTCTTCGTTTATAAAGTTTAGCGTAGTTGCAACGAGGTTCCACACAGGTGCGCACCAGCCACACCATTTTGGCGTGGCTGTACGCTGGGAGACATTAATGGGTTGCTGTGACCGTACTGATCCAGAAACGTCAAAAGAGCTTGTTAGTCTCTTACTGAAGGTTTCTACCAGCAAATATTTACTGTATGTTGCTGCTCCTAGTGATGAAGGATACCTTAGTGACAAAAGAAATGTCACTTCGCGCCATTGTCGACTATGGCTTTGGCTTGGAGTCAGATGGCCATTTGATGAACGATTTGAAGCGCTCGCAAGCGTTTGATTGTTCTCAGATGGAGTGCGATGGTCTCACTTGTCTATCCGTTGCTAGTACCAATACACAAGAAAACATTGTGAGACAGCCACACTGTGAAGCAAGCTGCCGGCTGCTGTGCAGATGCACAGGCAGCGCAGAAGGCCCACCACTCGAATAAGCTGAGTGGATCGGGGCATGGATGCTTGTCTGGATTGCGGGCATCCACAGGGAAGATATGGCTTGCCCGGAAGCGGCAACACGGCAATCATAGATCGGCTGAGAGTCGATTGTAAAGGATCTCGTTGTGGCTGAGAAACCACAGTTAAAGGACGTTTAGGGAATAAGTACCCATGCTCTTGAGGGGGTAACTCTGCAGAAAACAAACCATGAGGAAGCAAGTTCTCAGGAGCTTACCTTGACGAACGTCTTGTGTAATAGCGGATCAGGTGTAGGTGCTGATACACTTGATGTGATGTCGCTTTCGGATCTGACTCCGGATATCACTCAATTGCCAACGCTAGAACCTAAACGGTTTTTGCGCCATTTGCGTAGCGGCAAAGTCAAGAAGATCTGCTTACTCATTACGGAGGACGAGTACGTTGCCAATATGCGATCTGAAATAGTATTTGCTGAGAACAAACGGATTCTCAGCAGCTCATCGATAGACGTAAGTATCCTCAAAGATTCCGATTGAACAATTCGAGTCTCAACCCTTACGTCATTGAAGATGAATCCTTTGTATAAGGATTTGATCGAATTTACGGATGTGTCCCCTGAATCCGTACTATGTGGGCTGCTTAAGGCTAAAGGCACTCGACACGAGATCGATCTGTTTCCAGCACAAACTATTCTGTGCCCACTGCCTCGTGCACAGGTCGAGGGATAGACAAGTTCGGTACCGATCGCCTTGCTGTGGGCTATGTGAAGGAGTCAACGTACCGACATGGATCTCCGGCCTACCGTGATCGAAAAGCCAGACGAGGGTAGCGGATAGAGCACACGTTCAACAAGTGAACAAAACAACTGTAGCCGAGCTACTGTAGCTACGCTACTTATGCACTATGTGCAGAAGAAGTAGTCAGACTACTGTAGTAAAGCTACGTATGGCAGAGGAAGACAAGCTCAGAGAGCTTCTACGTCTTAGGGTGCTAGTATCAAAGCTACTTAATTCCTCAGGAGGAATAACACGCTCAAGCAGTGAAGCTTGTAGAGCAGGTTTAAAACTGATTTGTATTTATGTTTATCTTCTAACACTAAATATAGAAGCATCTATCCTATACTTAGTGCTAGTCACTATTACTGGCTCTTCAGCCTGTTATTATTATGCAAACATGCATAGTCACTATACTCTAACTAAGTATAGTGACTTTGTGGCTCTCTGCCACGATGCGACCCTTCGTACTTCAGGTACGGTCACATCACCTACTCTTGTACCCAAGTACAGCCACACCACATTGTTTTGGCAGGTGTGTATGTAAAATACACACCTTCGTGTGCGTAACCCCGTTACACCCTCCCCCCACCAATCCGTGGGACCCGACGTACCCTCGAATTTTGGCACTTAATTGGAGGCATCGATTTCATTTTATTCTCATTTTTGCTTGCCTCGCAATAAGTGCTTGCACTCGCGAACAAAGCTTCTGTGTTTTTAACACTTGCTCTTTGAGCACCCGCGTATTGTACACACGCGTTATAAGCATCCTGGTGTTACGACACTCGCTCTTTGAGCATATAGTGCATCGCACTCACGCTAAAGCATTTAGTGTTACGACACTTGCTAATAAGCGTTAAGTGCCAAGCACTTGGTATTATTATTACCTTTTGTGTGTTCATGAACACTTGCTTTAACAGCAAGGTGCCTAGCACTTGCTTTAAGCAATACAGTGTTCGCAACACTTGCTTTTAAGCAATACGGTGTTCACAACACTTGATTCTAAGCAATACAGTGTTCACAACGCTTGCTTTTAAGATACAGTGTTCACAACACTTGCTTTAAGCATTTGAGCATATAAGTGTCTAACACTAGCTTATAAAGCACCTAAGTGTTCAGCACTTGCTCATAATGCACATTAGTGTCGAACACTAGCTACAATGCATATTAGTGTCTAACACTAGCTTATAAAGCACCTAAGTGTTCGGCACTTGCTTATAATGCACATTAGTGTCGAACACTAGCTACAATGCATATTAGTGTCTAACACTAGCTTATAAAGCACCTAAGTGTTCGGCACTTGCTTATAATGCACATTAGTGTCGAACACTAGCTACAATGCATATTAGTGTCTAACACTAGCTTATAAAGCACCTAAGTGTTCGGCACTTGCTTATAATGCACATTAGTGTCGAACACTAGCTACAATGCATATTAGTGTCTAACACTAGCTTATAAAGCACCTAAGTGTTCAACACTTGCTTTTAACGCACCTTTTGCTTTACTTTAGCGTATAAGCACCATAGCATCTAACAGTAGCTTATAAAGCACCATAGTGTATAACACTAGCTTATAAAGCACCATAGTGTATAACACTAGCTTATCAAGCACCTAAGTGTACAACACTTGCTTATCAAGCACATTTTCGCTATCCACTTGCTTTAAAGCACCTTCGTGTTCAGCACTTGCTTATAAAGCACCTAAATGTTTAACACGTTCTTGTAACGCACCTTAGTGTTGAAAAATTCATTTTGAAAAGCCTTAAGTGCTTAAAGTACTTGCTTGTATAATCCTAAAACGTTGTACACTTCTGATAAAGCTTCATAGTGTTTCACACTTGCTTATATAAAGCCCCACAGTGTTACTTTGCTTTTAGAACACAACATCGTTTACCACTTGCTTATGCAAAGCCCCAAAGCGTCGTAAACTTGCTTCTAAAGCAGACATTAGTACTTTTCACGCGAGTGAGGTACCAGCAACTGCTTCCCAAGAAGGTCAGAGGTGAAGCCTAACTACTGACCTTGCTTTCACAGCACTTAGTGCTAGGAAGCATCCGGCAACTGCTGTCGCCGCTTCTGATCTTCCCGATCAATAGCTTCAACGACGTCGGGGCAGTCTTGCCGTAGGGGTACCTCGTACTCCCATGAGTCATACGACTGAGGGTACCCCCTCTATTTTACAAGATACTGGGTGTGGCCCTGATGAAGACGTCGCGCCAATAGACGCTCGACGTGAAACTGTTGATGACTCGGCTCATCAGTCAGCGTTGGCGGGGTCGGTGACCCATCGATCCATGATCTTTTGGTACGCCTTCAGCGTCCATATGCACCTCCGGTTCCGTAATATCCGCCTCCTTCGGCCGGGGGTAAGGGGACAACCCCTCGAATTCCACCGAGGCTGGGTTGCGATATGGCTTTAGCAAGCTTAAGTCGAACACAGGATGTGTTCTTATCTTCTTCAGAAGGATCAGCGTATAGGCTAAACCTTTCTTGCTTATAACCTTGAAAAGTCCAATAAGCGTGGACGCAGTTTGATTTTATATGCCGCAGACAATGCACGTGTCGGTAAATTCCTAGCGTTTATATGAAACTAAATCTTCCACTTTGAACTCATGTTCGTTTTTCGTGCCTTTGACATCTGCATGTTCCTTATGAACATCCTGGCTTTCAGCCATGGCGTCTTTGACGCGACGTAATACGTCAAAACGCGTTGACAAAAATGCTTCCACCTTTTTGCGCATCGCAACAAGGCTGATATCAGCCAAGCCTTCGGCTATCTCTCCCCCACTAAGCCCTGATGTGGCAGTTGGTAGCGTTAACGTCAAGCGAGGTTTGACTAAACCATTCACATACAATGGGGTGAAGCCTGTCGAGGCATGCACGGCGTTGTTAAACGCAAACTCTACCAGAGGGAGCATCGTGCTCCATTGCTTGGGTGTTTCAGCACAAAAACTGCGAAGCATTTCACCAATAACGCGATTGACGCGTTCAGTCTGACCATCGGTCTGTGGATGATCCGCCGTGGACATGTCCAGTCGAGTGCCCAGCACTTTAAAGACGAAAGTCCAAAACTTACCCGTAAAACGGGTCTCTATCCGAGACGATTACCACAGGCAATACGTGTTGTCGAAACACACGATCCATGAACAGCTTTGCTGTTCCTTCTCCGTCGATGGAGTCCGGCACTGCCGCTAAGTGAGCCGTCTTGCTCTGTCGGTCATCAAAGACCACAATCCCAGTGTTGCCTGCCGCATCACGCGGTAGGCCAAACACAACGTCCATACTAATGTACTGCCACAATCCCGGGGGTACAGGCAAACTCGCCAAAGGCGCAGCCATACTAGGCGAGAGCTTCACCCTTTGACACGTTTCACACGTGCGTACGTAGTTGTCAGCCAATTTGTACAACTTGGGCCACCAATAATGCGTTCTCACCGAGCTTTAGGTCTTCTCACGACCTAAATGACCACCAAGTGGTGTATCATGAGCCTCGTAAAGTATTTGATACTTGAGGTCCTCATCATGAGGCACCACAACACGAGGTTGGGCATCCGACCCTGTACGATAGTACAACAGACCAACGGTTAGTGCATATCAATGTAATCTTGCACGATTACGTGGTGACAGCTTTACCTGAGTATTTCTAAACTCTGCGCTACCCAGCGCCTGCAGAATGGCAACACATGCCTCATCGCGTGCATACTCCAGATGGATACGATTCGTTACTGACGAACTCACATCAGTGAGATGAGCAAGCTCATAGTCAGGTCTACGCGATAACGCGTCAGCCAAAACATTCTGTTTACCCGGCTTATAATTCACCTCGAAGTTATGCTCCGCGAAAAAGGAGAGACATCAAGCCATTTTCTGCAAGAGATGAGGCGACTGTGTCGCTGTGCGTAATGACGCATGATCGGTATAGATCACAAACGGCGTTGAGCCCAACAGGTGTACCCTGAAGTTAACAAGGGCATACTTCATCGCAAGTAGCTCCTTATCATGAACTGGATAGTTCTTCTCTGCAGCTTTCAGCTGGCGAGACTCAATCGCGATGACGCGTTCTCGACCCTCAGAGTCGACTAGCAAAAGTGCACTGCCAATGGAAAAGTCCAAAGCGTCACATACGACGCTAAACGGGCGATCAGGATCAGGTAGATCCAGAATTGGCGCTTGAAGGGACTTTCCTTAATGGCTTCAAAAGCCTCGTGGTGCTCGGTGTTCCAACACCATTCCACATCCTATTAAGTAGATTTGAAGTGGACTAGCCACTTCCGCATAGTTGTGGCTATACTTGTGCAAGTAATCTGCCAAACCCAACCACTTACGAAGGTCCTTTTGGTTTCTCGGAACCGTCCAATCCACTATGGATTTGACCTTAACAGGTTCTGCCCGGATTCCTCGTTTCCCAATGAAGCATTCCAAAATGGGAATCTCTTCTGCGCTGAAGATGCATTTGTCAACATTGGCATACAACTTATGCATCCTCATGCAGCCGAGAACAGCTCGCAGGTTCTCGATGTGATTCTCCACATCAGTCTTGCCATTTTAGGCCCGAATATGAACGAATATATCGTCAAAGTATGTCTGTGCATACGCCCTATGGGGCCGAAACAACTGCGTCACTAGACGATTGAGCTTTGCAGGTGCGTTATACAGCCTTTGGGGCATCACTAACCACTCCCAGAGCATACCGCTCGGAGTGCTGACCGCTGTCAGCGAGATATCACTAGCTTGCATGAGCAGTTAGTAATATTCGTCGACTAATTCGAGGGCACTGTGCATTGTACATCCCACCATGTTGTTTTGAAAGAACATTCGTGCGAGGAATCGGTTGTTGGGCCAAGATAGTGGCTGCATTTAGCTTATTGTAAGCATGCACTATTCGCCACTTCCCATTAGGCTTTTTCACACAAAGTGTGTGCGTAGAGTGAGGAGGCTTACTCTCGCGCACCATGCCAGCCGCGTGCTTTGCACGAAAGAACTCGTCAATGACGTCACATTGTTCTCGTGGCAGCGGCCACTGTAGCGTCACACCGTATTTGGTTCCTGGAACCAAGTCAATCACATGACGTACACCTCTATCCGAAGGTAACCTCGTAGGAGGTTCTCTGGAGACAACATCTCCATATTCCTTCAACAAAGGAAAATAAGGATTCAAAGGGTCCTTTAGGATCTGTGATCCACTATTCGCATTCAGCGCTTTCTTTGTATCTTCAAAAACTACTTTATCGAAAAGCGATGAGGGGTTAACTTCTCTTCAGGTCGTATAATGACCACTTCGGCGATGTCGCCTGCATGTAAGGCAATGGCAAACTCGGCAAAGGTCAACTCGTCCAGCTCTAACAAAGCACTTACTGCGGATATTGCTGAAAGAGCCACCGGCTCTTCAACATCCCCAATCAAACCATTGACGAGTGTATATAGCTGATCGCTATCACCGTCACTCACGATATCATCATCGCTACTCATGATTCTCTCAGCATCCGACGCATCAGCGTCCACAGGTGTACACACCTCAAGGTCAAAGACCACTTCATTTACTGACTGCACCCCACCCTCTTGGGTCAATGCCTCGTCATGAGGTGCTCGCATCTCGTTGTTCTCAAAGACAACCGTCATTTTTGACTTCACCCGACCCTCTTGGGCCAGTACCTCGTCACTAGGTGCTTGCACCTTGCCGTCCTCAAAGATAACATCCATTGATGACTTCACCCGACCTCTTGGGCCAGTACCTCGTCTTTAGGTGCATGACTTTCGTTGTTTTCAAAGACAACATCCATTTGTGACTTCACCCGGCCCTCCAGGGTCAGTTCCTCGTCACTCATGTCACTTGAATCATGTCCTGACATCTTGGCTTGCAGCCATCAACACCACTCACGGTGTTTAATGATGCAACATCATTCTCATGACACATGTCATATGTACCATCTAGTGGGTTCTCAACCACAGTCATTGGGCCTCGCCCAGGACTATTGGACTTGACACTTACAGTGTCTACAAAGTTGGATATTCCGACATTCAACATATTGACCGACTCGGTCCAATATCCGCGCCAAAAGCGCTCTTGCTTCCTAGCAGAGGTAGGTTCATGATTCTCCAGAGCCTCACCAGGAGCATTGCGCGTTGCGCCTAAGGTCTTCGACCTCAAATAAATCCATGGCTCATGACGTTCTAGCCATGCCATGCCTAGGATCAGGTCATACCTTGTATCCAGGTCTAAGACCAAACAGCGTTCCATGCTGTTAAAATCCAAGAACTTTACATTTAAGTCCATCGATACTTCGGGTACCGTAACACGCGTATCAGTCGCTAAGCGAATGGTGACTGTGTCACTTTCACGCGCTACAAGCGCTTCAGCATACTGCTGACTATCTTCCACGGTGGCACGGCGCATATAACTGCCCAATGCCCCCGAATCGATCAAAATGATCCATGGCTTATCATAGCCCTTAATCGTCCCTTCAACAACTAGCAAGCCTGGCTTGCATTCTCGTTCCGTTTTTGAAAGTTTGGATCTCTTTAGGGCTGGGCCCTGTTTACTTCTACCTCCTAGAGCTTTAACAAATTCAGTTCTTCCCCAGTAGGGCGCCCCGCGCCTACTGAGTTCGGCCGTTCCCCGCGGCAAACCAGGTTTACCCATGGGGCGTCGGCCTTTCGAGGCCAAATATGCCTTTCTTGCAGGACATTTTGCCATCAAATGGCCTGTGCTTTTGCAGATATAACATTTGCGCACAATTTTCTGCTCCACAGCTTGAAGCTCAGCTTCTTCATTCTCCACTTGGCTACAGTACATGGGTACAGACCCATTAGACGAATAGTTATAAGTGGCAGGCCTAGCGGCCTTAAAGTTGGTCTCGGCATTCCATGCCACTCCAATGGCTTCCTCGAATGAGGACGGGTTTACCCGGAAAACTTCCGTTTTGGCAACGCCAACTCGGAGGTCCTTCATGAAGACCGTGACGGTCACTGACTCAGGCATAGGGTCTATGACCATGGCAGCAATGAGAGCTCTCAACTCTTGTACATATGCCGCAAGCTCACGCTTGCCTTGGCGACACGCCAAAAACCGCAACCGGTTACGGTGTACTTGGTTTGGCGGTGCATACTGCCGGGTCATCTGAACTTTCAGATCGGCCCATGTGGGAGAAGCATCTTGCAATGATGCACCACATGTGAATGTACACTGTTTGGCTAATCCACCTAACTTGCTCGTGGCAAAGCCCACACGGTACGATTCATAGGTGATGTTGGCTATAAACATAGCCGACCCAACCTGTCGGAACCACAGCATAAAGTTGTCATCTTCTTTGCCGTCGAACATATCGACTTCCATTTGTATGGGTTTTGGTCTGCGGACCACTTCTTGCGCCATAGTCGCCATGGGCGAAGACGCAGAAGAAGGCATCTGTGCCTTTACATGCTCGACTAGAGCTTTATTATATTCATCGAGCATATGAATACGCTTGTTAACCTCTTCTTCGCCCTTCGAGATGAGGTACACCCCGCCCTTAGGGCCGAGGAAAGGGAGCAGCTTCTACAACCCTTCCTATATGTGCCTGTGGCAGGCCACCCGCTGATATCTCGTCCATGCCCATTCTCACACACAGAAGTAGTTACAAATCCAGGTGCGGGATTGACTACAAGTGCTACCAGGTGTATCCAAGCTACTGTAACTACGCTACTTATGCACTATGTGCAGAAGAAGTAGTCAGACTACTGTAGCAAAGCTACGTATGCACTATGTGCAGATGAAGACAAGCTCAGAGAGCTTCTACGTCTTAGGGTGCTTAACCCTCCTAGGCTAGCTCGTAAGCTTGTGCCTATCGGTTGTTACAACCGCGCCTCAAAGAGACTAGTATCAAAGATACTTAATTCCTCAGGAGGAATAACACGCTCAAGCATTGATGCTTGTAGAGCAGGTTTGAAGCTGATTTATAGTTATGTTTATCTTCTAACACTAAATATAGAAGCATCTATCCTATACTTAGTGCTAGTCACTATTACTGGCTCTTTAGCCTGTTACTATTATGCAAACATGCATAGTCACTATACTCTAACTAAGTATAGTGACCACGTGGCTCTCTGCCACGATGCGACCCTTCGTACTTCAGGTACGGTCACATCACCTACTCTTGTACCCAACAACACGAGGAAGCGTGTTGGGCTCATAACCCAAAGGTAGTTTGATCGAGACCAACAAGTGCTATCTTTATCGCCGTGTAATCTCTGCGTGATTAAAGATGCATCTAGCATGGCTTGTGACTGTTTATCGGGTGATATGGGTGTCGGGAACCTCTCTGTATACAGCTGCAGCTCAGCTGTATATAGAGAGGTTCCCGACACTCCATATCAGGTGTGTATGTAAAATACACACCTTCGTGTAACCCCGTTACAGTATCTGCTAGGGCTTTACCCTTGATTGCAAAGTATATCTGTATTACTCACGGCACATTGTTTGTCAGCGCTTTGTCGATTAAAAATGCAACTCGTCATTTTTCTTTTCATCCTTTTCATCGGCTATAGTTTTGCGAGCCAGCATGGAAAAAAACCACGTATTGCACGCGCAACTGATGGCAACGGTCACACGATTATACTCACTGCAAGGTTTTGCTCCCAATATTTTTATTAAAGACCCAGATATTCGTCAGCAAACGCAGTTAATACGGTCTATAGAGATGAGGGCACGCAGCTTTACCGATCGAAGTGTTAAGCTAAGACACGAAAGGATGCATCCAAAAAGGAACCAGTATGTATCAACGCTATTCATATCCAGCAAAGAATATGTAGAATGCATCTAAAGCTGATGCCCTGTCGAGAATGCTTCGCACGTGCTTAGCCCTGACATAGTCACAAGAGATAAAGGTTCAGTTATGAAGTACACGGGGCACGCGATAAGGCAATTTTGTAGGTCTTGTATGAAATACATCTACCCATACATTTCCTGCCAGACCAACCCACTACTTTTCCTTAGCTTCTGATTCTTTAACGAGTCGATTCTTCCTTGTAATGGCCGTGAGCAGTTTACTGTCACTTTGCAGTACTCGGTACACATCGAGAGCGTCACGTCCCTCCGTCAAGTGCATTTGAATGCGCGCGGCGCTTTGTTCGTGCCGTCTCAAATACAGCAATTCCCTCGCATTGTACCGTAGCTTGCGAGCCATGCTGCGGTTTGGAAAGCTTCTCACAATGCGCAATACATCTCGGTAGAGTGCCAATACCTCACGCCTCCAATCCGTCATATTCGCCTGTTCAAATTTGTCTGATTGGCCCAAAATTACAGGTGAGCAATTAAGTGTCACTCCTGTCGACGAAATAACGCTGGCATTACTAGTTGCAGGCAAGTAATTGATGTATTCCAGGCACCTAGAAATGGAATTTTGATCGATGAAGCATAGACGGTCATGCCGTATCTTTATTATTGTGCATGCGACGGACGTCATCTAGATCAAGCTGTAATCTCGTTGAATGAGCAACGTTGACATAACGATCAAAGACATGTTGTAAATTAGCGTTAACGTGATTACAGCTCTATAAATTAACTATGGTTGAAGCCCTTTATAGGGTATATCTTGTGGTCTACATCATCTTTATAATCGAGCGAATCATTTGTCGCCATGGTGTGTTTTCTATAAAATAAAACGCTATGGAAGACGTTGCTTGGAAATGTACGACGGCATTTCTGCTGGGTGCCGCGACACACTATTTCATTTCATCACACTTGCAGAAAGGCAATTTTTTGTCTACCAAAGAATCCAATATAATTAATAGCAATGGAAATGATGATGATGCTGATGCAGGATCTTGCTCTCGAGCCTCGTCTCAGTCTTCCTTGGGCAGCTCCGACGATTGGGAAGGCAAGGACTCAGCGAGCTGGGTGCCTCACAAGATGGTCATGTGTGTGCGCACAGATTTAAAAATGGGCAAAGGTTGAATTAGATCATAGACAAGAAACGATTTAGACACAGACGTTAACAGCAAAACGGGTGAATGTTTAGGAAAAATCGCTGCACAATGCTGTCATGCGACGTTGGGAGCGTACAAGCGCGCGCTTAAGAGGACACCAGATGCTGTTCGTACTTGGGAAAATCTTGGCCAAGCTAAAGTTTGCCTCAGAGTGGACTCAGAGGAGGAGATGCTTGCTCTAGCTGAAAAGGCGGCGGAATGTGGACTCGTTAACTACGTCGTGGTATGTTGAGTGAGAAATCGAACGAGAATGAGCTACTAATGATTTGTTGTTGGTTGTTGTGTATGTTCCTGCGGCAGGTTGACGCTGGCCGAACGCAGATTGCACCAGAGAGTAAGACGGTGCTGAGCATTGGTCCCGCACCACTGAAGGCCATTGATGAGATCACGGGACATCTTAAACTCATGTGAACGTGGTGCAAGAGCTTGGATAGACTGGGAAAAATATACTTTGCTTGTGTAACAGCACCGTAAATGAATGCAACGACCTTCACCGCTTTTCCTGTTCCTTCTTGTCTTAATGACAAATGGGAGTCCAACAATTTTACTTCTAGAGTGTAGGCACGGTATTGTACGTCGAGCGGCCTTTGAAGACCTTACTCCGTCTCAGCCCGTAAACGGTCAACACAACGCACACTATTGCAACAATGGTTGCTAGCGCTGTCGTTCCAATCGTGATCAGCACGTCTCTTGGTGCGAGATTGTTGTGCATGACAGTAGAGCCGGATGAAGCTGCTGTTACGTCAGCAGCCGATAATAAAATCTTAGTGTCATCTTTGCCGTTCACATGACCAGCGATCATCGTTTGGGCCGTGTCGATGCAGTCCAGAAACTCGCGCTTAGTAGTCCACCACTCCAGCGTGCATAATGTCTTTAAACGACAGGTCGTGTTTTTACAAGGCAGAGTATTGGGCGAGCGAGCCTTCGTGTTCCAGTAGTATTCCTCCATCAAAGTAAGGTTTTTCTCTGCACGTTGCACAAAGGACGAAAGCTCCGATAGGGAGAGAGATTTTAAACCGTATGTCTCGCTCGCCCTTAACAGCAGCTTCCAGTCGAGCTGAGGTTCGCTTTCCCCAATGTATGATGCATACAAGGCATAGTCTAACACCTCGTACGTGTTTGCATCATACTCCCATACCATAAAGGATGGGTTGTTGCCAAATAGCGGTGAGATAGAGCCCGAAATGTACATCGGCAGCAGCTGAAAGGGTATGTCCTCGTCGTCACCACGGTCGAACGAAGTCACGGGGACACGAAACTCGACACTATGCACATGACCGAAAAATTGCGCCTTGATTACATTGGCATACTTGCCAACAATATTTTTGTACTTGACAATGTACTTCGTGTGCCACTGCGGATCACCTCCGTATGAGTCCACGATCGGGGCAATGTGACCAGCAATGTACGCAAACTTGCCAGCATCCTGCAGTTCAGCAAGCGTCTTGTCCAGCCAGGCAAATTGCCCGAATGGATCCGACTGGATTGACGTGTCGGGAAAATGACTGGGCTGTTCAACAAAAAAATTGTCAGCCACATCGTACCATCATCAACCTTTCTTAGTGTAGATCCGACCTACCGAGTATGGTACAGTATTCAACGTGATCATGTGCAGCTTATCATCCAGTGCATATTTCAGATATCCACCTCGATTCAGCATATCCATGTTTACAGCCGAGAGCGAGTCCTTCCATACTTCCGAAATGAGCTCAATGGACGGGTTTGTCTCTGTCTTGGGGTCCGTCACTTCCATGTGATAGTCTGGGTCTGTCATCGTTAAGACACTAGAAATTAGTTTACCTCTTTCATATAGTAGTATCAACTCTCTTTTCTTCTTCTTACTTCCATCAGCATTGCCAAGAATGGCTGTAGCCTCTAGCATTCCGCTGTTTGGAGGGTAATAAGTCTCCATCACCCGGACATTTGTCTCCACGGCTTTTGCAGCGTATTCATCAGTTGAATCCCCGTGTACGACATGATCTCCCGTGTACAGAAATATGTCTGGATTGTCAATTACGTATTCTTTGGCATAAATTAACGCAGACTCGAGAAGTGCCAAGGGTGCGTCGGCGAAATACCGGATAGGGATGCGAGCATTGTCTGCAGAGGAGAAAGATTTCGAAATGTTCAAGTGGACGTCAGAAAAGTGCAGAATACGGCCTGTAGACATCGCAGACGTTGGTGACACAAGTAGCGCAGCGTATCCAAGTAATGCCAGCTGTAGCATTGCTCTAAGGCCGCAATTATTGCTCAAACACCAATATTGTAGTTAGAAATTGTTGCGTACTGTACTTATTATTTGCAAGATATTTCTAAAAGTAATAGTTTTATTATCTTTGTAATGTTTACTATATAGAAAAACTATGGATTGACTAATACATTAGAAATATAGTCTTACGGACACAGATGGTTAATACCAACAGGTGCAAAATCTGGTAGTAGTCTATTATCACTTGTGTAATCACATCCGAGGGGTTTCAAGTGTACAGACTTCATATAGATATCTCAAAGCATGAGTGCTGCATAGACATCGTCTATTATTCTTTATCAAAGCAAACGAACGAATATAGTTCATACACGCACTACTACCATGTCTCTCTTCCATTACCTGTTCAAATATACATCATTTTCATTTGTCTAATCAATACTTTAGTAAGCTTATAGACGGCTGAAAATCGTGACGTTTGTTTCGATATGAAACGTGCATGATGGCAGTATGAGCCTCATGGAGGACGCACGAGTTATTGCATAAAAAGCATGGTAATGAAATCCGTCCATCTACCAGACCATTTAGCTGATTACTTATTAAGTCTTGGACCTATTCAGCGTGCTGTTAGCTCATATTTCCTTGATGAAGACACCTTCAACTCGATGTTTTGTACATTAGTTTAGCTAGTCGTACGCTTTCTTTCTACTTATTTCTCATTGGTTAAAAATAACACGTGTATTTCCATTATCTCCATTACTCGCACAATGCGGTCAATGCGCGGTGCGACTCTGACAGAAGAAGATGGTGACAAAGAGCACGTCTACCGTCCGTTGTTGTTTCATTCCACAGGCTACGCATCATCGGATCTGTATCTTGACTCGTATGAAATGCACTCGCGTCTTCCAATGACATCATTTGCTGTACCTTTATTAGACCAAGAGACTCGTGCTACCGGCTCGAATGTGAATCAGAATCAGAAACAGAGAAATGTATTTGAGCCGCATATTCGATTAGAGACACTATCATCTCGAGCTGCTACAGCTGTGATCTGGATCACGTATGTGGCATTTGTTTTAGCGATTGCTCTACCCTATTTACAGAGTAAAGGATACCTGGAAACGGTCGTGGAATCAGATTTGGATGCTTATGGACGATGGATGCCTATTTTCTGATGCTGACATTGTGTTTTTTTTGTGTTTTTAATACAACTTTAGACAGTAACATTGCCAGGAGGAGTATGTCAGACTGAAAGTAGACGAGATCCTTGCATTGAAGTGAACAAAACGAAAAAGACTGCTCAGTGGACCGCGTATGTGGCAAATGTGTCGCGATATGCTGGCTCAATTGAGATTAAACTAGCTATTCAGGAGCAAGTAAATACGTCCATGTCGAAGGCGTTGGTGTCGGCGTTGGGGAAAAGCAACATGTTTCAAGAACTGGAACGAGTATGGACAACTTGGGAAATGGGTCGGGATGCAAACAGAGCTAAAAATAATTTGCTGAAAGAAAGAGCGAGTGTATTGAAGATGCACAATATAGATGATGATGAAGCAGGCTATGTTTTGTATTATGATACTGAGCTGTATGGGATTCGCCAAGACATGAAACCGATTGCGAAGGACCTCGTCGTAGAAGACCGCAATCGAAGTGTCTGGGTGGAGTGCCGAGCAAAAGTATCATGTGAAACTGTGAAGTTGCTTGAGCTAACGCAGGATATCGACCGTTTAGTAAGAAGAATCTGCGTTCATATGCTATTATTTGCATCGCTAACTAGCGATATATCGCCGTTTTTTTGGCAGGGTGGATATGGATACACTACATACTTTGCTGTTGTGACCTTTAGAGGACTGTATCCTAATGTAATCGGCAAGGATGTAGTGTATCAGTTTGCGTACACGTACGTGCAGCTTTCATCGTGTATTTACTTGTTTCTTCTTGCGCTCTGAGACTAAGCACGCTGCTGATGTTCTACAGCAATCCAGTCATCTACGTCAGCGAAGTCGTTGTTCGCGGAGTATTAGTGCTAACGTCGATTTTTGCGCTCGCATGCTGGCTTATTTCGGTGTTAAACTTTCACAGTGGATCATGGAGTCAAGTTCTTACCGTGCAGAAGTGGCTGCTGGGCGTTGGTATTGTGTTCGTACTGTGGCAGAATCCAGTGTATGCCGTCTCTGAGCTGTACACCTCTGTAAGTTTGCGTACTCGGTTTGTGTCGATCACGTGTCAATCATTTGCGGAGGCGTTTTTGTACGTGTTTTGGTTGAGCCTTATGGACCATCAGAGCGCTCCTTCTCGAAGATGCTCATTTTTTCCAAAGCTCATATTTGGCTTGGTACTCTTTGCAGTAGACACGAGTATGACTGTATTACGGTTGCCTAAGTTATTCTCTGGAGAAGAATGGACGCAGTTGACGTTTGACTTTTGTCACGACGAGCTCTATGTGTTTCTTGGTTTTATTCGGACGGGTTTGGTGCTAGTTTGGCTCGTTTGGGTAATGTCAGCTGGGGCGCGATCCGGTCGACAATTAAAGACATTACCATACATGGCAACACGCTATAAACAATTATCGTACCGGTTCCTAGTACTCGAGACGCTTCTTATTTTCGTTTACGCCTTTGTCCTCTCAGCTCTTCAGATTTTCTACCTGGCCGAAACGTGGTACTTTATTGGTTACGATGCATTCATCCAGGACGCTGTGCATACATTCACCAAGATGAACACTGGCCACCCGTCGCTGGGTAAATTCCTGTTCTTGTCAGTGTATGTATACCTTGTCATGTTTGTGCACTTGCCCCCACTTGTAGGCAGCGGTACAGGCTTGTTGAAGTCTACAGCTTTCCACATCGACGAAAAGCCACGCATAGACAAGTACGGGTTTACAACACCCGATTCAAATTTGTTTTGCGTTGAAACGGCTAGATGGTTGCTTGAAATGGCGTATCAAGCTTACTTTGACCCGCCTGGATGCCCGTCCTCTTCTGGCTATGGCGAGCTTTCGCTTGAGCGACATGGTTTTGAGCTCATCACTCATCTAAGAAGCAACCTAACGGATACACATGTGGTCGTCGCGTGGAGTCAAGAGGACCATCAACGTCTCGTGATATCATTCCGAGGCACCACTAGCAAGGAAAACTGGAAGAGCAATCTCCGTGCAGACCAAAAGGTTTTGTGGATAAAATCTCGAGGGCTACGGGGGAAAAAGTCATGCCTTGAACGAGTGAAGGGCTTTGCAGCGAAGATCCCGCTACTTAACATGGCATTGCCGCGGGTCCACCGAGGTAACAACTGTTTACCTGACTGGCATGTCGTAAAATAAATTATCTGATGTTGTGTGCCTGTTTCACGCAGGGTTCTGGACTGCCTACGAGTCAGTTCGAGATGAACTCAAGGAAGTGGCACGGCTCATTCTCGACGAAAATCCCGGTGTGTCAGTCTATATTACCGGGCATAGCATGGGTGGTGCTCTTGCAGTTTTAGCTGCCTATGACCTTGCATTAAATTTCAGCATCAAAGTCAGCATGTACAACTTTGGTTGTCCCCGAGTTGGCAATCCTACTTTTCGTCAGCACTACGATAGCTGTGTTTCAACGAGCTACCGCGTTGTTATGGACGGCGACATTGTGCCAGGATGGCCAAGATTTGTACGTAAGTATGAGTTGCTGCTGTGTAATGCATTATTAACACGACATATTGTTGATTGCAGTGGGGACTTTACCAGCATGTGGGAACTGAGATTTCAATTGATGTGGCGGGTAACCTGATTGTTGACCCGAGTTTTGTGGAACTCCACCTTCACAACTCATCGAGGCGCAAGACAACAATGCATGGAACGAACGTATATCGAGCGTCGATTGCCAAGTGCCTTGAAAATCTTGCGGCTTCGTAGCATTCTCACAAACACAATTCAACCAACTTGCACCACTTGCAATGCCGATTGTAACCTATTTCTTCGAGCAGAAGAAGTCTACAAGCATATTGACTTGCTATCGTGATGATTGCTGATGACTATCAGATCCAAGAAGGAGAAACATCACTTGCATGTTGACCTCGTCAAATCAGTCGCAAATGATTCGCGTGCTATGGTGTGATTATCTTATCGTCACGTGTGGTTCTAGACAATATCATACATACTGATCAACTTTGAAACGATTGATTTCTATTGATTCCATCGACAGTCAATTGATTACGTTGACAATCCATGGCGACTTTTGTAATTTGTAGATGAAAGTATCTGGAAGCATGGGAAGGAAAATAACGCCATGACCAGATACGTAATCGACAATTGTTCATAATTGCAGCTTTCCTGATCGCCAACAAATAATATTAACCAGGTTTTATTGCAATATTTACATTGAAATAATGCCAAAAATAACGTTATGAGACTGGTTGATATTGTGTTTTTGTAATGTAAAAAAGGAAAAAGTCCTCCCCTGGGCCGCTCGTTTATCAATTCTCTCTCACTTCTTGAACATTTACTACCTAACAATGGTACGGAATGTCTGAACTGCATTTCTAAGCGTAACATGTACTAATGCTCTTCTCTTTCTCTGATATCATACCTACCACTGCAGTCACTTCTTTACAAAGGATCACGTGTTATGACTCAGTCGCTTCGCGCTAGCGTACGCCATATGTCTAGCGCTAGCGAGCAGGAGGCGAAAGGTACACTTGTTTTTGTGTGTCCTCTCTATCCTGTTATCGTGATCAAGGGCTGACTATGTTGCCGTGTTTGGATAGAACAAATGCACCGATGGACGACCATTTCTAAGGTCATGATTGGTCTCACGGCTGTGTATACAGTCTACGCCATTGGTGATCACCTGAGCCACGAGCACCATGACGAGGAGAAGCCGGAATATTCGTACCTTAAAATGCGTACCAAGCCCTTTCCATGGCCGGAATCAAACTGTGACTTTCTAGATCGAGAGTGTCGTGCCAAGGCTCGCGAGGCCAAGAAGGCTCTGAAGGAAGCAAGTGGGTGAGGGAGGACCAAGTGGGTTGTCTAGATGGAGGAGAATAGTGGTTGGTGGGTCGACTTGTAGCCATTCCTCTTCCTGTTGTTCTTTTTTCTATCGACTATTGTCATTAACTTGCTCATTTCCACAAAATTGCTGCAAACGAAAAAATCAAAAAAGCATGAAACGTACTGTTTTTAATCGTTTAAACGTTTTTACCAATGGTTGATGGTGTTGCAATACCGGTATGTATAGGTATTAATTATCCTATTAAGCGGTCAAAAATGGCTACTTCACCTCTTGTGACGCACTGCATTGCCCAGCGTCAACCTGATCCTGGCGAACCAACGTGTGTGGTAGGACATTCCAAGAACTATTCAATACAATCATAATCGACATCAATGGTCTTCTTCTCATACATTTTTTTGCTTGTCACGTGCAGATTTGCGGTCGATTTGGTGCCTACGTTTGCGATGCGACAGACCAAGACGTTTGCAGTCTTGAATGTCGCGATATCTGTATAGATAGACTCAGTTCTACTACTAACGAGCTACAACAGCAACAATTACAGCAACTTCAATGGTCGAATGAACTTCGAAGGACGTTGGGCATTCAAATCTCAGCTGGATCAGCTGCTGAGACTGTTGATAGCGGAAAACATTTGTGGCCGACTCCAATCGTGGACTTTATGGAACAGCAACAAGTCATTGGACTACCAAAGGAACTAGTAAACAATCTTATTGGACACAAATTCGATAAGCCGACACCTGTCCAGATGCAGGCGATTCCTTGTGTGTTGCAAGGACACCATGTACGTCGGTTCGTGCGGTGTGTGATGAAGGGTGGTGGGTTTGTACCTAACTGGTTTCTTTGTTTAAGCCAGGTCTTGGTGAGTGCTCCTACTGGAACGGGAAAGACAGCGTCATACTTGATTCCTGCGATTGCGCAGGTTTTGCGTGCCAGAAAAGAGAAGGAGGAGATTGTGGCGTTGATTCTAGCGCCAGTTCGGGAGCTGGCAATTCAGATTGAGACAGTGGCCAAGTTGTTGATGCGGGGAATTTTTAATATGAAGACGGCACTTTTGGTGGGTGGGTTTCCTGTTCCGACACAACGCTATCGTCTTCAAGGTGGAATTCAGTTGATTGTAGCAACCCCTGGTCGTTTTTTGGACATTTGTACAAAGTATAGCGGCAGTGACTCAATTCTCTTGACTATTCGAACCTGTGTGATTGATGAGGTGGATATCATGCTAGACGTTGGTTTTCGAGCGCAGATTTCGCAAATTGTGGCGTTATTTGCTGCATTTGCCGGAAAACAACATAATGACGTCCAACTGCTCTTCTTTAGCGCAACAATATCGGACGAGGTTGAAACATTGGTGCGGCAGATTTTACAGCTCCAAAGCAAACAAGCCTACATTCGCATTGATATTCGAGGTAATGGTTGCGATAGCAATACTCGGACGCCAAGTATTTCCTTAAACTCTAGTGTTAGCCAACAGCTCCGGTGGGTGGAAGAAAAGGAAAAGAAAAACGAGCTGATCAAGTTTTTGAAAGGAAAAGAAGAAGAGTCAACGGTGCGTGTCGATGCATGTTGATTTGACAAATTTGAGAGAATTATGGCTTGACGTTATTTGCTTCAATTGCACCTGCAAGCTCGTCTTTGTAGGATCAAAGCTTGGTGCGACTTTGCTAGCAAAAATGATTGATAAACGTTGCGGAATTGGTGCAGCGGCGATTCATGCAGACAGATCCCAGCAAGAGCGAATTTGTCTGCTCGAGGCTTTCGTAAATTTGGAAATTCCTGTTCTCGTGTCCACAAATGTGCTGAGCCGCGGCATGAATCTATTAAACGTTGAAAACGTGGTAGTATATGACTTTCCCAAGAAAATTACGGAGTACGTTCATCTCATTGGACGAGCCGGGCGTGGAGGCGATGTGACTGGAAACGCTCTCACGCTCTTGAATCAGGAAGACCGCCCGCTTTTTCGGGAGCTAGTCCCTTTGTTGCGTCAGGCTAACATAAAAGTGCCCCGAGAGGTGTATCAGAGCATCCATGCTGAAAACGCGAAGAAGCGTGGTCATTCCAATCAAACTGTGATCGATGAATCGAAGCGTGCTTTTCGAATTCGAAAGCATATAATGGGCAACACAAGCAAGGTAGCATTTGAGTGGAAAGAATGGGATAAGCAAAGCAACAAGCTGCAGAAGCTGTGTCGTGACAAACAAGCAACGAAAGAGGAAGGATGTCGATGAAACTTGATGAGAAGACGACGAATAAAGACGGTAGTCGAAAATAAGGTCTTCTTTATCGATAATAGGAAGTGGTCGAGCAAGCTGTAGTGAAGCTTAGGGCCAATTGATAACCACCATGGCAGTTGCAGACTCTTTGCTCAGTTTTCTCCAGTTGCAGACTCATTGGTTAAACAGGTTGACCACACATTTGAACACTTTTCGTCGCCGAACTGAGTCTTTTTGACAAAGCGCAGTAGTATCGAAGGACTGTCCTCATCGCGTTACCACTCGTCAAGTGACAATTCATATCATCCACGAACAAGATGCCACGCAAACACAAAGAGCAATGCAATGTGCACAAACACCGCAACTGCATCTCATTCCACTGTCTTACACAACGATGGAGGCGGCGCTACCAGTACGCGTGCAAGGACGGCCGTTTGAGCGTACTCTTGGCCTGATCGGACGTCAACACATACTGGACCACGTAGCACCCGAAGTCCACTAGCAACAGCTAAAAACTCGACCCAAATTGTTTTTGAGGTATTTGTTTCTATCACGCCGATATTCTGTTCCATACGCATACCAGATTCGCAAGGTCAGACTAAAGCATTAGCCCCAAACCAACGCAGCTCGACCATACCTGATGTGATGCAGATGAACAGACAATGCCAGTCATCAGCTCTTTTCTGAACTGCAGCTGAAGTGTCAGACTTTGAAGGGATTTGTTCGTCACAGATACAGATACTAAAAATGGTTGTCCGACAACCACTTCCTTAGGAATCTCCTCAAAAGCTACGGTGACCTCGCTGTGTGACCCAGCGGCAGCCCCGGTGTAGTCAACAACTTTCCATACCACTGGCTGGCTCTGCACCGATCCTGCTTCGCCCATCGATGTTTTCCACCCTACATGAAGTCGTCCAAGATCCTGCGAGCTCTACAAACATGCACAAGCAGTTAAAAGACAGGCAACTGTCACCGCACTGTTGACAAATTATTACCTGGCCTGTAAGCAACGTAGGGTCCGCAGCGGGATCGCATGAGACGCGAAACAGTCGTTGAAGTTCCTCCTGAGGATAAACAAGTGTCTGCGGTCCGTGGTCTAGCGACAACAGCTCATGTATCGATGCTTGATCGTCCTTCGTCTTGCCAATAGTGTTCACTTGCATCTCTTCGGACGTAAACGGCAGCAACGGCAAAAACTTGATACTATCTACAAAAAGCGGGAGCTTGGACACATTCTGAATCTTTGCTTCAACAATGGTCTCGCGTAGTTGTTGCTTCGATAGCATTGAATGCTGCTTGAAGATAATAACTAAAGGGTTTTGTACTCCAAACCGGTAAAATTTGCGCAATGATTTGCTCTCGCCCGTCACGGGATCCACATAAGCTACCCCGACACGTAATACGTGGTTTCCCACTTGATTCAGTGGGTAGTCCACAATCATATCTAGACTTGATCCAGCAGGAAGTACTGCAACAGGGTTAGGAGGAGGAATCTTTCCTATCCTTGCATAGCGATTGTCGTGCAACTCCACTCGGTCATTGGCACATTGAATATTTGCTGATAATTTAACATCTCGTAATTCACACGAGTACGGGTTAATGACGCTAATGTAGCTGCTAAATGTATTGCCCAGGAAAATTTCTCTATCATAGAATAAAACATTACCCCCATTAATTATATTCCAATGAAAAATAGTGGATTATTATAACTACAAAGAATAAATTATACACGTACCCGAAACTATCGGGTAGAATGAGCATACTAGAGAGTGCAAACTCATGCTGTAGTTTAATAGTATCACTCATAGTTGTAGGCAACGTAGATCCTCCATGAACACCCTGAACGTAGAGTTTTGGCTTGTAAAGTCGCATTACTAAAAAGAGAGGTTTGTGCAAAATATACGAGAAAAAAATTCCGACATGAGAATATAATATCAAAACAAATCGAAGCAACACAAGTATATATCACAAACCTTTAAGCGTTGGTTGTACATATTGAGATGATGGAGATACAGCCACAGGCACAGCGTCTCTAGTGGAAGAAGGTGTACCGCTAGAGCTCATGAATCTGAATTTAAATTGGAAATTTATTGCATTTGCTTGCAGTTGCACGAGATAAATGACGTATAGCTGATGTTGCACGAAACAAATGACTTGCAGATTATGTTGCACAAAATAAATAACGTGTATCGTATGTTGCACAATCTCATTTACGTTGCAGGTATCTGTGCGTTCTTATTTGGCTCACATTTAATATTAGAGGACAAGACACAAATGCTGGCTCGCTCATTATTCCGTGTGGCGTCGAATGCACGTCGATGTGCTGGACCACTGGTGGCTACTACTAGTACTGATATTAATATGATACAAACTGTTTGCTTTTCTGTGTCTCCTACGGTATAAATCACGTCAATATGTTGCTAAGTAACGTTGTTAAAACTTGTGGTTTTTAACGTTGTTTTTTTGTTTGGAATTTTGGCTCTAGATGCACGGTACGACAATCCTGTGCGTTCGAAAAGGAGGCAAAGTAGTACGTACTGCAAGACCTTATGATCTGATAAAATATATAGCTCGATCCAAGTGCTGAATGATGGTGTTTTTTTTGACTCGTTGTCACTCGGTCTAGTGTTTAATTGGAGACGGTCAAGTGTCACTGGGACATACTGTCGTCAAACCTAATGCTAAGAAAGTGCGACGGATTGGAGAGAATATTGTCGCTGGCTTTGCTGGTTCCACGGCTGATGCGTTTACGCTTATGGAACGTCTGGAGGCCAAATTGGACGAGTACCCGGGACAGCTCACACGCTCATGTGTGGAACTGGCAAAAGACTGGCGAACGGACAAGTACTTGCGTCGTTTAGAGGCAATTCTTATTGTTTCAGACCTCAAGCAATCGTATACGCTGACAGGAAATGGAGATGTACTGGAGCCTTATGATGGTATCATTGGTATTGGCTCGGGAGGGTCCTATGCTCTGGGCAAGTGTGGTAAAAATGCTTTGACGATAGAGCAAAAATACTAAACGACTGTTTGTTTTTTTTGTGTGTTGTAGCGGCTGCCCGTGCACTGATTGATCAAGATTTGGATGCAGAGACGATTGCTCGCAAGTCGATGCAGATTGCCGCGGACATTTGCGTTTACACGAACGGAAATGTTGTAGTAGAAATGCTGGAGGAGGGGAAGCACGATGCTGGGATGGAAAAAGAAAACAAAGAGTAGATAACGTTGATTACGCTGCGTAGATGGTCCTGCACTGTGTTCTAGGCTGGAGGCTTGACAGTTCTACAGTAATGCTGCTGGATCAATACAATTGTGCACAAGCGACAGCTTAGACGGATCAAAAGAGACGATATGAATGGAAATGATAGTCAGGTATAGAAAGACCGAATACGCTAACTTCTGTCGCACAGAGAATATCTGTGCCAACGCCACTGAACTGAATTGACAAAGGCCGTCTGGTTGACGCGTGAGTGCTTGTAACAGCAGCAACATATAACGACTCTTTTGCTATTCAATCCCTTATCCATCTAGATGTCAAAAATCGTGACGATGGTGAAAGGCGTGTATATTGTATTGGTACACGTGCGCGCTTCTTGTAAACGGCTGCTTAAATGTTGTTCGCAATCATCAAATTGTACTTGTCAATGTTGCGCTTCAGAATATCTTCTAGCGGGCCCATTACTCGCTTGAATGTCTTACGATCCAATGTAAGACACTTGACTTTACCCTGCGCAGTTACTGTTGCCTGGCGAGGTCTAGTCGTTAGCAGTGCAATTTCACCAAAGTACGCGCCTGAAGTGAGCAGGCCCATTCTCACGGGCGGATCTGCTGGTGAAAGCTGTTTCGTACATACTGCCACTCCTTCCTCAACAATGTAAAACAGATCACCGTCGTCACCTTGAGCAATAATGACTTCACCGTCACTAAACGTTTTTGTCTTGAGAGCATCTGCAACTGTAAGACGTTCGTACTCGCTCAGTGACTCCAGCAGCGGCACTCGCTCGATAAATCCCTTGTGTGCTTCGCGTTTCTTTAATGTCGTCTCCATAATGATGAATTTGAATGTCTGCCGATCCAATGCCCACGCCTTCGAGTATTCCACGGCCTTCACAGTCGCAGCACGTGGAGCATTGTACATGAGTGCCAATTCGCCAAATGACATGGCTTCTGTGCACTATAAACCAAAAAGGCGTATAAGCATTAGATCGACACTATAATAACGCAATTCACGAGCAACGCACCGTTTGAACAAGCTCGCCGTCCTTGTACACCTCACAAACGCCACTTTCCAAGATGTAAAAGTTATCTCCATCATCTCCCTGTTTGATAATGATATCACCAGGACCAAAATCCTTCGGGAACATGGCATCGAGTATAATGTCATGCTGTTTCTCATCCAAAGATTTAAACAAAATATTCTCAGCAACCATGCGGCTAATGCCGTCTCTTTCTTCTGTAGACTTGGGATGCATCACGCGTTTAAACTGACAAACACTGCCACATCATATTCAGGCATGACATGAGAACAAGCACTCTTTATCCGTCGGACAAGATAATAAGCATTCCACTGCTAGATGTGTCACAAACCTCAATGGGTCAATAGTCTCAGCGGACACTGACTTGCGCCGCCCCTTGGTCATAATCTTTGGTGGAGGCGCTCTGGCCACAATCTCGCCCATGGTGTCTCCACCATCACCTTCGCCTTCGCTATCGCTTTCATCCGATTGATCTGCATGTAATGAAAACATATACAACACCAATACCATGACATTATCACTTCATTGTCTGCTATCACACAAAGATTAAACTATCAACGTACAGTGTGAATAAAGTAAGGCTGCTGGATTATTGTCCTTCTTGTCATTTCCCAACTTCTGATGCAATGCGACCTCCTCCGGGTACTTGGTCTGTAGATACTGAACAATATGCAAGACAGGATTCTCAGGCTTGGCCAGTAAAAGTGACTCTACCAAGTTGGTAAACAACATGGTAATGCCCTTCTCATGTAAATACTCCTGAAGTTCCTGTTGTAAACCCTGAGCATCCGTCATCTATCTATCTATCTACTAGGCAAAGTGATGTATCTCTAGTGGTAGTATGAAAAAAACTGAGTCCAAAGATTCAATCACGCAGTCGCTAGATTATTATTACAATCTGAACGAAAAAACCTTTGGAGTCTGACGTCACGAGGCTTGCAAGTTTCAAATGACAAGAGAGAGAGCAAGAAGAAGAAGAAGAAAAACTCACACACACAACTGGTACTACAATGAACCAATGTCAAGTATAAACCTAAACGTAAAAGTTGAAAAGAAGATCGCACTGTTGTCGTGAATCCAAGTGACAATATGTCTTACCTCGAATGACAAAAGACACTTGGTTACGTATTCTTTCTTCTTCTTTTCTATCTGGCCTTAATACTGAACAGCACTCCTTCTTTTTATTACTAAGGAAATAGATTCTTCTTCTTCTTATTAGACGAAAAGCACGTGGCTGCGTTTTCTGCTCTCGCGACGCTTGGGAGCTCACGAAATGACACACTGCCATGTCTCAGACACATTTCTCAACCAATCAAAAAATCTACGAATGACCGGTTATTTGGAAAGCACATGTCTCTCAACTTTGCCATGAAATATGGAAGCAACGTCATACATTTTCAATACTTGAGTACCACACGGGTAGTTTGCATTGTGAATAGTATCCAGCATGTAAGAAGAAAACAAAACAAATCAAAGTAAAACCAGTGGTACAACTTTTCATTTGATTTGAGATCTTGCAACCATTCCTTGGAATGTCATTTGTTGGTGAATTTGTAGTACATTCTCGCTTCATTGTTGCTTTGAGACTGACAAATAGCACCCGTTCGCACCAAAAAGTTGTGCTTCCTTTTGCGACAAGCTGGATGAAAACCGTTTTTGTACTGCAAACGGCGGTACTGAGTGCAAGTAGATCACCACTGCTAACTGCTTTACTCTTTTACTCGTCGTGCTCGTACGCATAAAGATTTGTAGAAGTAGATGGCAAGTAACATTATTAGTTGACGGTAGTCAGGTGTTGCTTTCCAATAACGGCATGAGGAGGCATGTATTCTGACCGTTCCATGTAAGATCTTGACTTCAAGCTCAAAAAAACATCGCATGAAACAATGCCCCTTGTGTGATAGGCACTTGTGGTTATGTGGGAGCAAAAGTTACGTATTGTGAGCTGATGTAATTGAAACCTAGTGCAATGTGTTCTGTCAATAGCGGCGCTGCAAAACCGATTGTGTCGAGCTCAAGTTTCTACTCCAAGACGGCAGTCTACCAACTCAACCGATTTGAAATGTAATAACCAAAGTTATTATCGTTTGGCCACATCATGAGCTGATAACGTGTAATAAGTTACGTTGATCAAGTTGTGTATTGAACTGACCGGTGTACTCCTGTGATGGGCTTCTCGGAGCAACTAGAACTAATGGGGTGAAACCCGTCTCCAGTTTGCATATGAATTGAAAGGCGAGGGTGGTCGATTGGTCAAACAGGTATCCCACTTGTTCCTTTGGTATAGAGAGACGATGGGATGATGCTTAACACACGCCAAGTAGTGACGTGACCAGAATCGATAACATACATCGATGACAATCGACGACATCGATATGATTCGTTGTATCAAGAACTACACGCTTGGGTGAGAGGTCGCGCTTGCGAATAACGCAAGCAAAACATGTTCAGTAAAATGCTTCGTCCTAAAAGGATTGTATGACCTTGACGCCATCTATAATTAAGGGTATAACTTCGACGTTGGAACGCCTTCGACAAAAAGCCGTTGGACGTATATTGCGTCACTGAGCGCATATCTCACATGCTTGCTGGTTTAGGGCCAAGTTATGGTAGAGCATAATTTCCGACGAATACCAGCATGATCGAGAAGAGGCTGCATGCAGATACTGGCAAAGACGTACGTTATTCGCGCATGACATTGATGATGAATACAAAGAGAAATTCAACGCCACGTCACAGTCGTACGTGAGTGGATTGATAGGACAGAAAGCAGCAGTATGAGTGACTCGGTCAGCCGTGGAATTGGATCGTAAATGCATCGGTCCTTCTCTCGGTACATGCGTGTGTGGCTTCACCGAAAGACGAAGGAGTGTGAGTTGAAGTTACGATGGTTCGTGCCAACCGTTGCAATTCGCTTTCCAAATCATCTCGAGGAGTGGTGCAGGATGGTATTGTCATGTGAGTATATATATCTATTGGAAAGCGTCTGCTTTATTGAAGAACAATAAGCGCACCAGAGATGGGGCACAGGTGTGGATTTGTCTTATTCTCAATGCCATTTTCGTAGTCGCGATGGATACTCTTCCATGCAAAAAAGGCATCGTCCATGATCAGACGGGCTGTGGCAGCGAGGGACTCTGTAAATGGTAGTTAGTATCATCACTTACTCTCCTTCTTATTTTTCGTATGATCGGGCAAGTTGGGAATAGCGTGATCCAGTATCTGCGGTCTACAGTTATTGCAAGGGTAACTTCAAGGCTACATTGGCACAGGAAGCGCACATGTACGATCAGTGAACGCATCTGATGTGGTAAAAATAGTCTGCCTTTACCAACAGCTCCAAGGAAATACTTGACATCTTTTGTCTGTTATGGCAGCTCCACGCGTATTGTCTAATCTATGATGATTCTCGCGCACCAAGGTAATCCGTATTGAAAAAAGCCCTTCTGAATATTCTTATGGAAGTGAGGGAAACACCCAGTGCAGCAGTCAGCGCATCGTCGTGGGGTCGTTACAAGACGTTGCTAAAAAAGATGTCGGAGACGAACCTACGAAAATGCTTATGAAGGATGTATCTAGGCAAATCGAAATGTACGTGGACCAGATAGATCACTGTAAAAGTTGGTCTTGTAAAAAGTAGAAATAGCAATGGACAGTTGTGCTATTGCTGAAACAGTTATCACAGTCCGATCATTTAAAGAAACCCCTTGAGAAAACATGAGGTCTGACTGAGATTGACATTCTGCCTTGCAATCGCTTTTGTTGAGACCGGTAAAAGATGTCATTGGCATTATTTAGAATGCAAATATATAATTTTGTGGGTAAACGATATCACCCGATTGTATCACAACGTCGTGGAAACAAGTAAGGAAAGAAGTCGCACGGTTAGATTCGTGTCTTGATGTCGCTTTGAACAAAACAATTCGTCAGGATTACCCATAAAAAGTGGTGCAGTCGGACTCATTAACCAAAGTGAGGTTTTTTAAGCGTGCAATTATGACTAATAGAAGATAAACTTGCGATTCATTTCAGACACAATAAAATAATTTCAATTACATTGCATTCAAATATATTTTAAACGATTTCGAATTTGTATTGAAATCACCCAATCACAACTATTTTAAACTACAATCACGACTTTTATTTGTGTGTGATGCACACAATAAACTTTCATTGGCTATTGTTTTTTTTCTCATTATGACTACCAACTAACAAAACATTCATTACAGTCAAATATGGCCCCCACAGCAGGTTCGTGTATATATATCACTCTCTTTGCACGTAATGTTCACAATTAATTCATATCAACATGTCGTTTCTTATAATCTAGGAACTCGTCTACGTTATAAGAATAAACAGACTAGAAAATCGTTACAAAACAAGAAAATACCGTCTCTCAAGAATCGTATTCGAGGCCTAAAACGTTTTCTTATTCGTGGCGTGAGTTGTTGAATATTTTTGACTACAAATGTTGCAATCAAAGAAGTACACAAGTAATTGACTATTGATTGGTTAATATTCATTATGAATCACAACGTTATTTTTCAACTGTTTAGGGACTTGGTGATGCTACACGAAGAGCGAAAGAAGCGGAACTCAAGCAGTTGATACAAGAAGTACGTCTTGTTTGTATCATGTGATGATAATAGTAGAACAATGTGTGACGTATTGATCTCTCTCTGTCTCTCTCTTGTTTCTATTGTTGACTCTTGAGTAGCTTGAGAACAATAATCAAATTGTACTCGAGAAGAAAAATGCCGAAAAATACAAAAAGGTGAGCTACTGATGGACGTTGTAGCCACAAATGACAATGTGTGTGTGTTTATCTATGTGTTTATGGACAATTGGGTCTTTGTCTTTGTGTTCATGGACGTTTTGTTTTTTTATTATTGTGGTAGCCACGGTTTTTTGAGCGAGTAAAGGTCATGCGAAAGCTGCGTCAGGTGAAGAACCGCATTGAACAGGTACAGAAGCTTCTTTTTTCATCTTGTTGCTATGCAGTGCAATCGCGCAATGTAATTGCTTATGTTTGGTTTTTATTGCCTGTTGTTTAGGCAAAGCATGAAACAGAACGTAGTCAGTACGAAAAGGAATTCAAAATGTACCAAGAAGAGATGATGTATATTTACTACTACCCGAAAAGCGAGTCATATATTCCACTGTATGCTTCAGCACCTCACTCTGAGGAGAACGAAAAGCGTCAAAAGAAGCTCCGAGATGCGGCTATTTCTCGTTTTGAAGAGGAGCAACCGATGGATGCATTTCATCAGTTTTGTTTCAACGATAAGTCAAAGGACTCGAGCGCAGCAGGCAAGACGAGATCAGCTGCTGAACTCTTGCTCAAGAACCCTACGAAGGAAATGGTAAAGAGACAAAAGAAAGCTTATAGCAAGCGGGGCGCGACTAGAGAAAAAGTGAAGTCCATGCCAGTCCTTGTAGATCAGGAAGAAGACGACGAAACAATGTCGGATGTAGCTAAGCAGGACAGTGTGGAGGATAAGGAGCATGAGGAAAAAGAAGTGGACGATTTCTTTCTGTAACTGTTGGGCATGGAATAAAAGCGTCTGTCTGCACTAGACGTCAAGGGTGCTGAATCGGGACGATTGGTACTCTCAACAACTTCGCTATTCTTAAAATTTAGTGCTTATAGTCGTTACGCTGACAAGCTCATGTGAAAAAAAGAGCAACAGATTACTGCTCACGAGGACAAGGCTGTCGAAAATGAGAATCAGACACAGCTAGATTAGTATAGATGGACCAGACTCAACTCCCACCATTTGCTGTTGAGTTTCCGTGATCATTTCAGCTTCAGCTTGAGATGCAGCTGCAAGTGCGTTCATGTTTGTAAAACTGAAAGACCTGAAAGCATCAGACAGTGTGGAGTGACTGACGCTACCGTACATTCCACTAGGGAATCGATAGTGATTGTTGTTGTCTTCGGTCCGCAAACTGGTGCCCATGTGTTCCTCCTTTACAGTTCCCATTGCATCTAGCACACCTAGTGCACCTGTGGTCCCCCACGACATGTCAACGTCTGCTATAGCAACAGAAATATTGCTCGCGTTGTTGTTTCTATCCGAGTTCTTGTCTCCTTGCGGGTTTGGCGAACCTAGTGGCTGGTCGTCACTCTCAGGTCCGGAGTCAATATTGTTTTGACTGCTGCATGCCGATCGAGAAGAAATGTCAAACTCGTCGTCATCGATGAATACATCAGTGAGATTGCGGTTGTTGAAATAGCTGGTATCAGTCGGTCCTTCCAGCGTCGGCACAAACGGAGGCACGGATTCCAAAATTGTATCCCAGTTGATACCATCAAAAAACTTGTGCTGCTTGATCCCCTCCCAATTCATTCGCGTTTCTGGATTCGGGTCAAGCAACTTATCTATCAAATCCACGGCCTCAGGAGACAAGCACTTTTCTCCATCGGGCCACAGGATTTGCCGCTCTAAAATATTTTCGAAGATTGCATCCACGGTGTCATCATTGAATGGTGGAAAGCCTACCATCATTTCGTACAGGATAATGCCTAATGCCCAGTAGTCCACAGGCGGCCCATGAGGAACACCAAGAATGATTTCAGGTGCCAGGTAGTCTGGAGTACCGCATCGTCCATATGTGTGATACGCGGATTTTTTTTTCGAGTTTCTCTTGGATCCCGATATGCGACGCGGACGGCTGGACTCTGAAGCAGACGGCGGGGTCTCGAAAGGAGCACTATCCTGTATACAGCTGTCCCGTGAAATGGACTCATCGTCAGGTTCCGAGTCGGTGTCGCTAAAAGCTACAGCTTCCTCTGACAAGCCGAAATCGGTTAGCTGTAGATGCAAATGACAGTACAAACAATACAGCGATTACCAACACCAACCAACAAAGATGTACTGACAGCTATACAAACCTTGATGTGACCGGTAGACGAAAGTAAAATATTGTCGGGCTTCATGTCTCTGTCATATATTCATCGAAACGTAGATAAGTGGACAACATACAGTACAACTGCTGTTTGCATGCAACAAGAACTTCGTACCGATGAACACAGCCCTTAGTGTGCAAGAGATTAAGTGCAATTGCAATCTCCGCTATATAAACACATGCCACCTACGATTGAAAACATCGTTCAATCATCAGTGCACTCAACAAGCGTTTGGCTTATTATCCATTGCATACCACAAGCTCACCTGTTCTTCTAGTTGCACAATGCACTCCAATAACGACATGAAATCACCACCAGGGAGATATTCCATTACCAAAAAGAGATTGCGCCTAGCCAAACCGAGAAAAACGACCCGCAACGTAAGTTGCTACTCGTCTTACATCGTGAGCGCATTAGTAGTATATACGAGATGCTTACTTGGTTTGAAACGTCCAAAACAACTTCACAACAAACGGGCTCACAACACTGGCCAAAATATTCCTCTCTGTCTCAATCTGCTGGATCTGTAGTAGCAAATAGTACAACAAACAACTAGTAAGTGACAAATGATCACGCCATGCAGCAGCAAATACGCAGTACCTGATTTTTGCGCAGTAAATGCTCTTTTGCAAGCACCTTTATCGCATATTGATCACCTGTTGTCTTCTTTCGAGCAAGGTACACTTTGCCAAAGGCACCCTTTGAAATTGGCTTCACAATTTGGAAATCGCGAATAGAGACAAGATATGACGCCGGTTTCAAGCTTGAACGTCGTTGAGATCGAAAGGATTCATTAATTTCCATATCCTCGAGTGATTTGGTGCGCTTTAGTGGTGCCCGCACCATTTCCGCAGGAGCCTGTTGAAACATCACCTTATGAGACGCTCGCATTTTGCTCATCTTGGCATGGATCAAGTTACGCAGCTTGGTACAGCACTTGGCCCTTTCGACATCAAAATTTTCTGCCTCTTCTTCCTGTTCTCGTATCCTATCAATAATTTTCACTAGACGGGCACACAACGCAAATGCATCTACACTCGTGACGTCACAAGTAGAAGCTTGAATAGCGATGACTCTTAGTGCATGATACATATGCATCTCCTCAAGCTCAGCCGTCGCTTCGGCCTCAAGTAATGCATCGATCGACGATGTAAGTTTCACGAGCGAGTCGTTTATGACATCTGCTTCTAGCTCCACTCTCTTGGACAAGACACAGTAATTGATATGTTCATCCAAACTGTTCGCGTCTACTTTCGTCTCACAAAGTTTACATACCACCACAGATTTGATTATTCGTCGGAATGTCACTGTCATGGGTCGTCTACTGAATTGCAGGTTGTCTAACACGTCTTGTGGTAACATTCCGCTCACAACTCGACCGTTTACAGCCTCTACCAACAATCCTCTCTCGATGGTCAACCGTGGGGGAATATGCACAACTGTGGTTGTCCATGTGTCCATACGAACGCTCTTAAGCACGACTTTGCTCTTTATCGAGTCAATCACAAACTCAAGACCAAGAAATCCGTCACCAAAGATGACGTCAAACGTTTCTGGTCGATGATCGTTCTCAAACAAGTCTCCACTAACTTCTAACAACGTATCCGTGTCATCAATACTACCGTCTTCTTGATTCTCTGCACTGGATGCAACGCGCCGCCACTTGACCTGATTCTTCTCCCAACGACTCAGTACGTCCTCTAGAGCATCTGGAGCAGCATCCAAGAGACCAATACGGGACATGGAGTCCCCTCGAGAACTGAAAGGTGATACATTGAGTGTATATTGGCGTTGTAAACGCTGTGGTTTGATCTCAAGTCCTAATTCTTCCTGAAGACGTTCCATTTCACTACTACTAGTGCTACTAGCACTTGTACGACGACCATTTGTACCAGTGGGGAGCTCTAACTCTGCCACACGAACCAGAGCGAGCTGCTGTGGCCGCTCGGCCATGAAGAAGAATCAAAAAATGACGTGACGAGTCGCAAGTTTCGTACACTTTTGAAGCTTCGGCGCCTGTTCTGAGGTGTGATTTCGAAAATGAAGTTATTAACGACGAGGTCGTTAGGATATAGAGGTGATTCTTAGTATAGATAGATTTGATAGAAAGTATTCATTCGTTCGTGTACAGACGGATGGACGGACAGACGAACGAACGGACGAACGGACGGACGGACGCTTGATTCCAAATGGGTGTTTTGTTTCGCTTTGTTGATTTCAAAGTGGCAAAGCGATCAGTGTCAGTCAGTCAGTCACTCGTTGTTTGACAAGGTTTCTTTGATACGCCATTCCGTTTTCAATCGTAATCTTCCACTTGAGTTCGTGCTAGCTTCTAGATGTTTGTTCAAAGGCATGGAGCATTGGTATATAGTAAAGGGTGCTACTATCATCTTCTTACTTGTCTTGCGACAGTGTCTGTGTGTTTGTCTTCTTTCAACGTCGTACGTAGAAGTTATCGTGTTAGTTTTTTTTCGTGTTGTGTGTTTGTCGACTGTCCACTACAGCTTGAAATGTACTACGGCATGGAATAGCTAGCGTATACGACCTCTACGAACGCCGCGTTTTAGATTTATTTGGAAGGACAACAACTACCAAGTCAAAGCAATAGTTCAGCTTTCGAAGTCGTTTTACACGTCGTTCGTAGCATTGTGTCCGTTGGCTAAACCACACACGTGACGATTGTTCAAAGTTGTTCTGTACTATTGCATACAGAACGAGTTGAAAACCCTTTACATGATGCTGAATGGCTCTGCATTGCTACCATTAGTTGTTTTTCTGTAAGTCAGTATGCGATACAGTGTTTTATGCAGAAACGTGCAGTCCTGTGGTTGAGGAAGAAGAGGTGAGGAAGGTAAAAAGAGCAGTACGAACTACAGGTTTTCTGACAGAGGAGGCATCAAATGTTGGACAAACGTCATTGTTCTATGAGGAAATAGACGCAGGTAAACACCGATCTTTCCACTGCAAGAGGACAGGCGGGTATCATTGATGACTCAGCATGCAACGTATCCGTATCGAACACTGTTCTCTGCGTGTTCCTGACAAACTGGGCAAGTTACACACCAAAACCGACCCCATGACGTCAGAGAAGCCTGTGGTGTTGTGAGACATCGTGACATCAGCAGCAGGAAAGTCTGCTAATGGAAGGAGACCGTTAACAGCGTCGTTGAATTAGCACGAAGTACCAAACCACCATTGACCATTGTCTCATCTCCAGTATGGTTGACCCGTCCGCATAAGCGCTAGATGCATCTAAGGATCTGCGGTACAAGTATCTCTTGACAAAGATCGTTGCGAATCAGTACTGACCTCTTTCCTTTCACGCAGTTCTCTTGTGAACGTCCACCTCGCAAGAAACAAAGACAAAAGATGATTAACAGCGAGCTCAAGCTAGTAAGTAGCTCACAAGCTAGTAGCTCAGCACTCAAACGTAAAAGGTCGGTGCAGGCTTTCTGTGAGCGAACATGTTTCGATACAAGCTAGGCCACTGATGTATGTCCACTTGCGTCAGTTTCGAGTAAGCTATGACCGTGGCTTGTCTACTTGTCGAGAACTCCAGCGCCTCCATGAACGCGCGTGAATCAGATGAGGCTGCACTTTCCAGTATGTATCGCGTTTCATATGTAGGCAATCAAGACGATTTATCAAGCAGTACATGAAATGCCTCATTGAGCTCTTCAACAAACAAACAAACAAACAAACAAACCCTTCTATCGGCACAATCGACAGGATCTTGTATCATACTGTATTGCACTGGAAGTGCTACGTTGCTAGACTATCAACGGTCGAACCCTACAAAAGCCTGCAGCTGGTCATCAGACTCTTTGGAAAGAGTCTGACGGCCGCTGCAACGGCGGCAGTTGCACCACTTAATCAATTCGATAGCCGACGATTTGTACCCAATATCAGGACGTGTTCAGGTTCATTGTCCTTGACTCTAATGCGGTGCAAATCCGGGATCTTGAACCAAGGGTGTCGCACCTTTCCATTTAGCTTACGGATCTCCATCACTTACGTGACGTACCCATGTCTATCAGGACATAGTGGTCGTGTTTGCCACTCAAGCGAAAGAGCGCAACATGATCCAACGTCGTATCTTTTCTATTTTAACAAAGATGCACACCGAAATCTGCATGAGCCTAAGAACCTGCAAGGACGCCGTTTATACAGTCTGATCTTCCTGGTTGGATAATGCAGACATCAACAAGAACGTTCAGACGGGTACCAAATATGGACCATTGAGGTTCATGAGCATGCCATGGCATTTCAGATCTGATAGCTTTTCCAAGTAATTCACAGTTAAAGTGAATCTGCTATGATTTCAGACCTGCATCTCGGATAGTACTGCGTAGGTGCAATGATAAGAAATAGTTGTACTGCGTGATGCAATGGTACGAAATGATGAAAGTGATCAAGACATGTAATATCGTAGTCAAATAGACAGCATCAGACTGAACAGACTGATGCGATATGTATGTCGTAGGGACTTGTTCACCGTCCTAATAATGCACTAAGCTTTTTTTTTCTCAGGTCTATACCTCCCCATTGGCTGCCCAGATGCACAAAAACACGGCATTCACTTACAAGAACTGAGGAAGCAGCAGGTCATTCATCAAGTTTAGGACTTATTAGGACGCCATTCACTTGCCACGAGTACGAGTTTAGAACGTATTTATCTTGCCATTCGACACTTGCAACCTCACTGATAACATTTCAACGATAATTTATCGTCATGCCAGCTTCTAAGAAGCGTATTCAGAACCGTGGTACACTTAATGTCGGCACACAACCAGTACCCGCAGCTTTGAAAGACTGGGTGCATCTTTGGCACGGCGTGAAAGTGAATAATGGATTGGACAATACGTCCATCTTTCATGCAGGTTCACGTATTGAAGAAATACCGTTTTGGAAACAATTTGTCCGATTACCGTCCAATTCGCTGTTTCCAAGGGTCGTGACAAGCTTCAATCCACGAAAACCATACAAGGATTTCCTCTATGTGCTCTTGAATATGCGCTGGCCCATGCTACTGATGGTGCTATTGGCGATCTTCATGGCCAACATTTTCGTCTTTGCACTGATCACGTGCTTTATCTGTAGTGAACCATCCCACTTCTTTGAAGCGTTCAACTTGAGTTATCAAACCTTTACAACAATTGGATTCGGGGTGGTATACCCTACACACACGTGTGGGAATATTATCATGTCGGTAGAGTCCTTTGCGTCCATGATGGTCGTCTCGGCTGTTACGGGTCTTGTGTTTGCCAAATTTGCCAAACCGCAGGCTAAAGTGGCTTTCAGCAAAGTTTGTGTCGTACAACCTTACGGTAAGAAATACCTTGCACTCGTCGTGCGAGTCGCAAATGCTACACAATCACGAGATGTAACGCACGACGTTATCATGGAGGCTGTATTCAAAGTCAATTTGCTACGTGTTGAGCACAAGACGAAGCACATTCGTGCTCACGACGACGAAGTCACACTGAAACGAAGACGTTCTAGACGACGGGTTGAACGTACAGGCATGATACCAGATGCTGATGACGCTGTAAACGATCCTGCTTGTTCAACAAAAGTGTTGACATCGTATAACCTCAAATTGCTGCAAAGTAATTTTATCACATTCCGCATGGGCATGGCCGTAGTGCACCTGATTGATGAGAGCAGCCCGCTGTACGGAATGTCAAAAAACAACATCGCCCAATCTGATATGCTTGTAGAGGTAGCAATGTGTGGCGTTGACTCGACATTGCAGGACACAGTGTCCGAGCGATACATTTACACAGCAGCAGATCTGTTGTGGGGCTATCGTTTTGCAGAATTGTTAGAGTTCAACGAACGAAATGCCGAAGTCATTATGAACTTTGCAAGACTAAGCACGGTGGAGTCTGCCCCAATCGATGATACTTATTATCTTAAGTCGCGTTTCTCGAAGAGAGTGTCTCGTGACAGCCGCGAGACTGAAGACAATGGACAAACAGCCAATGTGGCCCGCCGGCATTTACATCAGAAGTTCAGATTGTCCCATGATCAAGAGGACAAGCATCCTTATCGTTTTGAAGCGATCCATGAAGCGTCATCCGAGTGTTCAGAACAATCAATGCTTCGTTCACGATCAGGATCGTGGGACGGGCAGTCGTCTGCCTCGGAAGATGATATACCAGCATTTCCGCACCCCCCTGTTTCGTTCTTGGGACGCCCTGGGCCAAAAAAGTTTCCAATGGGACTTGAGCCGCTATTTGAACCATTGCTACAGCAGCCATTTGGAACACAGAGAATGCCGAATGCCCCATCAGCCGAATCACGTGCTGCACGGAGAGGCGGGTTGCGAATGTGGAGAGAGAGCGAGCTGGAAAATGAACGAGGCGGACATAGCGGAAAGCAGTTGCGATCAAGTGATGGATTGAATGTTTGCGCTCGGGATGGCAGTAGGGCTATTCATAATAGCGAAGAGGTGCAAGAGTTTTCTGAAGGTCCCAATGACCTCCAATCGAAGCAAATGCTCCAACAGAAAGTGGCAGGGTCTGCAATGATCGAGGACGACGCCAGCACAATTTCACACGAAGAAGGACACAAAGCCGAGTTTTTCGATGCTTGCGACATCGACGATGTTGATGACAATAACCTGGACGATGGTCGGAGCAATGATACGACATGTCAGCACCAGGCTGTCCACAGGGCAATGTCTACTGTATCAATTGAAGTAGAAGACACGCCTCGCTTTTTGCACATTTTGCCCGTTCACATCCCCAAGTCATTCAGCTTTATGCGGTTTTACCAGAGCGCTCTCCATGTACGCTGGCCCAAAATCATTGCTGTGTTTGTGTTGTCCTTCCTAGTCATCAACTTTATCTTTGGGTTGCTGTACTGGTTTGACTTGGGCCACATTGCAGTTTATAGTGATATAGCGGTCTCAAAGTACGAGCTCACGTTCTACATGAGCGTCCATACGCTGGCAACCATTGGCTATGGATCTATTGCACCGATGCCTGACTCGGTCTACATGAACGTCATCGTGTTCATCGAGTCCATGGTGGGAATAATTACAGTGACAATCATTACCGGCATTGCTTGGTCAAAGTTTGCTCGACCGCGAGCGCACATTCACTTCTCGTCACAAATGACCATCTCAACCATCTACGGACACCGGTGCCTTGTTTTTCGTGCTGCGAATACGCGGCACTCTGGCGAGGTGCATGACAATTTTTTTCGCATTGGTGTAATCCTTACAAATCGGCGTACAGGACTACGTCAAATATACGACGTGCCGCTTATTACAGCAGAGTGGCCGTCCATTAAGCTTCCCGTGACACTTATCCACGTTATCAATCAAAACTCGCCATTCTACAGGTTTCGCTCGTTGGAAGACCTGTCTCGGTCACGCGTCGCAGTCATCGCATTATTCACAGGCCTTGATACGACCTTTTCGGAAAATGTGTACGCACGCAAAATGTACTTCTGGGATGACTTTGCGTACAATATGCATTTTGACGATTTTGCTGTCATTGAACGGGACTGCGTTATTGTAGACTACGAGCGCTTCGATCGACTCATTCACGAGGACGAGGACGAAGACGAAGACGAGCAGATTGTCACAACACCTGTGCTCTCTGTGAGATCTGCAATTAGTGATTTAGTGTAAACATACTGTTGGATAAACATGTCAATATACATTTCTCGCAACTCTTTGGCATGCGATGACTTTTTCATTGTAACGTTATTAGAAAACAAAGCGAACAGCGCTGTATCTTCCCTACCAGGTAGGTCCACGATGTTTACAAACGCAAGAGCACTACGGACTGAATACGTCACGCGATGTTTACCAGCGACCGCGGCCACCGCCGTAGCCACCACGGCCACGACCACCACCGCCACCACCGCCGCCACGACCTACAAGGTCGCGCAGCTCACGTGGCACCTCCTGTTCAGCCTCTTCCATAATCTTCACCAAAGGTCCAGCCAGTCTTGCGTTGTTGCTGGCCGTAAAGAAGGAGATCGCTGTACCCTTGTTGCCTGCACGCGCTGTACGACCGATACGATGGATGTAGTCCTCGACGTTTTTCGGCATGTCGAAATTTATCACATATCGAATATCCTTAATATCCAGACCACGAGACGCCACATCTGTTGCTACCAGAATTTGAGTCTTGCCTTCCTTAAACTCACGCAATACGTAGTCACGCTCTTCCTGTGATTTGTTGCCGTGGATTGCCTTGCATACATAACGAGTGTTGCGCAGGTTGCGACTGAGTTCGTCGGCACCGCGTTTCGTCTCGCAGAAAATAATGATACGACCGCCCTCGTACATATCGCGCAGGTGTTCCTGCAACGCAGTATACTTTTGATGGTCATCCATGACTTCCACAATCTGCTTAATCTTCTTGTTCGCAGTAAGATCAAGCGATCCTACTGTCACCTGAATGAAGTCTGTCAAAAAGTCGTTCGCAAGCGACACAATTTCCTTTGGCCAGGTCGCCGACCACATTAAAGTCTGACGATCAGGGCGGATCTGACTAACGATCTTGCGCAGCTGTGGCTCAAAACCCATATCAAGCATGCGATCAGCTTCATCGAGCACTAAGTAGGTCACACGGCGCAAATTGGTCTTGCCCATACTCAGCATATCAATCATTCGACCAGGCGTACAAATGCAAACCTCCACGCCACGACGAAGATCAGCAATCTGACCACCTTTAGGGACACCGCCGTACACGCAAGTGTTCTTGATCTTAGAACTTGCACCAAACTTGTTGCATTCGGCTTGAATCTGGACAGCTAGCTCACGTGTCGGAGCAATGATCAGCACAATCGGACCATCTCCAGGCTGGAGGTAAGGCTACAAAATGATAAAAAAGACACGGCACACCAATGTTAGAGCATGATCAAACAACCAAGCAAACAAGGTTGCACGAGAAAGCAAACACAAGCGAGCGCCGAGGGATTTGAGGTGTTCGCGTGCTGCTTCTTCTTCTGGCCATCGCCCACAACGCACCAATGCAGTTTTCGCACGGATCGATTGTCTGGAGGACTTCGGCGAAAGAAGAAAAAGGCAGCAGTGCTAGAATAATCTGTCGAAATCGTCAGTGGATACTCTCTCATCTTCAAGATGCGGGTTGCCACACACATTTACGGCACCAAGAAGACCTGTCTCCACCGACTCGACCAGCACTCAAACACCACAATACTGCGATTCGAATCAACTGAAGTGACCAAAAGCACATAAATGCCGCTCAATGAGTAGCGCAAAACACACTCCCCAACAAAGCGCATCCATGTGGATCGACCACACCCTGAAGACCGTGTCATACCCCGCGCCTCACACGTGTGTCCCGTTCACCACATCCAAAAAAGTGCGTGATGGACCGTTGTGTGCTATACACAACTTTGCTATCACTCCCTTCCATCAGCGCACCAGCGCCATGGAAGCTGCTTTCATCCTTAAATTATACAATTCTTTGCACAAACTCTGCTGCAAACTACGAACCTGTGCGTTAATGTGCACAATTGCAGGTAGCAAAAAAGCTAGTGTTTTGCCCGAACCTGTCGCTGATATACCGACCATATCGCGTCCAGAAAGTGCCATGGGCCATCCCTGACACTGAATAGGTGTTGGCTTGTCAAAACCTAGACGTACTATCTCTTCTAACACGTATTCAGGAAATGATGCTTCCTCAAATGACATGACACATTTAGGTACACCTTTGCCTGATACAGTAATCTGATGTTCACGTTTCCAACCATCGTATTGATCTTCTGAACGTTTCGTCACGTCTGGATGTTCATAGTAAAAGTTTTTTTCAAATACAGGCAACTTGGACAAGTCCCATTGAATATGAGAGTCTAAATTTGAACCAAGGTCACCGCCGTCTCCACCCCCACGTCCACCACCTCCACGTCCACCACCTCCACCGTAACCGCCGCCGCCATAGCCACCACCACCGCCGCCATAGCCACCACCACCGCCGCCATACCCACCACCACCGCCGCCATACCCACCACCCCCCCCCACCGCCGTAGCCACCACCTCCACGAGAGTTGCTATAGCCACCACCACCATTACTGTAACCACCACCGCCTCCGCTATAATCACGACGTGAAGAAGAGTCGTTATATCTGTCACTACCGCCACCGTACATGATTTCAAGAGTGATGGTCTTTCGAACTTAAAAGGGGCTTGGACACTATTGGTCGTTTTGGCTAATGCGGAAGCTAAAGATTGGAGCGGCAGGGCAGGAAACCATCACTTTAGACAGGGTCTTCACAGACGGGGATTGGTTGGTTGTTAAAAGACGGAATTTTCAAACCTTTAGCTGACAGCATTGACAACGATTGGACAAAAATAAAACAATATCTTTGCACGAATCAGCGAATAGGATACAAAGAAAGAAAGGTCGAAAAACTTATCGTCATACAAAGGTCCTTAAGTTCGGTAGCGCTATAATCATCTTTTTACGCTAAAATACTGCGCTCATAAGACGCAAACTGCTGATTAGCTTCGGAGATACTCACTTCAACTTTACTCACACCACGCTCCTAGATATACAAAAGACCATAATAAAACAATAAATACACATATACAGTACAAAAGTAATGACCACATATATACAATACAAATCCTTCCTTACCAATAATGCAACAAGCGTAAAAGCATCCACAAGTTGATTGCTCTAATCCAAATGCACCATAAGCAACAAATAGAGTACAAGGCATAATACAATAGTATGACATGACAACGTACAATGTAAATGGCAAGCTCTTCTGCTGACGAATGCACAATTGGCAGTAGAGAACAGTCTGACTTTGGAAAACTAAATAACCACATTATCAGAAGTTACAAGTCTGCCAATAATACTGTATACTTCGTAGTTCACAAACAGTGCTACAAACCTGAACTCGGCCATGTCTTCTGTAATAATGCGTACATTTGTGTCATCAAAGGAAATCTATGACACCACACGCACTTATATCAGCATTCAATGCAACAACACGAACAAACAGGGTTGTTTCATACACCAACAAACGAGCACACATCCCTTACCTTTAGAGCATCACTGTTCATCGGCACAAGGAACGATTCATTTAAATCCTTGCAAATAACCCGTGAAATCTTCTTAATCTCACCAAAGTCCACTACGTAGCCATCTAAACCAACTTGTCCAACAATCGTAACAGCTAGTCGGTAATTGTGTCCGTGCAGCTTCTCTCTGAATCCCTGCATTCAACACACATGCACTCACACACAAAATCAGACGCAATCTATTTGTTACCTTCTGTGTCAACAACTGCATCTATACCTTGTAAGCAATAAAATGGGCTGCGTTGAATTTCATATAATCCTTCGATACGTGCACCTTGAATACCTCAGTATATCCGCTACCTACGGCATTGCGTGTCGACGGCATAAGAGAAGAGGGTACGACAACAGCACCAGTCGGTGCTTCAGATACTGTCGAGGAAGCAGCAGAAGTAACAGTCTCAGCAGTAACAGTGGTCGGGACCTCTATTTTCGCAGACTGTGACAAAGATTGATCGGAAGTTGAGGAGCCACTGGTTGCTGACGAATTGCTTCGAAATGGCTGAATTTGAGCCTTCACATCTTCCGGAGTCTTCACGCATCCACGAAGATGTGAAGCCCATCGATCGACATTGCGTGACGATATTTCCTTGTCACAATAGCAGCACTTGACTACTCCCTCTGAAACACCGCGGGTTACATACATTTTGACAATAGCTTTTTGGTCTGAACTAAGTTCTTTACCCATTTCAAAATTTCGTTTTCGTCTCTTTCTTTCTAATAAGGTGGATGGTGCGTCAATACTAATCTGTTCTTGCTCTGTAAACCTGTTCTGGTCTTCTTCGTCAAGTGACATTATGAGCCAAGTGAAGGAAGATAGAGCTCAAGCAATGGTGTGGACTGCTCTCATGAAAACTAGCGTTGGGTGAATATGATTGGAAGAAAATGAAAACCACGAAAAATACGTAACATTTCGTTCCATTATCCGAAAACAAAAACAAAACAAAACTAATCAATCGAATTCCTACTTTTTTCGATTTATTTATTACAACAAGATGAAAAATGTGAAAAAAACGATATATATGCAAAAAAAAATACAAGATTATTAGGCACAAATATGTCAATAATGCCTCCATACCACCAAAGAATACCTTCTTGCGCGCTCTTTCTTTGCAACAAACAAATGCTTATGACGATTATTGCTCGGAGACAGCGCGAGGTACAACGCTCAGGAAAAAATTCATGCTCACGCCCAACAGTAGACCAACTTTTTGCTTACGCGGAACGGAGCGATCAAGAAGCTGAAGGATAGAAAAGTCATTTTGTTAACAACAACTACAGAATCTTGCAGAGAGACTAAGTCAAACATGACTCACCATCAAAAGCATAAATACACCCAGCAAAAGACCCATCAGGAACCCCCACAAAAATTCAGTGCCAGTGCCTTCGTTATCTGCTGCTAAAATAGAATTGTTTATACCATTCATATCAATCTGCGCATCCATTGCAATACGTGCCGTAGGCACAACATTCAGTGCTATACAACATAGCAAATAAAACTGGCGTTAAAAACGATACAAATCCAGTCTACCATATCACACACGTTCGTACCAAACTCAGACTGTGGTCCCTGTGATGCCATCCACTCATCTTCAAGACGGTATATCCGGTCCTCACTGCTCTCTCCAGGTACATGTTCTGCTTGACTGATAAACAACGAGAGCTGTGGGTAGAAATAAAGACGTAGTGCCTGAACTTCTTCCCGGCTGAGTCGGTCACGAAGTCGATCAAAGCCTCTCCTTGCAGATGGATCATCTCTATCCTCTAAATCACTATCACTACCCGTTGTCTGCATCACATCATCAACCAGATCAGAATAAAAAAAACGTCTACATCAAATGGCTACAACAAAATTCATTGTACCTGATTCACAACCATTTTTGACGGTGCTGAGCTAATCGCACAATGAACAAAGTCATCGTTCTTGACTTTACAGCTCTCCAATGTCACTTTATCATCTGACAGCATCTTTCCTTGATGAATCAATCGCAAATATTTACCCTCAGCATTTGCTTTCTTCTTAATGAGATCCTTAAGCTCCCCGACAGTCGCCAATGGTACAATCTCCACACGCAGCGGTTTCTCACTAATTGTCTTCACCTTTAACACAATCTTATCATGGATGTTGTCTGTATCAATTGTAATGCCGACACAATCGTCCGATAACTAGAGAAAATAACACACACATACACAAAACAAACAGGAAAAAAAGTTACATCTAATTTCAACATATTGTCACAATAAACGAAACAAAGAAAGAAAGAAACCAAATAGCAAACAAGCATCTACCAATGGCTTTTCTTCCGTAATACTGTGATTGGTTTCTGGTTCCATCATAGTGTCTACTTGTCAATCTAAAAGCCTTTTTACGTCTATTAAATCCCAGCGCTTAGTGCGACCGACTCGTAAATTACGAATGTTTAGTTGTTATTTTGTGCGTTATTGCATGTGGTTTAGGGGTATACAAGCCAGTGGGAGTATATACTTGATGCTAATTGGTACATAACAGTTATCCTTTTCAGCCAATCCAAGACGTTAATTTACGAATTTCATGGTGTCAATAATGTTCAAGGCGCACAATGCAGGACCACGGGGTTTCTGCCTCTTACAGTACGTTTACGACGCCATTGATTGATAAAAGGGCATTGAAACTTGAATCGATACAAGTTGCTGTACGAGTAAGACCATTGAGCTCTAAAGAGCGTTTACAAGGCTCCAAAACATGTGTAAATGTGGTAAATACCAGCGTCGTAGTGGCTGAGAAACAATTTGACTTTGACGCTGTATTTCCATCGACAATGCAGCAGGTTTTGATGCATTTTAGATTATAATATTCGTGTCTTGAATGTTTATTGTGTTATTGTATTGTGGTGACACGGGTTCTATCGTTTGCTTTCTTTCTTTTGGTGCAGGAAAATGTCTATACAACGTTAGTCAAGCCATTGATGAACGAGTTCTTTGATGGTTACAATGTAACTGTATTGGCCTATGGACAGACTGGATCTGGAAAGACGTGAGTGATATACGGGATGATTGAAGTGTCGGCGAGGACAAAATAATGGACTGAGCTGACTCATTTGATATTTGTTCAAGATACACTATGGGCAATGAGTTCGCGTCGAGTGTATCTCGAACTGATCGTGGCATCATTCCACGCGTGATTGACCATGTAAGTGTTGTAACTGCCTAGTTCTGTGTCTTGTTTCTTGTTTTTTACAACGAATTGCTGTCCAGATATTTGAACGTATCAATGCAAACCCGCAGCATTTTGTCGTTAAAATGTCGTATTTGGAGGTGCGTGGTCTGCATTGTATGCATTAAGGTAAGCTGTGGTGCTGTTACGGTACTAATCCGCAGTCGTTGTAGGTTTCGAACGAAGAAATTATCGATTTACTTGTAAAAACGTTTTGTTGTACTAATACATCATTGCCAACGAACACGGGACTATCTGTACGTGGCGATGGAGATCGTGGAATTTTTGTTTCTGGGCTAAGTGAACACGTTGTGAATTCGGCTAGCCAAGCAAGAGCTTTCCTATGCTCTGGCGCGCAAGTACGTGCCACAGCTTCAACAAGCATGAATGGTCGATCAAGTCGGTCACACGCCATTTGCACGCTCAGTATGGAGCAGCATGAAGCAAGTTTTGTGGAAGAGGGCGCTGAAACGCGGTATTCTAAGTTTCACCTGGTAGATTTGGCTGGCTCTGAACGCGTTCAACGCACTAACATGGAAGGAGCACGTTTTAAGGAAGGCGTCAGTATCAATCGAGACCTGCTTGCGCTTGGAAACGTTATTAATGCGCTATGCAAGCGAAATCGCACAAAATCACTAAAGCTCATATACCATATCGAGACTCAAAACTCACACGTTTGCTTGAGGACAGTCTTGGTGGAAATAGCAAGACACTGATAATTGCATGCATCAGTCCCGCTAACGTTAATTACGAGGAGACATGTAATACACTACGCTATGCATTCCGAACGCGGAGTATAGAGAACAGGGCCATGGTTAACAACGAAAGCGGTATCGCAAGCAATGTCGCGAGCCTAAAGCGGCAGATAAGAGTTGTGAAGTTACAGCACACAGTGGACAAGTCTGTCACAGAAAATGCTTATTCCTCTTCCTCTTATACGAAGACTCAACTAGAGGAGCAAAATCGCAAGCTGAAAGAAGAGCTTGTTCACGCAAACTGTGTGAAGGATAGGTGGAAAAGTATTGCGAGTGCACTAGAGACCAAGCTTGAAGAGGTGACGAAGGAGCTGCATCGTTTGCAGACGCAAGCAGCGAAGAAAAAGGCATTGAAAAAGCGGAAAACACGAGAGTCGTATGAAACAATGGAGACGTTATTTAGCAGTAGTAGTGGCGAAGAAGACAACAGTGAAGGTGATTCGGACTACATCGATGAGGACAACAATCGAAATTACAAAAGAAAGAAAAGAGGGAACAACACGTTAGCGCAGACGAGCTTGAAACAATTGGACGTTATGGATGAAATTGATGAGCTGCTGGAAAACAGTGCAGTTTCTTGCTGTACCTGTCACGGGAAATGCGCAACAAAGTCATGTGCTTGCAAGTCGGTGAGCCGTGTCTGCAGCGCTGAATCTTTATGCAATTCAAGCAAATGCCGTAACGGGAGTAGTGGTACGAACACATTAGCAGAGCGCGCGTGAATGTCATTTTCTTTCGTTCTTATAGTGCGTGCACGAATGCTGTACTTGTGTTGCTGTTTTCAAAGAACTAGCCGCTGCTTACCTTAATCATCAGGTAGCAAAACAATATCTACGATATTTTCCACAGTGATAACCGTGGCTCATGATAGGCCCTTGAAGACGTCCCTGTCTAAAGCTTTAGTGTTGCCATCATGAATCGATGTCATCCTCATCATCAGTATCGGACGAGGCATGGTGACGCGCTGCAGTTGTTCCAGCACGACGAGTTGGCGTTTGGATGCTCACTCCATTCGAATTTTTGCCAATGCTGCTCCCTACGCTTCCAGCACCTTTGTGCTCACTCGTTCTAGATCGAGTGCGGATGACCAGCGCAGCTTCTTTGGGCTTCTGATACTGATACGTGCTATTTCCACTAGACGCGTAACTTGCGCGTTGTGCTCGCATCTTTTCCTCGCTTTTTTTTGACAAGAAGTCTTGAATAAGCTGGCGCTCATGGGTACTACTATGCGCCACTTGCACGGTCATGTCAACGACCAAGAAGAGTTCTTGATACTCGGTTTCCATTCGCGTAAATGTGGCACCAGGCAAAAACTCGTATGAACTTACTTCAAGAATGTCAATCGAATCACGATGATATGGGATACGTGCAAAGCGTAGCCGTTCCGGTGGTATGGACAACGCAGCGCTAGCAGCTTCCGCCAAATACGTTTCAGGGTGGTTCTCCTCGTCTAAGGCTGAAATTATCACCTCACGCCGCAAGTGCTTGACAAAACGCCACGTTCTGCGATTTACATACACAAACTCGACAATCCGGTGACTGACTTCTAGGGTTTCTGGCTCCGTCAAGATTTCTGCAACAATGCTTCTTCCTTCGTATACTGCCAGTTTTGATGCCTCCACGAGCTTTTGGCCATCCACCAACACGCTTGTCATCGTGTTTTGACGCAAATCGCGAAGACGGATGTGTGATGGAGCCAAACTTCCGTCTTTAGCATCTACAAAGTTTTTCTCCACCAACTCATCCCAGACTTTTCGACGAATGTCTTCGACCAGCATCTCCTCGCTAATAACGATTTGGTTCACAAACTTCAGCAAAGAGTCATCCTTCCCTATGGTCACTAGCACTTCATCAATATCAAACAAATCCTGGCTGTCATTACTATCTGCTAACGTGTTCGCAACGATAGACTGAGCCTGGCTATCACTGTCAGCACTCTCTGCAGCCGGTTGGTAAAACATCAACCTGAAGTTATACTCTCCGGTGTTCAGCGGAGTGCCTTCCAAAGCGAAGACTGTGTGATTCGACCCGATTGACAGTTTGGACAAAGTGCTATCGATCGCCTTAATTTCTACGCCTGCACTGTTAATGCCACGTAAAAGCTTGAATGAGTTTGAGGGTAGCCCAATTGCAGCGCCAATTCTCTCCTTCAGCGCTCGGATTGTCTCTCGTCTATCGATCCGCAATTGCTGCGGTGGGCTCGTCAGATACTTGAAGTTGATTACAATCATGTTGGACTCACGCTCAAAGAACGCCTCAGCAGGTGACGGAAGCGTGAGGTCTGACGTCTCCTCGAAGTACAACTCCGTTCCATTTACAAGATGTAGATCCATCTTCAATCGCAAACTCAGCGTCCGCTTTTGTTCATTTGCATTCAAGATCTTGGCCGCAGAAATGTTGTATGTGGTTGCACTTTTCTTAATTAGGCGAATTTTGCGGCCCGCTAGAACGGAGAACTTCTTTGCAATCAAGGCACAGAGAGACGCAACATTTGCATCCTCGTCCACCTGAACACACCTCGCCATTCGCGAGGTATCAGACGTATGGCTATTGCTGTCGGATTTTGGATCAATGAATTGACGAATAAAGAGCTGTAGTTTTGTCGGGTCGTACTCATCCCATTCCTCATCTTGGCTTTTAACCTCTAGGAAAACCTGTTGGCCTGCGTAGATTCCTAGCGATGACAACAACATATCCTCCTTGCCGTTGTACGTATCAGAAAGCAAGCAATTATAGTCATTATAACCCCGTAACCTCACATTCTCAACAGAAGGGACAATGACGTCCTTCTCCTTTGCAAATTCCTTGCATGCTATTTCCAGCGCTTCTCGAACTGTTGATGTCTTGTATAGGTAAATTGCCTTTTCAATGTTTTTTGGCTTGAATCCCTTCATAAAAAACTTCACTTGTACCTTCTTTGCCATCTCTTGCCGCTCCTGTTCAAGTCTTTGTATCTTTTCTTCGTCAGCGCGAATCTTATCTTTTAAATATTGAGGAATGCTCTCCGGTAAGATCACGTTGACATTCTTTTGTGCAGAAACCAGGCGGTAAAGGAGCATATATGCACAAGTACTATAGCGCATACTATAGTTAGAACCACTGGCACCTCCAAACGCCGTCTTGAGCTCTGTGTCAGAAATTTCACTAACATTAGAATCATTAAAGTTGTACCATTTGCCCGACTCCAGAGACTTTATATACGCATAATAATGACCACCTAGTGCACTGCCAGAATGGATAAGCACAGAGTACAACTCATACACGTGGGGTCCTGAGCGCTTAATCATGACATCAGGGTCAAATGCAGGACTCCACGTGTCAAACGAAGCAGAACCATGGATCTCATTGTCCTCATTGATGTCATCCTTCTTTGCCTCGCATTGTTCAAAGGTTGTCGGCTGTGATTCATTCATAGATGATAGTCGATGCATTCTTTCACCCATTGCTGCAAGTAGAGGCGTTGGAGGGGGGGAAGACGATGTTGTTGGCGCCGAATCTTCAAGCAATCTATGGTGATTTTTGCCCTCCAGTTCGTGCCGTTCCATTGACATTTTTCGGGCAATTTTACCTCGAGCGCCACCATTTTCGTCACTCACATACGAATTCATATCCAAATACTTCGGGAAGGTCACTTTGTTGTGCAATTTGATGCGGTTCATCGTGGCATAATCAAAGTCAAAACGTTTCAGCTGCAGCATCAAAATATACGGCAGCTTCGAGAATTTCAATCCTTTTATTGCATCTCGTTTCACCTTGCACCGATCACACACCCATTGGTTCTCTTTATCCAATACTTCTGGACGCAGAAATAGTTCAATGGCCTCCTCCACAGTTTTCATCATTTCCGTCGATCCAAAAGGACGAATGACCAGCGACAAGTCGAGAAAATTGTCAATCCTTGAGCTTTCATATCCACATTCACAACATTGCACGTAATCCTTCAAAGATCCCTGGTATAGATCGTTGACAAGATTTTCATTTACCGTACCGTTAAACGATTTTTCCAAAGCATCTAGCAGCACTCGACACAGCTCTTGCACGTCATGTTGCTGGAAAACATCTGATCCTGTCCATCCAAAGCTTTTCGTCAAATCTTTAGTAGAAATAGCGTCTTGTGTCGTAAGTTGAAGCTTGGCAAATAGATTCTGGAGTTGCAACGGAATATTGTCTTCATCTGCCTCTTCCTCCTCCTCCTCCTCCTTCTCCAGTTCTTCCTCTTCTTTCATCTCTTGTTCCTCTTCCTGATTTATTGCTTTCTTGACTGCATTATCGCATGTCCATCTATACAATCCTTGACGAAATTCTGGTGTCATATACATACTCTGTAGTAAGCTATTCATATAGCACGTCGCTCCTTGATTCGATAGTCCTGTAAAGGCTTTTCTTGGTCGTGTATAGTTGCCAAAACTACTGTAATTACTACTTTCATTGCTTGTACACTCTGTTGATTCATAAAGACCTTCAAAACCTGAAGAACTGTACGTAGTCAGCGCTGTAGACTGTACACTGGGACTTGAATCAGTCGGTATGGCACTGCCACTGTCTTGAGCACGTGGTAATTGTGTAAGCACGGATGAAACCTGTTTCCGATGTCTCTCACGAAAGGCTAAAAGCTTTTCTTCCTCATCGCTCGAATCCCACTCGCCTTTCATAATCAATTACACGATATAAGGGCTTTTTACTATATAAGGGCTTTTTGAGATCTATCTAAGTGAAAAAGATTAGTTGGTGTATCGATACATGGAATTAAAGCACCGTGAATGATACAGTATAAGTGACAAAGGAAGGAATGAGTCATTAGCGGATTCTTCACGACGACCATATGAAGACAAATACAAGTTGACAAACACTTGAGATACTGTAGCAATATGTGTTGTCATCTTACGATATCATTGCTGTGCTAATTTTGACGACAAGAGTCGGAAAGACTCGACACCATACGAGGCGTAGGAGATCTGTTCTTTGCCAATGGCATTTCCTCGTCCGAGTCTTCTGAACCATAGTACGTTCGGTCGCGCTTGAGTGTAAATGTTTCCGAGATGAAATCCATCTCACCTGATCGCATCTTTTTATTTCGCCACAACATATAGCACAGGATCATTGCAATTGCATACAGTATGGCTAAGCAGCAGCAATGAAATACAATCGGTGCATAGTATATACCCACAAGCAAGCAATACAAACAAAGTGTAGACAGCACATACATACATTCACACATAGACAATGAGATCACTTGTGCCAAAAAATCCAAAACAGTTATTGTCCTATCAGGACCATATAGATGGACGCACCAGCTTCAAAACACGAATTAGCCCCAGAGTTTGGTGTCTTGGCGTTGAGAATGTACATTGGCTGCAACTTCAGCAGCAGTCCCACTACCACCTACAATAGCATCATACCACACATAACATTAATATCAGTACAAATAGTAGAATCTAAGACCAGAATGCTACATGTGTATCACACAATAATCACGACAGCGCATGTACCAAGAAGACAAAGCCGACAAAGCAGAAAATGGTCCCACACAAATAGCCTGATCCATGAAATTGCATACAAAATCAACGTGAATAGAGTCAATTGTCATCCAGCAGAATCTTGACAGCGAAAAAGACAGAGATTGCGTCAGAATCACGTACGTGCTTCGGCCATGATGTTGTCTAATGCTAAGTATGTATCTGCCTTGTTTCTTCCGATAGAAATGATCAATCCAGCTGTTTATGCGCTGGAGCTATTATTAGCCAATGGAGTGGATTGGCTGACTTGGAGCTAAACTGATGTACACAACACCTTTTTGAAAAATAGTGTTTATGCATCAATACGCGTTTCCAAAAAAGATTGTACCTTCTTCGAGTGGTCCACACTGATGCCACATGTTACTCATTCCTTAATTGTATCTTCGATGGTGTGGTCCATTCTCGCTGTATCATGTAGCGATCCACCTAGGAAGCGATCCACAAAGGATAGCAATCCACCTAGGATAGCGATGTAGATCTGGATTGCGGTCAGTGTGTGGTCCACGTATTGATAGCGATCCACAAGTGATACAAAATTCACATATGATAGCGATCCACAAATGATAGCAATCCACATAGAATAGCGATCCACACACCGATTTATATCGCGATCGGGATCTGGATCTGGACCAGTCTGTGGTCCACACACAATATGCGTAGCAAACCAGTGATCTCATATTTCGACTTTGCCGCATAGCGATTGACGAGTCTGTGTTTCGACGTCATCGGACCTTCACGTCCGAGCTGATGGAACCGCAGACTCTGTCAATCGGCGCGTTGCCGGTGCTGCCCTGCTGTAGCTCATTGTTGCGCGTTTGCTTACACTCCATGCACGAGGTGGACGTCGTGCATTTAATGCTCGTCAATCGAATGTCTGAAGCTGGATCCCGCGCCATGTTTTCGATGGTATCGAACTCCAGTCACTCAAAGCCTCAATAGAAGTGCCGCAGCGTGTCTTCTCGTCACTAGTCACGTCCGTGACCATACTTGCTTTGAGCGCCGCCATGATCGCCTCGCCTGCACCGTGCCTGTGTTTTGTCGCTGTCATCTCGGCTTACGGCACATTTCTGTCCATTTAGTCGTCAAAAGCTATCGCACCGTCGCTGCGCCAAGAAAGCGCGCGCTTTTCACCGTCGTAGACGAAAACAAATTATTTTATTCATTTCGAGCTTGCTCATACAAGACAATGTTCTTTGCCAGTCGTGGCGCCAGATACACGTCCGTGAACATCACGGTGCTCTCACCACCGTGCGCCATTTCTCTTTAATTCGCACGCTGCTGACTTGCGTCAGATGCAAAGACTCACCATAATCCATGGCTATCTCGTAGTCACAGGCGGCAGAGTCCATCAGCAACGTCTCGCCATTCACGAGATGCCGACTCGCACCGCTGTCGAGAATCCAGATGCCTCGATTGCTATCACTTAAACCGCTAACAGTAAGGACCATCTAGCGCTTTACCTTTCTTGCTGCGCTGGACATGTCTCGCTTGCCTCTTGTAGGAATCGTAAAGACCGTGCCGCCACCACCGCTGCCATTGTTCGGCTTGCCACCACCACTCCAATCCTCGAGTAGCAGTCAGCTTGCAAGTGTCCCACCCGTAGCAGGTGCGTACTTCTTCCTGCTTCGCGCCGACGTGTGTGTGGTGGATTGGGTGCTCAAAACTGCGTAATAAGACCCCAAGCCACTCACTGTGCCGGACTGCCGACTGTCAGAGGGGGTACCCCGATGCCGCGTATAGACCTTCTCTCACCTTGTGTACCCGTCGGCTGGCGGGTTGCACTCTTCGGAGGACTTGGTTGATATGTGGTGTCGGCCTTGAGAGAGGTCGACCTTGGAGTGCCTCGAGTGGGTATACTTTGCTCGGTAGGCGGGTAGGTGGCCACTCGGTCGACTTGATCGAGGGTGGACTTATAACCAAATTCTTCAGGGGAGATTATCAACCCTGGCTTTTTCCTTCCTTTTCCTTGATATATATATATATATATATATATTCAGGGGTGTTAACCGCCTGGACTTTACCTGCTCCCGGACCACTAGGGTAGGGAGACCGCTTCCGATAGCGGGTTGATTTTGGGGGTGCTACTCAGACGAACCCACAGGCCAAATGTATCCTGGGTTTCTATTTGCACTTAGGTCTTACCACACAACTGTCTTTGACGAGTAGGCAAAATGCATCCCTTCCCGGAACAGGTGGGTAGACTTAGTAAGTACCTTAGAAGCACGACGGAGGTGTGCTATGTAGATCGCAAATTGAGTAATATTTAATATAGTCCTATATTTTAACTGCTTTACTCTATCCTTACCCCCGAGACCTGATTCTTGATTCTGCTTGCCGAGGGACCGGGGACCGAGGGACCGGGTGACCGAGGGGCCGAGGGGCCGGGGGGGGGGGCGGAGGTCCACCTACCGAGGGACCCGGGTCTACCAGCAAAAGACCAGGGTCTATTAACGAGGAAACAGGGTCTACCAACGAGGGGCCAGGGTCAACCTCGAAAAGACTGGGCTCCACCTTGAGGATCCGCGGGCCATCAGACTAACCGCGGTTAACTCCTCTGAATGAAGCACGATAAGCCGGACAATCTCCTCATCCAACGGTCGTCCCCCGTTTCTTTATAGCGCCCCGTCTCTCTGTCCCTTAGCTAACGGTCGCTCCTCCTTGGCAGGTCCCCTTCTCTTCGACCCACCGGTCCTCTGGCCTACCAATTCTTGAAACAATTCACCACATGTGCAGCGACGACTTCGCGTCCGACCGCACCTCTGCCGAGCTCAACCGACTGCGCAAAGTACGCCATACTACGTCATGGTGTAGGTAGTCGACACAACTTGGGTCTTACTTGGCGCGCATGACGTTCATCAGCTCAGAAGAAGCGTGATGGTGGATCTTGTCCACCACAAGCAAGTTTTCGCCTCCCCGTGCGTCACTGACAGCCACTATTTAGATGTGCTCAGACCACGTGCGATTTAAGTCCTTCTTATGCATGAAGAGTTTCATGGACTGGCTCGCCGTAAGTGTCGTTTTGAATGCTGCAAGCGGCTGGTACATGATGTAGTCGAGCCTTGGTCTCTGGCTCCAACACGTGTCTACCTGCTTGTGGTAGTACCGCTCAGCCGTGCCGATGAGGTGATTCCTAGCAGATTCGACCTTGACATCGCCGCTCCAGGTGAAACCGTTAGCGTACTCGTCCAGTTTGACGCGGCGCAGAAAAAGTACGGTCCCAATCGAAGAATACGGACCCGAGTCCCTTGTAAAGCTCAGATTCGTCGAACTTACGAATCGACAATTTTTGCTGGCTTGCATCTGCGGCCTACGTGACTAGCGAAGGGCGACCCTCGCGATGTTTGCCTTGCAGTGACCTGATGACCCTGAGGCAAGGTGGTCTGTGATAGACCTCGCATAGACCATGAGTCCTCGGTCGACCATTGCTCTTGAGGGTGAAACTCGATGTCTTGCAGGGTCATCTGGTTGTCGTCAGACGGTGCTTTTGCAGCGGTGGCGGGAGGTGAGTCGAGTAGTACTGGGGTAGTTCCCACCAGGATACCCAGACGATTGTGTAGGATTTCTAACGTGGTCTTGATACTGTTGAACCCCAGGAAAAAGAAGTCTTCAGGCTTGAACCTTCCTGCAACAATACCTACCTCGCGAAGAAGGGTCACGAGCGCGGTGATCGCGTCTGTCACCGTTCTCAGCTTGGGAAGGGTTCACACAGGTCCACTGAGCTGACCCAGCAGTCGGATCTCTAGGGCTCTGGTGACGTGGTGACGTGCACACAAGCTGCGAATGGAGAAGAGATGAAAGATCAAAGAAAACCTGACCTTGGACATATGCGAGATGTGCATCGGCCTTGTTGAGGTATTTTGCGCTACAACACGTGCTCAAGAAAGGTAATGCATCGCATCTTTCCAGGGGAGATGTTTATTCCAGTAAAGAACCGTGCTGAGCTTTTATCGCGGTACACGGCAGCATTGTCGTCTTACAGAACGCAGGCCAAATTGCAATCGATGCGATACTTTTTAGTGAGGAGTCTTTGAAGAATGGCTAGGTGATGCGGGCAAAAAGGAGAACGTTGGCGAGAAATAGTTGAGGCTCGCGACAACACATGAGAGCCCAGAGCTAGTTTGGCGTGCTTCTACGCGTGTGGAGCTACATCTGGCTTTGGAAGTTAACATCAAAAGTTCCACATTGCATGACTGAATATGACACTGCACAGTTTGGGAAGATATTGCCGCGCTGGGATTACGAAATGCTTACATGGAATACCCTTCGCTGCATGAAGAGCTCGTGGTGATTGACTATGTTGTATGGTACTTGATGCCACGGGTAGCTGAACTGACAACAGTGTATGAGACCGCAAAGCTTGTAACATTAGCTTGATATCTCTACGATGAGCGGAGGGCGCGGACGACGAGCAGCGAGCTCACGAAACGGCCACGTGTGTACAGCCAAGGAAAAGTCGGGCTTCTGATAGGTTCAATTTTCAACCAATCGGAAATGAGCCAAGACCCGTACCGAATTACACCTCGTCACGTAACAAAGTTGCCCGGGGAGGAGTGTCTACCGATCCGGTAGGTAATTTGCAGGCATACTTCGACGTGGCGATGGAGAAATTCTTACAAGAACGCCAAGTACCGCAAGCACACATTGGTGGAAGTGCGGCCAGAGGTCGAACGAGGGCGCAGAGGTCAACGGCCCAGCTGGGTCCAAGTGAAGGTATGCAAGGAGCAAGAGACCAAGAGATGACTGACCGACGTGGAGATGGAATTGATCAGTTCGTGCGAATATGACCCAGACGACATGGACCTTGATGGACCTCTGGCGAGAATGGCCAATGCCACCCTGGGACAGGTACCCAACATGGTCCCTCGTATTAAGCTCTCAGCGACCTCGGATCTCAAGGAGTTTCATGGTGAAGACCATGATGAAGACCAAGCACGCAGTTGGGTGACCACTGTGAAGACCGCGCTCACGAGGGACCAAGCGCCAGATGGGGAGAAGTGTCGTTTTTGGAGGATTATTGACTGGACCTGCCCAGAACTGGTATTGTCAACTAGGTCGCTCTGTTTGTGGAAATTGGAAGAATTTGTTCCAGGAATTTCAGATGCAGTTCTGTGGTTTGGGGGTGCAAGTGGCCCGCCAATATTACCACGCGAAGAAAAGGTCGGACGAATCCCCGCTGGGCTACCTATACCGTCTGAATGTCATTGGACTTCGAGCGAAGATCAAGATCAAGGATGGGCCGCCCAAGATTCAAAAGGAATATGCCGAACACTATATCGAGACATTGGACGACCCTGACCTGGCGGACCAGTTGACCGTGTTACGTTTGGCTGATGTGGAAGAGCTGGAGGATGTACTAAGGGCGCGTCAATGGACGAAAGCTCGACGGGGCAAGATGTTGTTTGGGTCAGGCAAGTTTCGCCAGAAAGCACTGATTACCCCTGATCGGCCAAGGGAGTTGGATCGCCGCTCTGTTCATGCAGTTTGAGCGACCCAGTAAGGATCGAGCTCCGAAGACTCCAGTTTGGACCGTTCTGATAGTGACGGTGAACTACGGAAGGTCTACCTCATGGATACGGAGACGAAGAAGGACCTAGGGCCAAGGACCCAGAGGGACCGACCCATCAGAGAGGTCGACCAGCCCCGACCCACGACCAAAGACCATGGACCTCGCACGGCATCGGCAACCCCAAGTGCAAGATACACCCATTGTGGGCCCAGGGAGCATGGAGACTTGGGTTGTTTGAAGAGACTGACCGGCGATTGCTGTGGAAAGAAGGGCCATCCATTATATCGTTGCCTGTTCGTATGTCGAGGCTGTGGAGAAACCCACGAGGTTGGGAAGTGACCGATGGAAGAGTTTTATAACTTGATCCGTCTGTGGTACAACCCGACCAAGCACACTGGGATGTTGCCGGAGAAGGCCGAGCAGATGCTAAATTAGGATGCTCTTCAGGTTTTAATCTGGTACGAGCCGAGTGTTCAAATTTTGTATTTTTGCATACGTGGAAAAGCGACCCAAGGGAGGAAGGGACATTCAGGATAACTTGATCGGAAATTTATCGAAGTTTGAAAGTTACCCTAGGGTCCATGTTGCTTCTTTCGGCGCGTCAAACGATTTTGTTTGGGAAAGTGCAGTGATGGAGTTGGACTTACTGCCGGGCGAGTCGAGGGGGTATTGGAAATACCATGTTCCTACGAAATGGTTGGGACAGGCCAAGGCCTCTGGGAAGATTAACAATGATTGAGCTAACTTGTTGTTTGATAATTGCGCCGAGATATCTATTTTGGATATCGCCTTTTCTCGTAAGGTAGCCTGCTTGATTGACGAAAGTGAGCGCCAAGAATGTGTTGGTATCGGTAATCCGTGTATATCACGGAAGGGCGCAACCGCATCAAGGTCACTCTAAACGGGAACTTGGTATACATTTTTAAAATGTGGGTGGGCCCAATGTTGGGTGGAAGAGGGGTACGCCAAGAAAATGGCCCACCTCTGGCATGGACTATTTCCAGTTCTAGAGTTGGTGGGAGAACACGCAGCAAGATTGGAAACTCGAGGTACGGAGTACAGGCTATTTTTTGTGGTTCATCTATCCAATTCAAGAGGGTTAGAGAGTTCCCCGACCGACCGAGTGCCGCGTTAGAGACGGACGAAATAGATCGGGTCGACTTCGATGAGTGCTGTTTCTGGAGGAAAGTTGGGCAAGAGAGCTGGAAGAAGGAGAGTGCGAGGTCGAGAAGATCTTGAAAGCCCGCACTGGAAAGAAAACACGCTACGGGAGACAGCAACAAGAGATCTCCACATCCGATGGAAAAGGTATGAAAACCCCTCGTGGTGAATGAAGTGGATTTGAATTGTAGAGCCTTACTTCAGGATTTCAAAAGTAAGGATACAAGAAAAATATTTGTCGAAGCGATGCAAATCATGAGGACTAGAGGTCAAAACCGAGGGTCCTAGATGGTCATCCAAAGTCTATAGTGGGTAGACCTCGGTCCCTCGGTAGTAGACCTTGGTCTACCGAGGCTGACCATGGTAACTCGTTGGTCCCTAGTTGGTAGACCTGGGTCTTTAGCGTGGAGTGTGTGAAAAAAAAACAGTGGCGTAAGGTTTGGATGAAGAAGGGAAACAGAGATTCAAGACAGAGACTGAAAAAGATGGACACAAGTATATTATGGAAACGCTTACGGTTTAGGGACGAACTTGTCCCGGAGACGTGGCACCGAGTACCCGGGATGGGGCTCGGACGAAAGTCGGTACTGGGAGATCTATGGGTAAGTGGAGTCGGAGATCCTCACAAAGTCCAGCGGGTCGGCGGGATCCTCCCCTTCCTTGCACCCTACGAAGCAGTATACTACACAGCGAGGTCGGGGAAAGTGCCAAAAGAAGGGGTCGATCAGGATTTCGAGGTCGCACCGGCCGTCACTCATCCCCTTGAAGAGTAGTTAGACGAGCCCTCGCCACGCCCGAATCGCACGACTCCGTCGTTTCTTTCTGGCGTTGTAGTACGACGAGAGGAAAGAGCTGGAGCGCGCTTGGTCCTTTGGGATCCACAAGCAGTGGGTCACCTCCCAGATAGTCTGGCTGTGGTCTTCATCGAAGCGCAAGTAAGTCGCCTCCAGCTCTGCGAACCAGACCACTGGTTGGAAGGATACGTGGGGGCGTCGATACTCGAGCTGACAGCCATGGGCGGGCGGCCAAAAGGTTCTGGAGCATCGAGGAGCTGACCAAGCTGACCAACGATGGCTTCCACTTGGAAGGTCGATCAACATTTCCGTCTGGTGGACCAAACCAGCCCCAAGGCAACTCCAGGCGGTCGACCAAGTCGCTGGGGGTCATTGTTACTTCACTCAACGAGCTGACCATGTCGACCGACCAAGGCTCCGCCTCCGCTGCAGTGAATAACTTCACCTGCATGTACCCAGGGATGAAGTCACCCTTCGAAAGTTTGGATGACTCCCCTGGGAGGAGCTCGCTTTGGTGACTGGGGCTGGAGCCGTCTCTCCCGGGACCGTCTCGAACTCGGAGTCCAAAGACCCAAACATGGCGCAGATTAATTCTGGACGCGGGTGAGCGACCTGTCGGGAGACATAGTCAGCCGAGACAGCTGGGAGCGGCGGGTAGGTAGGCGTGGTATGGCGCCGGGAAGACTGCGACCGAGCCAAGTCTCCCGGACCATCTCGCTGCCGTCGCTCGCGGTGTCATCATCCGGGTCAGGAGAGAGTACCGGAGGTAGACCCTGGGGGGCCACGACTTGGGCATCGACGAAGCGGGAGTACTGAGGGTGCTTGACTTAACGGCCATGGGGACCTTAGCGGTTGCCTTGGCCGGTGAATTCCGAGGTCATTTACACGTCACCGCGGTGGGAAGTACTGCGGGAGCAGTCACGGGAGGAGACACGAGGTCTTGGAATGGACTCGTGCGGCCATTTTTCGTGCTCCAACTCCCCCATCATGTGAGCGTAGCGGCTTTGGCGGTAGTCCATCCGCCACCGCAAATGCTCCGTCAGCAATCTCTCTTGCTGGAGTCGTTCGCATAACTGAGCCACGAGTCGGTGGGTGTCTTGCAGCTTTCTTTTAAGGAGGTCACATCGGGTGGTCCAGTAGGCGTCGGGGGTGAGGACGGCGGCAGGTCGTGGTCCTTGGGAACTAGCAACTTTGGTAATCGATTAATCGCTTCTAAATTCGGCCATTTCCTTTCCGGTATCGACTTCATACCTTCCTTCTGACGCAGAGCTGTGCTAGCCAACTTGGCACTCGGATTCTAACCACTTTTTACGTGCACGATTCCTTGGGTGGGCCATGAAAGCAGCTTATTCAAAGCTCTTGCTCGTAATGGGGACAATCCGGCAGCCTGCACTCGATCTGCCCCCGCATTTGTCGTACCACCAAGTTGAAATCTCCACAGATGATCAGTCGCCATCGTTTTAGAGGCTCTAACAGGTTGAAACACAGTTGCATACCCTCATACTCGGCCTCATTCACTAGAGGTAATAAGAAACTTTGAGGCAGCCTTGATTAGGTAATCTCCATACAATAGCGCTACAGGCTCCACCTCCCTGTTTCACTCGAGCTGAACCATCGAAACTTATGACGTATACCTCTTTGTCAGGCTCCACAGTTGGTGTAGGTAGGTCAACTACTTGCCGTGCCTGTTTTCTTGGGGGCAATTGACGACAAAATTGAGTCCACACTTTCGCGAGGAGTAATACTGGCTGCGAGCGCCCCCAGCACTTGGTCCTCGCCTTTCTTGCACTTTACAATCTCCATAGTTCATTAAGACAAAAGGGAAGCCCAATTACTAAGACGTCCCTGTAACCCCGTGGACCTGACTAGCCACGCCAATGTAGAATGCCTCGTCAGGACCTTGAGGGGTTGAGTGACCAACATCGTAAAACAAGTTTCCATTATCCGCAATACAGCCAGCACTTCTTTCTCCACCGTACTATAGTTCAGCTCGTTGGCCTTAAGGGCCGACTCGTAAAAGTCACCGGCATTAGAATGCCACCAAGGTCTTGCACCAACGACGCGAATATGGACAATCGCATAAACGATAATTACTGCCTCCTTGGACGGATCAAAGTGTCGCAAGATAGGTGCAGTGGCAATCTTGTTCTTGAGCATAGCGAAGGCTACTTGGTCCCTGGACCATTTCTCCTCGTCTTCTGCCTTAGCCACCCCACGTCACCCGTCCTCAACTTACATCGCCAAGCGTGAAAATTCACCCCCCCGTAACTCATAGAGGATCGATGCATACTCTGAATAATCTTCAATAAATCTACCATAGTAATTCATACTTTCAAGAAACGACTTCATGGTTTTGAGCGACGTTGGCAACGGTAGGTCGACCAGGGACTTGGGGGGGTCGTGGGGGGGGTTTTTTTTTCCTGGCCCCAGACCCCGGGCCCAAGTTTTTTTTTTTTAAAAAATCCCCATGAGTTTTTGACCGCGCTAAATGAAAGATTACAATCGTCACACACATTGGAACGGTAGGTCGACCAGGGACTTGAGGTCCTTTGGGTGGGCTTCTAGTCCTTGGCTCGAGACCCGGTGCCCAAGTTAGTCTACCTTTAAACATCCCCATGAGCTTTTGACCGCGCTAATTGATAGATTCCAATCGTCACACACATCTAATAGCTGCTCAACCTTTGCGCACAACATGTCCCACGAGTCGGACGGTATCAAAATGTCATCTATGTAGGACCACCGACCCAGTACCGAGGGACCTAGCTTTACATCAGGCTCCCCCATCGTAAACAAGTCTTCAGTCTCCTCTGAATCCGCTCCTTGAGAGATACGTAAAAACCCATACAAAGCATTATCCAAGAGTCTCTGATATATCTGAGGCGTATTCTTGAGTCCAAATGGTATCTGTAGCCATTCGAACAACCCCAATGGGGTGACAAACGCCGAAATCCTTCTTGCCCTTTCGGTCATGCCGACGACCCAAAAATCACTTGCCATATTTAGAGAGCAGTACCACAATGCTCCTTTCAGATCCTCCAACAATTTGTTGATTAGAGGCATAGGGTAGACCATAAGCTGGATCAGGTCATTCACTAACCGAAAATCAATACAAAGCCTGATATCCACCCCATTTTTCTTCACGATAATGACGATTGGGCTGGCCCATGGCGAGGTAGAAAGTGGATGATCTTCGCAGATAATAGTCTCTTGATCAGATCTGTCAACTTTTCTTTGAAATGGGGGGCCACCTTCCGTACACGTTGTGCAATCGGCCTGGTATTACCCACTCAATACCACAGATAGATCCTCGTGCAGCCGGTGGTAAGGCGTTGCCCTTTCCCATGAGTAGATGTCGTCTTCTCCATATAATTTGTCTCAGTCGGTCCACCTTCTCTGGGGTGTTTCCGTCAGAGTCAGGAATCTGTATTCTTCCAGCTTGATACTCGGGGTGAAAGGTCCATCCCCGGTATGATAGCTCATCCTTGAATTACATCTTTGGCCCAGACTTCCCCACTTTTGAACGTGCACACTTGTTCATCCGCTTGTGGTGACTCTACCAGCGATCCTTCGACTTCTTTTATCTGGACCACGTGGTCAACCTGAGGGTTCACCTGGTCGACTTAAGAGCCTACCTGGTCGACCTGAGGGTCTACCTGATCACCAGAGGGTATACCTACCTGGTCGACCTGAGGTTCTTCTTGATTGACCTTCGGCTGGAATGTCATAGTCATTACTGGAACAAGTATCCTTGGCCGCTGAAGTATTCTAGATGGAGTACTGTACCGTGGAACCTCCTCCAATGGTCCTTAATCCTTCCCCGTCAGGTCTTCCTGATAGTTGACCTGGTCGGTGGTAGATTCATAGACCAGGTTTAACCACTTGGCATATCTTCGAGACCCTATCGACACAAAAACTTGCGCTCTTGATACTTGGTCCTCGGTCAGCCACATGCCTATCTTGGTGTCCTCGTGTAACATCAGGGGCTTGGTACTGACATTGGTTACCTTCAGGAACTTCTGATTTCCTACCCCTTGGCTCACAGTCGTGATCCATCGTTCTCCCCTTGTGACCCACAACTTCCATTGGTGCGAGGTCGACCTTTTCAGAGGCACTTCCTCGTACCTTCCGGCCGGTATTTGCACGTATCGACCTAACTTCACATCTAATACCCGGTTATCGTACAGGGTCCTTCGTCCTGCTATCTGGACTCGAACCTCATCGGGCAGACATAGTGTCCCATCCGCCAGGTCCAGTCAAATACCGGCTGGGACCATAATGTCCTTGCCTAAAATTGCTTCCTGACCCACCATTGGGCCCACCTCTCACCTGAAAAGTGTATACCAAGTTCCCATTTAGAGCGACCTTGATGCGGGTGCGCCCTTCCGTGATATACACGGATTACCGATACCAACACATTCTTGGCGCTCACTTTCGTCAATCAAGCAGGCTACCTTACGAGAAAAGGCGATATCCAAAATAGATATCTCGGCGCAATTATCAAACAACAAGTTAGCTCAATCATTGTTAATCTTCCCAGAGGCCTTGGCCTGTCCCAACCATTTCGTAGGAACATGGTATTTCCAATACCCCCTCGACTCGCCCGGCAGTAAGTCCAACTCCATCACTGCACTTTCCCAAACAAAATCGTTTGACGCGCCGAAAGAAGCAACATGGACCCTAGGGTAACTTTCAAACTTCGATAAATTTCCGATCAAGTTATCCTGAATGTCCCTTCCTCCCTTGGGTCGCTTTTCCACGTATGCAAAAATACAAAATTTGAACACTCGGCTCGTACCAGATTAAAACCTGAAGAGCATCCTAATTTAGCATCTGCTCGGCCTTCTCCGGCAACATCCCAGTGTGCTTGGTCGGGTTGTACCACAGACGGATCAAGTTATAAAACTCTTCCATCGGTCACTTCCCAACCTCGTGGGTTTCTCCACAGCCTCGACATACGAACAGGCAACGATATAATGGATGGCCCTTCTTTCCACAGCAATCGCCGGTCAGTCTCTTCAAACAACCCAAGTCTCCATGCTCCCTGGGCCCACAATGGGTGTATCTTGCACTTGGGGTTGCCGATGCCGTGCGAGGTCCATGGTCTTTGGTCGTGGGTCGGGGCTGGTCGACCTCTCTGATGGGTCGGTCCCTCTGGGTCCTTGGCCCTAGGTCCTTCTTCGTCTCCGTATCCATGAGGTAGACCTTCCGTAGTTCACCGTCACTATCAGAACGGTCCAAACTGGAGTCTTCGGAGCTCGATCCTTACTGGGTCGCTCAAACTGCATGAACAGAGCGGCGATCCAACTCCCTTGGCCGATCAGGGGTAATCAGTGCTTTCTGGCGAAACTTGCCTGACCCAAACAACATCTTGCCCCGTCGAGCTTTCGTCCATTGACGCGCCCTTAGTACATCCTCCAGCTCTTCCACATCAGCCAAACGTAACACGGTCAACTGGTCCGCCAGGTCAGGGTCGTCCAATGTCTCGATATAGTGTTCGGCATATTCCTTTTGAATCTTGGGCGGCCCATCCTTGATCTTGATCTTCGCTCGAAGTCCAATGACATTCAGACGGTATAGGTAGCCCAGCGGGGATTCGTCCGACCTTTTCTTCGCGTGGTAATATTGGCGGGCCACTTGCACCCCCAAACCACAGAACTGCATCTGAAATTCCTGGAACAAATTCTTCCAATTTCCACAAACAGAGCGACCTAGTTGACAATACCAGTTCTGGGCAGGTCCAGTCAATAATCCTCCAAAAACGACACTTCTCCCCATCTGGCGCTTGGTCCCTCGTGAGCGCGGTCTTCACAGTGGTCACCCAACTGCGTGCTTGGTCTTCATCATGGTCTTCACCATGAAACTCCTTGAGATCCGAGGTCGCTGAGAGCTTAATACGAGGGACCATGTTGGGTACCTGTCCCAGGGTGGCATTGGCCATTCTCGCCAGAGGTCCATCAAGGTCCATGTCGTCTGGGTCATATTCGCACGAACTGATCAATTCCATCTCCACGTCGGTCAGTCATCTCTTGGTCTCTTGCTCCTTGCATACCTTCACTTGGACCCAGCTGGGCCGTTGACCTCTGCGCCCTCGTTCGACCTCTGGCCGCACTTCCACCAATGTGTGCTTGCGGTACTTGGCGTTCTTGTAAGAATTTCTCCATCGCCACGTCGAAGTATGCCTGCAAATTACCTACCGGATCGGTAGACACTCCTCCCCGGGCAACTTTGTTACGTGACGAGGTGTAATTCGGTACGGGTCTTGGCTCATTTCCGTTGGTTGAAAATTGAACCTATCAGAAGCCCGACTTTTCCTTGGCTGTACACACGTGGCCGTTTCGTGAGCTTGCTGCTCGTCGTCCGCGCTCTCCGCTCGGGCCTGCAGCAGCGACATGCCGGTCGGTCACAGTGGGATTTGGCAAATTACTTGCACAAGTATAGCCACGACTATGCAGAAGTGGCTAGGCGATTGTCCAATCTCCTTAAAAAGGATGTGGAATGGTGTTGGAACACCGATCACCACGACGCCTTTGAAGCCATTAAGGAAAGTCTCCTTCAGGCGCCAATTCTGGCTCTACCTAATCCTGATCGCCCGTTTAGCGTCGTATGTGACGCTTCGGACTTTGCCATTGGCAGTGCACTATTGCAAAGTCGACTCTGAGGGTCGAGAATGCGTCATCGCGTTTGATTCTCGCCAGCTGAAAGCTGCAGAGAAGAACTATTCAGTTCATGATAAGGAGCTACTTGCGATGAAGTATGCCCTTGTTAAGTTTCAGGTACACCTGTTGGGCTCAAAGCCGTTTGCGATCTATACCGATCATGCATCATTACGCAAAGCGACACAGTCGCCTCATCTCTTGCAGAAAATAGCTCGTTGGCTCTCCTTTTTCGCGGAGTATAAATTTGAGGTGAATTATAAGCCGGGTAAACAGAATGTTTTGGCTGACGTGTTATCGCGTCGATCTGACTATGAGCTTGCTCATCTCACTGTTGTGAGTTCGTCAGTCACGGATCGTATCCGTCTGGCGTATGCACGCGATGAGTCATGTGTTGCCATTATACAGGCGCTGGGTAGCGCAGAGTTTGAAAACGCTAAGGCGAAGCTGTCACCACGTAATCGTTCAAAATTACACCGTTATACACGAACCGTTGGTCTGTTGTACTATAGTACAGGGTCGGATGATTAGTCTCGTGTTTTGGTTCCTTATGATGAGGACCTCAAGTATCAGATACTTTATGAGGCTCATGATACACCACTTGGTGGTCATTTAGGTCGTGAGAAGACCTACATCTCGTTGAGCACCCATTATTGCTGGCCCAAGCTGTATAAATGGGTTGGTACATATGCACGAACATGTAAAACATGTCAGAGGGTGAAGCCCTCGTCTAGTATGGCTGCGCCTTTGGCGAGTTTGTACCCTTGGGGTTGTGACAGTACATTAGTATGGACTTTGTGTTTGGTCTACCGCGCGATGCGGCAGGAGACACTGGGATTGTGGTCTTTGCTGACTGACTGAGAAATTCGGCTCATTTAGTGGTAGTGCCGGACTCCATCGACGGAGAAGTAACAGCTAAGATGTTCATGGATCGTGTGTTTAGACAACACGGCTTGCCTGTGGAAATCGTCTCGGATAGATACTTCGTTTTACGGGTAAGTTTGGACGTCCGTCTTTAAAGTGCTCGGCACTCGACGGGACATGTCCACGGCGGACCATCCACATACCGATGGTCAAACCAAATGCGTGAATCGAGTTATTGGTGATATGATTTGGGGTGTTTGGTTGAAACACCAAAGCAATGGAGCACGATGCTCCCATTCATAGAGTATGCGTTGAATAACGCGGTGCATGCCTCCACAGCCTTCACCCCATTCTACGTGAATGGTTTGGTTAATCCTCGCGTTCCGTTAACACTACTCCCTGCCCCATCAGGGCTTGGGGGAAAGATAGCCGAATGCTTGGCTAAAATCAGCCCTGTTGCGATACACAAGAAGGTGGAGGCATTTTTTTACCGCGTTTTGACGTAGTACGTCGCGTCAAAGACGCTATGGCTGAAAGCCAGGATGTTCAATCGAAACAAGCAGATGCCAAAGGCAGAAAGCACGAACACGAGTTCAAAGTGGGTGATTTAGTTGTGTTAAATACTAGGAATTTACCTACTCGTGCCATCTCTACGGTGTGCAGAACCAAATTACGTCCACGTTTTATTGGACCTTTCAAGGTCATAAGCAAGAAAGGCTTAGCCTATAAGCTAAACCTCTCGAAGAAGATGCCAGCACATCGTGAGTTCTATATAAACTTACTAAAGCCACATCTCAACCCAGACTCGGTGGACTTCGAGGGGTTGTCCCCATACCCTGGCCAAAGGAGGCGGGTAGTACGGCACAGGAGTGTGCATATGGACGCTGGAGGCGTACCAGGAGATTAAGTTGACATCGAAGCTCGGCTTGAGAATTCTCAATCGCCGCTAATCGATCAGAGGCCTTAGAGCAATAATGCTCAAAGGATCGACGGTGTCGATCGACACGGTCATCGAGTGATGACAGTGAGACGTCACCGATTCAAGAGAATCACGCTCCAGGAGTGTCAGGCGACGCTAAATCTCAGAGAGATGAGAGGTCAATGAGTCATCGACCTCCTCCGACGCTGGTTGATGAACTTCGCCATCAACAGTTCCACGTGGAACGTCTCTTGTCTCGGCGTCATCACCAGGGTTATACCCAATACTTGGTGAAGTGGAGGGGTTACCCTCAGTCATACGACTCGAGGGAATATAAGGTACCCCTCCAGCATTATTACCTAGATGCTGTTGACGCTTTTGACCAGGACGATTAGAAGCGACGACAGCCGTCGTTCAGCGCTTCGTAGCACTAGCTGCTGTTGAAGAAAGCTTACTAGTCTGGGTTTGCCTGTGACCTTCTTAAGTAGGGGCATAAGGTACGGGCGACAGCTTCAGAAGAATGGCTCCCACAAGTCTTTGACTTGTATGTGGAAATAATTTGCGCTTAGCTATGAGCTTAGCGAATTAAAACGTAGACGACGTTCTAACCAAATGTCCTGTTCTTTAGCGTTTAAGCGCAAGTCAGAAGGACTTGGGAGCTTACACGCATGTTCAACAAACGGTTGAACTGGTAATCATCTTGCGCAGATGTTTCACCTGGTGCAAGCACCTTTAGTATGTCGTTTAGTGGATGCACCGTCACTCCACGTGACTGTCGTGACAGTTGCTCCTGATACAATGTCATCGTAAACTCCTGTGGAATAAGGATCCGCTCTCGAATGCGCAACGCAATCCGCAACATTTCACGCAGTGCGATACTGGGGCTCAATGACATGAGTACGCAAAGATTGCGATGCAGCTCGTAGAGCATCCTCATTGGAGTCCTAACGCATTCACCCATAATCACGACGTGAAAAGGTTGGTTTGGGTCGTTCCAAGGCGGCCTTGTCAGCAAATTGACGACGCTGTACAGAGTCAAGAGAGATAGATATCTCTTCATCGGCACCCTCTCGAGAGGAAATCGGTGGTACTTGGCGCAACGCAGTTGTTGCCCTTGGGGAAGAGGAAACAGTCGGGTACCGGCGTCCTTTGCCCGGTAGGGAGTGGTGATATTGGGGTACTATTGACCCGACGTAGACTTGGAGCCGCTTTCCCTAGAGGCAACGTCACTGTCATCGTCCCCAAAGATGTCGCAGCGCATTGCTTCATCCGTAATAGAGCAACAAAATACAGACAGTGCTTAAATAGCAAATGTTTAGAACACTCGAATGGTATGAAAGCAAGGGCCAGGCACTGAATGCTGTGTACGACAGTGTTCTTACACACAAAAAGATTTAATAACACTTAACACTTATAAGAAATTGTTATAACACTAAATTTAGCGTTAGTGGAATTCACTGTATGCTCAAGGAGCAAGTGTCGCAACACTAGAGTGCCAAAAAAGCGTAAGTGTAAAGCACAGATGCTCAAAGAGCAAGTATCTTAGCATGAAACCTTTGTAATCAAGTGTGAGGCACTTTATTGCGAGGCAAGCAAAATGAGAAGAAAATTGAATCGACAGAACTCCAAATAAAGTTCGAAAATCGTGGGTAAGACGGGCTTGACGAATTGGGGGAAAGTGTAACAGGATACAAAAAGGTGTATTTTACATACACAACTGTCTCACAACTGTAATGTGGCTGTACCTTGGGTACAGTGGTAGGTTGATATGACCGTACTTAAGGTACGAAGGGTCGTATCGTGGCAGAGAGCCACCTAGTCACTATACTTACTAAGTATAGTGAATATACATTAATATATATTGATAGGCTACAGAGCCAGATAAATAGTGACTAGCACTAAGTATAGAGTAGGTACTTCTATATTTAGTGCTAGAATGTACATATTTAAAAATCAGATTCAAACCTGCTCTGATAAGCATACGTGCTGTGAGGCTTATCCCTAAGAAAAGGAATATAAATTTCGAGCTTGTCTTCCTCTGCACTTAGTGCATAAGTAGCTTTTCTACGGTATCTCTGCTATACCTAGTAGCACTTGTAGTAAATCCCGCACCTGGGTCTGTGACTACTTCTCTGAGAGAATGGACATAGAATAGATGGCCGCTGTTGGCTTGTCACAGGCACAACAAGTACGGCTGCAAAAGCTGCTCCTATTCTTAGACTGAAAGGCGTGGAATATCTCATCGTTCAAGGCGAAGGAGATGTCAACAAGCGTATTCGTATGCTTGAAGAATTATAACAACATTCTTGTTAAGCATGTAAAAGCACAGATGCCTTCATCAGCGCCGCCTATGGCGACTTTGGCTGAGGTAGTGATGCGCATACCAAACTTATTCAAATAGTAAGTCGATAATTTTGACGGCAAAGAAGGTGATATAATTACCTTATACTGCGGTTATGACAGGTTGAGTCGGCTATGTTGTAGCCGACATCACATACGAACCATACTGCGTTGGCTTTGCCACGGATCATGTTAGAGATAATATCACTTGCGCCGGAGTTTTAGCGCGGAATTGTTGGATGGCTCCGCTACATCCTGTCTATTATTTGTAGGTCGTTTACCGCCAAATACAATACTTCTAGTCTGTTCTTCATGTTAATAGCTTGTAAAGATGACGTCGCACGTTATCCCTCTCGCGTAAATTAATCTTGCGTATCTCGCAATGCACGCTCTGTGGCGTCATGACGGGATTTTGTTTTACCCTGGTAGACCGATTACCAGCTCGTTGCGCAATTCCGTGCCCGTTGACTTGAACATCACTTGCTTTGCATGTCTCTTGGACAGTGAGCTCTGAATAAATATCTTGTTTTGGCTTGTTTCTACTTAAACTTTCCTTTCTTTTCTTTATCCCAGTCTTTGACAGCCGTATCGCTCTTAGCAACGTCATCCAACAACCTCTTTTCGAAGGCACTCAGCATAGCGTACTTGTAAAAAAAATATGTCGTTGCTGTCCGATCCGACGGCGACGAACCATCTCAAATTCATTTCTATTTCCACCCGAATCATATGATGAGTGCGTGTTCTATTTTTTGGTGATCTTTTCCTAGCCAGCGGATTATGTCCCTATTAAAAATGACTGAACAGTGCGTCACACGCAGATAACTAACTTGTTATTAAAAAGAGATGTCTTAGACTGAGAGTAGACTTGGCAAACCGCGCCCAGTGCGCACGCATGTCGCAATCCGCATGCACTAATTTGTGCCCAAATGTATATGAATGTTCATGTTGACTCTAGCATCAATTCAAGTCAATGTCAGTCGCAGTTCAGTTCCAGCGTATTCAAAAATCATTTAGGTCATTTCCCACCACCACCACCAGTATCGTTTCACCAAAAACTCTTGCAGCCGCAATAGTACACTCTTTTATGTAAGAAATTGCATATCTAGTCGTATAGCAATTCTGGAGACGCGAAAGGACGCGTCTTTTCGGTAGCGCTAGGCGACGCCATCATTCCTCCTGAAGTATGTCACTCATGCTGATTGTTTTCATCCAATCAAACCTAAGCCATGGGCCAACTCAAGCTCAAGTGGATCGATCGATCGACTGACTAGTCACGTGAATAAATGACGCAAGCATTGGTAAAAGAAAAAGCCACACCACTACTGAAGACTGCTACTACTGACTATCAGGAAAGAAAAAGAGAATATTTTCTCTCTGGCAAGACGATGATTGAACGGATCTGACTTGAGAGATGGTGCACGATGTCCCAAACGGAGACGCAAGTCGGCACAACGTTAGATGTTGTGCTTCCAGCTCAGTTTATTGCTGTTACTGGTCTTGGGTTTGGTCAGTCTTTTCTTTGTCTGTAGCTTATGTCTTGGTAGATTGGCCTTTACTGGACTGGACTGGCTGCTGGACGCGCAAGAGATGTAATGGCGTTTCTGCAGGCTTCCTTTGTGGGCGACATTTGTCAAAAGCTGCTTGTTTCTACTTGCACCTCACTGGCCTGATGTGCGTGTCATTACGTGGATTGTATATCGTTTTTGTTTTGGCTTCTTGGGTGTCTTGGCAGTGGACACTTTCAAGTTGGACGCAATATCACGTTTTGATGAAGAAAAACAGGCACTGGTGGACGCCAATGTGACCAAGTCGTTGCCGCTAATTTTTACACAGTGCTGGAGGTGGTCAATTTGGGCTACTTGCTGGACTTGATTAGAATGCCCGCGATGAAAGAGAGCAAGGACTTGCCTCAAGTTGTTGAGGCGAACCGGATGAGGCGAAGGAGCCGCGTGGCATTCCATTGGTCAAGCTCATGTACATCTTGATACCGTACTTCGGCCAACTGTGTTCCGCAACAAAATGCGTGCTGTCAGCACTTATTTGGTGCTGATTCTGAGTAGACTGGCGAGTTTGGTGGCATCGCTGTTCATGGCGTTGGCGATAAATGCATTTGTGTCAAAAGATGCTGGTGGTGCAATTCAGGATATTGCTATTTTCAGTGCCTTGACACTCGTGCCGAAGCTATTCAAGGAAATGCAATTGCTCATTTACCTGAAAGTAAAACAGACGGCATACATTGAGTTGGCGATACTTACTTACGTACAAGTGCAATCGTTTTCGTACGACTGGCATAAAAAAGTTGGGCGACGTGTTGCCCTCTATGGATCGCGGCGTTGAGTCATTCAACAGCGTTGTTTCGTACGTTTTTTTACCTGATCCCGACGTTTGGTGAGTCTGTAGTGGTAATCGTGATTTTGCGTTACATTTCGAGCTGGCAGGACTGAGCTATATAGCATTCTCCAGTCTGGTGGTGTATTCTTATCTCACAATCAAATTTACACTCTCGCGTAAAAAGTATCGTGAGGCATCCATGCGCCCCGATAACGAGTATCACGACAAAGCTACGGATGCGCTGCTAAACTATGTGAGACCATTAAGTATTTTGGAAATGACGTTACGAAATTGAGGAATATTCCAAGGTGATTGAAAAGTACCAGCGCGATTTGCTTTCCGTTCAGGCTTCACTCAGTGTGCTGAATTGCACTCAGTCCATCATCATTCAAGCTACATGTTTGCGGCACTTACGCTAGCAGTTCCACACGTGGTGAGCGAGGACAGCGGTGGCAGAATGGACATTGGTGCTTTCATTGCTATCTCAGTGTATCTCACGAACTTGTTTATACCGCTATTTTTCTTGGGTGGTATTTACAACATGGTGATTAACTCGGTCATCGATATGAAAAGCTGAGTGAGTTGCTATCAGTGGAGCCGGACATTTATGATGCGCCCGATGCGGTACAATTGGGCTTATGCAAGTACGATTTGGAAAACGGCATTGACGTGAAATTTGGGTCAACAACCATAAAATTGCCACAGTGACGCAGCAGTCGCTGCGGCAGGCTATTGGTATAGTACCTCAGGACACAGTGCTTTTCAATGACACTATACTTCGTAACATCAAGCACGGCAGAGTACGCAACTTTTGACCAGGTCGTCGAAACAGCCAAGGCTGCTCGCATTTACGAATTTATTATGAAACATCCGGATCAATAGAACACGAAGTTGGTGAGCGCGGTCTTAGCTCATGGGCGGTGAAAAACAACCTGTCGCCATTGCACGTACATTGCTAAAGAATCCGACTTTCGTCATTTTGGACGAGGCTACTTCAGCCCTCGACACGGTCCCAGAGCAGGATATCCAGACCGCTCTCAACAGTCTCAAGACTGACCGCATAGTGCTTGTCATTGCGCATTGCTTGTCCACGGTACGTCACATATCAACCTTCCAACAAGGGAAGCGTTGATTCCCTCCAGTGGCTACGCGAGGGGTATGCCCGAGACACAGCCCCACCCAATTCGGCTCTGCGAGGAGGATTTCCGCCGAAGGGTGCCAGAGAGGAGGGGCTGAGGCGTTAATTTGCTTGAGCGAGTAGGAATGATCCTTCCAATCACCCGATCACAAAATTTGGGGATACTGTTGCAGATCAATATTGCTACTGGAATGCAGATTTGTTCGTGGATTGTACTTAAGCGTGCCCGACGGGACTAGATCGCAAAGCCGGAGAAGGTTGTTGTTTCCATATGTTTTGGCACGATTCGTTTCCAACTGTCATAGATGTCGCCTGAGTCCCAGCGAGCCGCCGCGCTTTCGTCGCTAGAAGTAGTTGTATTCACTGATCTACCCAATTCAAACGTGACCCAGCTATCCATCGTACCCATACCAGCTGAAATCTCTTGACCATGATCGTACTTTTTCTAAATGTAGCAGCTGGTGATGCCCAGCTTTTTCCCATCTTCGCTGTCTCCTGCGGTGCAATGAAAGCTGCCACTTCTATTGCCTAGACGTAATAATAGGACTATGTGTCGCATAGGCCGTTCTTGCGACAGCCTTCTGGCTCGACGAAATTCAAAAGCACTGACCTGAGCTTCAGGTCACTCTAGTTTCTCACGACAACGCTTAGGAACGAAGTGCTTCTTTAAGTTCTTTTGAGATGAAGATCACACAAGTTGGTGTGTTTCCCGCAACGGCAGCATTGGTGTTGACTTCCACATACGGCTACTCATTCATTGATGGAAATCCGGTGAAGGATCAAAAGGATCCTACGAGCTTAAGCATTAATAAAGAGAGCCACATCTACGGTGGTACGGAAGCGGATATTGGCCAATACCCATTTCTTGCTAATCTTCGCGATTCATATCTTAGTGCGGCCACTTGCAGCGGTACTCTCATTGCCCCCCTGTATATTCTCACAGCTGCACGATGCACTATGATAGAAGATCTTGTCGCTACTTTTGGAACAAATCATAGCATTCTTTCTGATCAAGAAGACGACGTGCGAGTCCGTGTTGTTAAAAAATATCGTCACCCTTTGCATAGCCAGGATACGCACTTGTATGACGTGGGTTTGCTCAAGTTGGAGAAACCGGTTAGACGTAAACCAGCTAAGTTGTGCGCTCGTGATGGATCTGACAACATGCCCGGTACTATGGCCACTACCCTCGGTTGGGGACAGACTGAGGACGTTAGCATAAGCCCTACTCTAAAGCAGGTAACGCTTCCTATCATCTCCAATGCAGAGTGTAACAAATTTGAAAAGCTTGCTGGTCGCGTGGAGGACTGCATGCTGTGTGCTGGTAGAGGAAATGGCAAGGACACGTGCTATGGAGATGCTGGTGGCCCCCTTCTTGTCAATGACGACATTCTTGTTGGTTTTACAAGCTGGGGAAGCGATTGCGGTAAGCAGGCTGGTATCTTTACTCGTCTGAGTTATGTGATGGACTACATCGACGACATTTTGGCCGGAGGCGATGGCAGCAAATTTGACGTGGAGTCGTCGGACTCGCCAATGCAGGAGGAGCTCCCCTTTTCGTCTTCATCCAAGACCGATTTCGACAACTTGTTAGACAAGGATACCCTTGCGTTCCTCACAAAGGTTGGCGGCAGTCCTGACGGTTTCGACCAGTACCTGGAAACAGGGACAGATGATGATGGGGACAGCGACGAACTTGATGATGCAAATGATGACAAGCCAACAAAGATGCCCGGAGCATTTAAATTAAGTAAGACGCCTAGTGACGCTTCTAGTGTGCTGAAAAGCGCCGAACAGGCTTATTTGGCAAAGGAAGGTAAGGCGAAGATCTCACTTGAGTCGTCAGAGGCAACCGTTGACGAACCGTACTCTCCTAACACGGAAAATTCCGTTCTTCAATCAGTTGTTCAAAGTGACATGAATCCCTAAAGCGATGACCTGTGACGAAGCACGAGTTTGCTGAAGTGATTCGAGTACAACAGTGACTGCCAAAATAAGTCTTTTTCATAAACACATGCATCCATTTTGTTTTTACAAACGTTACCAAAATGCATTGTTTTCGCCGCAATATCGTATTGCCTATATAAACGTATCAAAAGACTTGGCGTTGTAGAATACCTTTCATACTTACATACACGTAGTCAAAAGAATCAAACGTTACTTCATTAAACATCCAAGACAGGAACTTTCTTCCAAATTATTCCGTACGGCTTCGCCTACATGGGACAGGGTAGCTCCGTGCAGTAGAAAACTGCATTGCATAATGTATTATCGCTAGGCGTTGATCTACTTACTACTGTTAGCAAGACTGAACTCGAAAAAGAGTGACGCACGTTGTGCCTTGTTACCTCAGTTGTACTGTATTGAGTGATTGTGTGTCAAAATTTGATTGCCACGTTACATTTTGTCACATATTGTTCATTTGGTTTACCACTTCAATAGTAGCTTCAAGTAGTACCTGTGTATAGCGATACAAGTCTCAGTAATCGTGTCATAAGTGTTGTTGTAAACAAACGACGTCTCTTTGACGTCATGTATGACTTACTACAAGACGAGATGGAACAATTGAAGCTTACTAATGAATGGGACATGACACAGCTTCTTCTCATTGCATTCCGCCGTGTGATACATACGGTAACGAGAGCTCTATAAATGCTGTGCCAAGTGCTTGCTCAAGCCTTTGTTCAACGTGGCTCGATTCATTTTCATCACCAGTCCTCATCTTGTCAGTACTCGAGACACAAGAGTTGATACGGCCGCCGTTTGTCGACTTTGAAGCTGGTGACAAGGCAGCGGACTGAAGCGAGGACAGCAAATCGCAGACATTTTGGAGATGCAGGAGGCTTTCAGCTGCTGCGCTCGCCGGTAGCACAGTACGGAGCTGCTGCAAAGTAAAAAAGAAAACGCTGCAGTGGTGCTATGGTCGTGCTCCAACGAGTGCTGAAACTGTTTGTAGTGACGTTCGTGTCAAGACGAGCATGACATATATGGTGACGAGCACACAAGCTGCGGATGGAGAAGAGATGAAAGATTAAAGTAAAACTGATTTGTACATATGCAAAATGTGCATCGACCTTGTTGAGGTATTTTGCGCTACAACACGTGCTCAAGAAAGGCAACGGATCGCATCTTTCCAGGCGAGATGTTTATCCCAGTAAAGAACCGTGCTGAGCTTTTATCGCGGCGCACGGCAGCATTGTCGTCTTACGAAACGCAGGCCAAATTGCAATCGATGCGATACTTTTTAGTGAAGAGTCTTTGAAGAATGGCTAGGTGATGCGGGCAAAAAGGAGAACGTTGGCGAGAAATAGTTGAGGCTCGCGACAACACATGAGAGCCCAGAGCTAGTTTGGCGTGCTTCTACGCGTGTGGGGCTACATCTGGCTTTGGAAGGTAACATCAAAAGTTCTGGCTCAACGAAGTTGCATGACTGAATATGACACTGCACAGTTTGGGGAAGATATTGCCGCGCTGGGATTACGAAATGCTTTACGTGGAATACCCTTCGCTGCATGAAGAGCTCGTGGTGATTGACTATGTTGTATGGTACTTGATGCCACGGGTAGCTGAACTGACAACAGTGTATGAGACCGCAAAGCCTGTAGTATTAGCTTGGTATCTCTCCGATCAGCTTGCACTCGAGCAAGACGAAAAGCGAAGCAGTATTATGCGTTCGATGTCTGCGGCTGATTATACCGGTGTTACGCGATGTTGTTCCATAGACACCTTCCGACGCAATGCGTACCTCTTGCTGCCACGTGACCGCGTATGTTGCTCACCAGAGTTTGTCCGCGAATGTGTTTTCTTTTACTCAACACTGCATTTATAACCCAGACGGGACATCCCCTCGAAGAACTTCCATCGACTTTGCACGACAGTGAATCGAACAACTGTAAACGTTCTTGCGGACCCAGTGATATTAGCAGCGGCGTCGTCGGCTTCTACATTAGACGATATGGTTGATCTTGATAATCGTACACGCCTAGCTGAACCATAGGATGATGCCATAGCTATATTAAACGAACGCGATGTTGGTGAGGGCAGGCATTTTTCTTTCGCTTGCAATTATCGGATGCACCAACTTTGTTCTACGGTTAATTCACCCGAAGCGTGTTTTTGTGCCGACTATTTTAGGGACCACTAAACCATTAGTCGACTACTCTTTGTGATAAAACAACGGACACTCTTGGACATCAACAAAAATATTTCTAGTAATCTCCCTGAGTCCGCCGCATTGATATCGACTCGCATATCATCGGCTTCGTCTCACGCATTATCTGCGACACAACATGCAAAATTAGCACTTGACAGTAACTGGAGGTATCTACGATGATGTACGCTTTGCGAGCTAGCTGTGACTCGAAAGGCGTGGAGATGCGCTTAGCTACTACTGAGTTTCTACAGGAATGTTGCGCGCAACCTTTCAGCTGTTGCAGCAGCTTGAATGCAACTCAGATGATGACGCTTCCTGCAAAATCAGTGCCTTACTAAATGATGCACTTGGATCGGTTGGATGTGGCATGGGAAGACTTCTACATTCTGTAAGTGTCAAATTGTTTGCCGATACCTGAGCCGGCAATGTGGTGCGAGGGCCTTTTTGATTGTAGGTATGCACGCAAAACCAACACACTTTGCTTAGTTGCGCCATTAAATGGCGACGGTACCTGTTGAGCGTCCTCAACTGCACTGTGGATGCCAATGCCTTCCATATCAATCTTCTTACGATAATGCGCTTGCTCGTCTTATCACTCTCGTCTTGACCGTCTCCAGCACCCGATATAGTCGATTCACTTTCTCATCCATGATCTGTAATTCTGCCGGACAGAACGCTATGGTATCTACAAGTGACAGCATGCCGTCGGCATTGACCACTAATGCGCATACGCTCGTGAAAATCGGCCAGCGAACGTAGCCTCTCTTTTTTAGCAAAAAGTCGGCAAGAAGTGAAACGTTCTGCAACTGCACCATGACCATGAATCGTTAGGAACACTGCATAGTTGATATTACGCATCCTTGAAACTTGAGCACCAAGCAATCTCACCAGACGGTCGAATTTGTGCAATCCATGCACAAGTTGTTTTAATTTGAGAAGAGAAAGGCATTCATATTGAGCGAGTTGTATCGAATGTAAGCTACAGCATCGAATTAAAAGCTGACTTACCTAATCCAACCTTTGCAACTCAAACAAATGGATGCAGAGCTCTATTGCAGATAAGCTCAACTCGGTTGTAGTTTGCCCATGGAAAACGATGTCTACGAGCGTCACAAGGGATAAAGTCGACCAAGGGCATCATTCAAATGCGTATCCTTTTGAAATTGTGGTCATTAATCATATCTTATGTGGTAAGCTTTTGACTTTGTTGAACCTTGCTGAACGCTATTCGTAATCTTTCACATTTGTCAGCAGATGAGTTCAGATATTGTTTCCTTGCTGATTTACTATCTATATGAATTGTTTGAGGTGTTTTTATATTCAAGTTGTTGCCCACCGCTGGATTGGTCTGGTCTGTCGCAGAGAGCCAAAGCTTGATTTGTATTGGCAAAATTTGTGCGTCTGCTGCATTGCATGGAATGGACGAGCTTCATGTGTGCATGCATACTTTCAGGAAATCCGTCACCACCAGTCTTGTTCATTAATCTGTCGATGTTCAGCATGACGTTGCATTGGCGATTTGCCACCAACAACTCTGACAGCAGACTATAGGACATGTCACCAGACACGACGGTTTGCTTGTTCTTGGCAAGCGATCCGAACATGTCCAGTTTTTGCATCTCCAGTTTGTGTCGGCGGTACTTGTCGAGCTTGTGTGCTGCATCACCCTCGGCAAGAGCAACGATCTTTGCAGCCTTCGACTCGGACGTGACACGAATTTCGCTCGACGTGGCTTCTAACTGCATCTGCAGGGCTGCTTTTTCGGCATGAATGAAACAGATTTCAGCATCACAGTGAGCATTGATCTCTCCTGCAATTTGCACCGTCTCCGCCTCGATCTCGGCAATCTTCAATGAAGCCTCCACGTCGCGATTATTGCAAATCACGATAGTCTTTTGACTAATTTCCTCATCCGCGAGTTTACTTTGCGCATTAATGAGGTCGATGTCTTTGCGAATCTCAGCGCACTTGGCTTTACCCGTCTGCTCCTCCTCCATATACATCATTCTGCGCTTGAGCTTGGTCGTATCAATCTCCTCTTTGTACTGCAACATCTGCATATCACTCATTTGTTTCATGTTTTGCTCCTTGATGGCACTTAAATGCGTCGTGCGACTTTGCATCTGCTTCTGGAATTCCAGAGGAAGCGTAACATTTGTGATGGCAACGCTCGTGATTTGTACGCCGTATGTGTTGAACTGGGCGTTCAGACTATGTTTGATGTCCTCTGTGACGCAGTAGAATGTTTTCTCTTCCGTCGGGATGGCCTCCGCATCGGTCGTTTTATTCATCTTGGGTGAGTGGAACTCGTGATTAGCCGGTCTATTTGATCGAAAGTTGAGTGCTCCTGACTTAAATTTTCTCGCATAGTACCGTCACGAAGCTGATATACTTCCGTGTGCTCTACACTACGAGCAAGTGCTCTCACAGCTTCATCTTGAGCTGCACGAAGCTGCACTTCCAGTCCATTTGGACCTAATTCGTACACGAATCGACGTACGAGCTCGGGGTCTTCACCTTTGGACTCATCGCCCACGATGCGTAGGATTAGACATATATCAATGCCCACTGTCACATTGTCTGCGGTTTTGCATCCCTTGACAGGCGTGTCAAACACAATGTATTGTTTCGTGACAAGGTGAGCCACTTTGGTGAAGATTGAAGCAACGTGCATGCCAGGAGGCCAAATGGGTGATCGCCTTCCGTCCGGCTTAATGTAATCCTCATCCTGTCCTTGTTTCTGTACGAGCGCATAGGTGCCTTCAGGTACACGAATGTAGAGTTTCATAGGACTTCGACCAGGGTTAATGATCACAACAGTGTTGCCATCGTAACAGGCACCAAAAATTTGATTAGCCGAGTCCACACGCCAAGTGTTACGGTACAGCAACCGTGTCTGATGTTGCGAGCCACCAGGAAGCGTGTTTGCATTGAGTTTGCTACTACTAGTGCCCATAATAACAAGTAATGAGTTATGAGTCGACTTGTCGAAGTATACGCTTGGATGGAAAGTCCAAAATGACGTCCGTCTTCTTAATGTCGCGACTTATGTCGTTGTGTACTTTAACGTTAGTGGTTATAGGGAACTTGGGTGATGTTGTGATGTATGAAGCTCAAGTTGAATGTAATAGGTACATGGCAACATCAGATGGCTATAGAGCTACACTTCGTGAAGACGGTCATCTCTTGTCGTTGTTTTCGTATTCTTCAACCAAGAGTCACTTCATTTTTCAAGTTACAAATTCCACGTCTTTCAAATCAATTTAACTTCTTGAACTGCACCTACTACCACTGGAAGAATGACGTCTCTGGTAGAAACGACTCGTTATAGCTATCGAGTGAACCATTTGGTGCAAAAAGACATTAACAAACCCATTGATGCTATGAAGCACTTTAACACCAAAGTACTGGATGGTCACATCCGATCGTCCTTACGCCGAGCTACCCGACGCTCATCACCTTTTTCATGAAAGTTCCGTCTGGTCTTTGGGTGCTTAAGCAAAAGTGGAATGCTCATGCCGGTATGATGGATCCAGGACTGAAAATGTTCTGGCCGGCGTGGAACCGCGTCTCACACATTGTGACCAAACAGGCAGTGACGTATTCCAACCCTGTGCGCGGATGTCCTACATCTGATAACGTGATGGTCGATATTGACATTTCCATCAGCTTTCAAATCGGCCCAACAGAGGATGACGCATACACTTTTGTGTATTCGCTAGGAGCGCATCGCTTTGACGAGTTACTCTACAGTCTCACGGAGGAAGCAATTCGAGGTCTTGTGCACTCAGTGCGACATGACCAAGTGCATGACCTCAGAGAAGAATTTGCCGTGGGAATGAAGACCGATCTAAATGCCAAGCTCAAGTCTTATGGCGTCTTTATCCACAATGTCAAAGTGACTAATGTTGAATTACCACTAAAACTTTCCAAAACACTTGAGGAGACGACGGCGTTCAAGACGCGTATGGAGGAGCAGGAAAAGAATCACGAAAACCAGATGCGAATCCTGCTAAATCAGGAGACGCAGAAGCTCACAGCACTGGAGAAGGAGAATGAGCGAGCGATTCAAGATTTGCAGGCTGAAAGTGTTCGTGCAGCGATCATTCGAGACGAGCGACGCACGATCGCCGAAGCGAAGGCTCAGGTCACGATTGCGGAGCACGTGTCGTCGAATGATAACAAGATCATGGCAGCAGCAGGTTACAAGGCAGACGCTGTTACGAGCGCGACTGCTAAAGCGATAACGCGCAAAGCTTTGCCTACGGTAGAGCTCAACAATCTGAAGACCGACTTTGACCAGTTCGTAAACGGAGCCAAGGTGGAAGCAGATGCACTAATCCAGGCTGCTAAAAAAGAGGCGGAAAAAATCCGGGTAACTGCCGAAGCTGAAGGCACCTCTGCGGCATACCTGAAAGCCAAACGCGACTTTGACTACAACGAGAAAAGAAGATACGCATGGAAGCTGCTCTATTGGAGGCCGTTCCTCTAGTCATCAGCGGAAAAAATGGTGACCAGCTCATTCAAGGGACATTGTTGCAGACGATTTCGTCGGCAAAGTAACTGGAATGCGGATTGTAAAAGTTTGAGTGGATATGACCAGAAATAAGTCGCGAAGGTCTTGAGGTTGACTATTGTGATTGAGTTAGTCTCAGTGTGACCAAGCGCTAGTTTGAGGACAACATGATCATGCGATTAAGCCTCAATATTGAACTTCCATGTGATTACTTTCACGATTTGTTAAACACCAGGTCCTTCTCGCACCGCGTCAAAAATTGTTTGTATCTCTGTCGGGCACTGCTAGATCAACAGCAAAACATTGTGACGGTTGACAGCGCGCCAATGTCATGACGCTGTCGTAAGAAGTTGTACTAAGTGCTAATATATGCAAGAGTTTTTCGATATCAAAGTACACACAATATGAATTCCTGCCACGATCAAGTTTGGAGTGTTGAATGGCTCATTTTGCTTCCAACAATTTTTACACATACAGTTGCTATCAATGTAGTCCGACAGATAATCATCGGTCAGGAATCAAATCGGATTGAGAGCACTCTCGTGAGTTTAATCAAGACTGGAACGACATGAACAAACATGAGTTTTATTACATGAATCAACCGCACATTCCTCTTTGTTATCTGCTTTTGGACTTCATTCTACGCAAAATAGATCCACAATGTAAACGTGACAGCAAGAGCAGCTAGACCACTACCAGCTACAAGTACGTTCACCCACATGGGCTTGACAAGCTCTGTAGCGTCGAGTTTAAAGACCTCGTCCCAGTGGATCATATACTTACGCACCTCTGCTGACGGAAGGTTCTTGTGCTTTGTCAGCAAACTCACCACGACACATACAACCATAGCGGTGACCCATAGTAACAGGGCAAAGTGTTGAAAGTTCATGTAGAAGAACGTATTCAAGAATCCGGGTAGATCACCATCCATACTGTCGCCCTTGATCGTTACGAAGATGAGACGTGAGAAACCTAGCAAGCCGCCGACAACCATAGCAGAGAATGCTCCGTACACGTTAGCCGACTCCCAGGTAACACCAAGCACGAGCACAATGCCGATGGGAGGGGTCAAGTAACTTTGAATCTCAACAATCTGCTCATAAAGACCTGTTCCATTGCGCATAATAGGAATCCAGCAAAAACTGAGCACCGCAAAGGCGATAATACTCATGCGACCGACCCACACGAGCTGCTTGTGTGAAGCATCCGGTCGAAAATTGAGATAGATGTCGTTGGTGACAACAGACGAACCCGCAGCAAACACGGAAGCTAAACTCGACATCATAGCGGTGATGATACTAGAAATCATCACACCAACAATACCATGCGGCATTACTTCGGTAAGTAGTGTGGGGTACGCGGCGTCAGTGCCTTCTTCAATCTTGCTGAAGTCAAAATAGATGCTAGCAATGATACCCGGGATGATGATTAAAAACGGCGGAAGCACCTTCAGCATACTGGCGAGCGAGCAGCCAGCCTTTGCGTTTGCTGTGTCCTTAGCAGACAGAACACGCTGAACAAGATCTTGGTCCATACACCAATACCATACCGACCCGACGGGCTGACCAAAGATCATACCCGTCCAAGGGTAATCCGGATCGTCTGTTGGCTTCCAAAGGTGGAACCAGTCTGAGCGGCCCTGGTTGGCCAAGTTTTCCCTGATGCCTTCGAAGCCGCCGATCTGGTTCATGGAGTACGAAAAGATCACGAAGCCACCCAAAATGAAGACACACATCTGGAAAAGGTCCGTGTACATAACAGCACGAAGACCACCGGCAATGCTGTACATAGCACTCAGAGAAATACAGACGCCTGCACCGATATACAGATTCCACCCTAAAGTTGCTTGGAAGACGACTGCACCGCCATAAATACTTGCACTCATCTTCGTCAATACATACATAATGACTGTTATGAGTGACAAATAGTGTCTACACGGAGCACCAAAGCGGTATTCCAGGAATTCCGGAGTCGTGTACACGCCACAGCGGCGATAAATAGGTGAAAAGATCCAGCCCAAGCACAAGATTAAAATTGCAGCGTACCACTCGTACATGGCCACTGCAATACCGCGACGAGCTCCGTCGCCAGCCATACCGATAAAATGTTCAGCACCAACGTTGCTGGCAAATAGGGCTCCGCCGACAAAATACCATTGCATGCCGCGATCAGCCAAGAAGAAGTTGGACATCTCATTGACTTGGTTATCCGGTCCGTCGCGAGCAATTAACGAGGCCGAAGGACGACGTTGAGATATTGTTGAGCCACGTTCGTCACCAGCAGGTAGTTTCTTGGTTGGTGTCGCATCCGAAACCACATAGGAGTCGTCCGATGATCTTGAGACTTGGTCCACATTGCGTTTCGATGGACGAATGCACGGGAAATACTTGGCCAAGTGACTTTCGCCAGCTTGGATGGAAGCAATGACAGCCACGACCATCATAAAGAATAGCACTGTCGTGATGATAAGGATGTCGACGGTATTGACTTTGGCACCACCGGACGTGTCGGGGACAGTTTGAGTGTATAACTTGACCATACTAGTGAACGACAAACTAAGCTTTGTGTGGTGAAACGTCCAATGGTGAGTGGAATGCGCTCTAGTTGATGAATTAGAGAATGAAGCGAATTCGTAAGGTGACGCCAAAGGCAGATAAAGTTGTTGAACTCTGGTGCTCACGCTCCTGACCCAAAGCCGGAGCCATATCTCCCCTAATCAGATTAACACAGCCGCGTTGCAAGACGGGACGAAGCTGTTGCTAAAGTTCATGTGTGATCATCATTGCATGTGGTTACGGTAGTGGTTGTAATCGGCACCTTTGAGGCTATGGTGAACAAGATGAAATGAGCGTGCAAAGGGGAGTTCGAGATGTTAAGACAAGGTATGGGCATTATTTTGAGCATTTGCAAGTGCGTAATGAGTACCAAACGACCTCAAATTAACACATAGTTGCAAAGCTGGAAAAGAGCGACTCGAGCGTAAAGATGCGGAGAGTGGCATTGCACAAGTGCTTGTACGCGCTCGTAGTTAAGCGCTGGCGAACGCTCGAGACGTTAAGGAGATCAATTCCTTTACGTTTGTTGGTGGTATCTTTAAAGGTTGCATCATACTATGCATTGTTAGTAAGTAATGCTTTACAATAGCCCTTGAGATTGCTAGCTCGTGTATCTATCATTATAAACATACTACATGCAAGCAAACCTACAAAGGCGTGATATACATACTCTCGCTCTCAAATTGATTGCAAACATGTATGTCGCAGCGAATTTTCTGGAACGAGTGTGGAGGTACAATGTGATTCAGGGCGCTTTGCATGAATTCAAAAGATTCTTCTAGAAGCCTCTAGTTCATTCGAACCAACATGTTCAATCTAATCCTCATACCGAAGAATTCTGCGAACGACCTAATGTAATGTATTACGTTAATGCGTCCGTCACATCAAGCTGGACTGACAGCGAAATCAAAGAGTAGACAGCGATATTAGCATAACATGCCTTCAGTACATGGTTTTGTACAGAGCAGCGTAAATGAATACTGCTACTGGTGCCAAAATTGCAACTATCAATGTTTGAAAAAAGTGGACCTATGCTGATCTTGACGCGTCTCATGCACACACATATCATCCATGACGCAATGTTTTTGTGCTATAGAGCTTGTACAGAGACGGCTTTGCAACATTTTTTGCGCTTCGTCTGTTCAGGACATTTCGCAAACTATCTTTGCAGTGAAAACATATCATACAAAAGACGCTGGTGCTTAGTCTCGAGTAAGTAAAATACATAGCGTATAGTAATGTGATCAATTATTTGTACTAACACTATACTTTAATTGTTGTAATTTCCAGCCTTACTTGACCAGGAAAAGAACTAACACTTTCCAAAGTCTAGCATGTGATGGTATTCAATGACAAAAGCAAAGTGACAGTTGCAACAGACTGGTTTAGGTTTGCCTTACACGTTTAGCGGGAACGTTACCCTTCTTACGTCTGGTGCTAGCATTGATGAGATTGTAATGTACCAGCAGGACGATTCAGCAAATTGTTATCTCTTTCGCCGCCAACGAAAACATTCCATACACCACGAACTACCAGTTTCGGAATTCCTGGTAACTGAATCCGTCTACTATGACGCATTTAAGTCGTAAAGAGACTGCCACATTTAGAAGAATCGCGAATGCGACACGTGCTGAATTTGAGGCAACTCCAACGTCGCCCAGCCGCTCTAAAAGTCTTTAACAACGCAGACAAAATCCTTGTTTCATGTCATTCATTTGGAAGCCACAACATCTTCCACTGTTGCCAATGAAAATGAAAGAAAGGCAAGGCACCGGTCGCCTTAGTCGAGAAAAATGAGCGCATTACATGTTGCAACCTCCGGTTCGATTGAGAATCAAGCGCCTGGCATATCAAACTTTGTGGAGGGAAAATAGTGTACTGCGGCTGTCGTCAAGAGATGACAGAGGCGAGCGATGCTTGCCCCAAGTATAGGAAATGTTTGTCCCAATCTGAGGGACGCAGCTCTACCATATGCTGCGAGGCAGACATAATAGATTGACGACAGGTTTGCCAACTGACATTCAACTAATGCCAATACTAATCGATTAAAGCGGTCTGCTGCTACTTATAATGCGCAAGAAGGTCATTTTGACTATAAATTTTTGGCGATGACAATCTCGGTATCGTTAAACTTACTTTACGATACGAGTCCTAGAGCTCGAACAGTACTTACGCAGTCAAAACTTCACCCGATGCACACGAATGACATGGCATTCAGCACGACTCTAAGGTGGTACTGCGGATATCAAACTCATCGAGCATTTACTATATCAATGATGGTAACGGCTGCCCAGACTTTTAGAGCAATGCCCCTATTGCAAAAGTTATCTTACCATTTCGATCGTTCAATTTGAAGAAGGCACTAGATACCCAGCTGATGTAGCCTTTGTCCGATAAGACCCATAGCGTTGCAACCCATGAACAGAAGGGGGAGTATGTGGATCAAATCTTGCGGAACGTTGAGGCTGCAGGCGCGTAAAAATTAGTCATAGTTGGAATGACTTTATGCATTGATGCAGGTTTCATAAACCCAGGTAACAGCTTTTGCCATAAATTGATTGTGTCACATGTATGATCATGCCAGAATCGAATGCACTGTCACGCTACCAAAAATTATGATGAACAGCATCATTGCATGCTCACACGAGTTTTTCTCTAACAGTGACACGAAGTCACTGTTACACCGCGAGAGAAAAGTCTCGTGTGAGTTCGTATTCAGACTGCACATTGGTAAATAACTACACATCACGTTTTACCCAGCATCAGATAACGGCCGCTAATTCTTCACGGCCAGATCCAGATTTTTCGCTAAAACTTGCAACCACATCCGTCCTTGTTGGGCATTGTACACCGAACCATTGGCAGATACAATTGCGCCGTTTCTGATATAAAATGGCATTTGGGCAAAGCTCAAAGCCTCAGCACGAGCGACAGCGTATTCTCAGGCCCATTGCCTGTAACTCCTACCTGGTTGCTGCTCGTCGTCTGCGGTGTATCATCTGACAAAAGCGAGACCTGATTATGAACTTTCGGACCTATTTTTTCAGGCGACTTCCTCGATCATTCATGTACTAGTGTTTTGGCGTTGATTGGATCGCAGAGCCGTACAGAACGAATGTATAAAGGTATTCAAACTCGTTCTCGTTCTCCTTGGTTCTTCCGCGGTCCCGTAAAACTACTTTTTGTGTTCTTGTCCTTGCCATTATCGTCGACAGCACTACTACTAATCCAAGCTGACTTTTTTTGAAGCTAGTGCCACTCGAATACAGATGTGTCTGTCGTCACTGAAAGTGCGCTGAGTGGAGGAGAATGCAAACCTCGTTCAAGACGACTAACAATCTAAGGTTGCAGGTCCGTGGTGCGACGACTCTACACCTTGCTGTAGATCTGTTCAGCGTTGTCGTTAACTGGCTATCACGGATGCCAACGCTACCCCATGACACCACCAGTGCTATGCGGCTGAAGTTGTAGTCTCGTTTGTCCGATGTCTCTCCTCACATTTTGCCCCAGCTTTTACTTCTTTGCTACTCGTCTCACTGCTATGCTGCAACTCTTCTGCCTTCTTTATTAGCCGAATACGGGTCTCGCCTAGGCTTCGGCCTTATGTAACCTGAATGACGTGTGTGCATATTCTACGTGACCATCAAATTGAACGTTGTGAGAAGTTGCGTGGAAACATATTTTCTTGCTCTGCTACTCTCTAGACGACGATAGTGTGTGGCTTGAAATTCGTCATGGTTAGTTTTCCGATGCTATGAACTATAGGATTATGTGTGTACTTGGAAATTTCTACTGGTTTAACAATGATAAATGGTAGTAATTAACCACCATCAGCGTACTTCAGTGGTCACAACGCAGCAGGCACAATTTCGACGTATGCAAAGGCTTCCCGGTATACAGATGAAACGAAGACATTGTATTGTGGACAGAATTTCCAACTTGATGTGTGCTCGTGACCGTTTGGTGCTGTACCAAGAGCCAATGTTTCATCTACACTCGGCGTCAGTGTCGTGATCGTCATCAACAGACTCTGGTTCGACAACAACTTGTCCATGCAGCAAGTTTTACCACCTGTGAGTGGATATTTCAAGCTACAGATAGCAGATTTGATCACGACTTTACGAAGTTAGTTGTTAAGCTGACATCAAAATTTGTTCGATTGGGTGGTTAACTGGGCGTCGTGCCATGAGGCGCTGATTGCAGTAAGAGATCCTTGTTTTGTGCCGGACCCAGAATTTGTCGGGAGGAGGCAAATGGGCCGTGAAATTGCCCGTCTCAATTTGGAGTCCTCAAGCACTGCGGTTGTACAATGTCGTGAGTTATCGAGTAGGTCATGCGATTAAGTGCAAGTTGCTGAAGGACCACGTGGCATCATTATTTGGACCCATGTTGTGAAAGCCTTTTTCATTTGGAGATGATAAATGCACTTTTCGCCCGCAGATCCTTAGATATGATAACAGTTCCTCTGTCCTACCCTTTATGCTCCTCGTTGTAATTGTGTTTACACCTCATACAAAAACAAAACGTTTCTGGATTCTCGACATGAACAAATGTCTTCATCACGAGTGGATCGTCAGTCTTGGTTGATCCGTCTTTCAAACGATAGAAAACGGAATCAATGCAATTCGCATCGAATACCTTCACCAAGACCTCAACCTGCACAAACGAGTGTCAGCATACTCGCACACACACAACAGGACTATGTGTAAAGTACAGACACCAGTACCTTATATTTGCTGCCAATTGATGGACTTTTCTCAACAAGTCCGGGCAGCATGTTTACAATAGGGATTTCGAAATTGATACCGTTGTAATAGCCATACATCTCGCGAGAAAGTGCAAGCCGTCTGTTCGGGTCACGGTCGTACTTGGCAAATTTACGTTTGTAATCTCTGCTTTGCTTCCTCGACACCAAATGACAGCTTTCTGCCTTGCCAAATGGAAAAAAACCTCTCGTGTTCAATCCGTTGATATCGAAACTCGTCAGTCAAGGAGTCCAGAATCGAAACACTTGTAGTCAACGAAACGGATGAAATTGTGTGTTGCGGAGAGTCTGACTCTTGTGGGTCATAGCCGGTGCTCATAACACACTTCAGGTCAGTAGGAACATCTTTAACTCGTGTGAATTCTCTTGTAATTATTTGGTCACGCAATGGAAAGCCAAGCGTTAGCGTGCTCTCAGCCAAGTCATTATTGAATTGCAATGCAGCTTTCTCTGAACCAAAAGTAAGCTAGTTGGTCAACACAATACGCACTACCACACAGTAGCTAAAGGAGCGCACCTTTCTTAAAAAGAACATGAAAGCGCAATTTCTTGTCTTCATACCAAAACGCAACATCCTTGTCATTCTTCCGGCAAGCCGGATCGTAGCGTCCAAACCGTGATGCCGCCAGCCGATACAAATTGCGGCGAATCCCTTTTGTGTCCAACGCATTCTCGATGGTTCCGCTAACGAGCCACAAGCATGATTCTTGCTTTGGAACCATCACCAGCACGTGAATCTGTCGATACGACGGAGGATCCATCCCGTTCAGCACGCCCTCAATTGGGCATTCTCCCTGTAGTTCGTAATATGTTTTCGTCAGCGATTCAATGATAGCAGTTTTCTGACCCTTCTTTAGCCTTTCCACGTCTTCTGAGACCGATGACAGCCGCCCGCCGTTTTTGCTAGGAAGAGCTGCAGCTTGTACGCAGGAAATTGGTACATCTTCTCCACTTTGATCGCCTTAAGTCCCCTATAGTCTGATTCTTGTCGATATCTACAGGGATTACGCCATACCGACAATTGCACAAAAAAGCTTTACCATATTTTTTTGAACACCAATTCTTCAATGAGAGACGGGAAAGAAAATTTAGTATCGTACCGAGTGGAAATGAACTGATGGTCAAAATGTGTCAAAATTAAGAAGTAGTTATTGATTTATGGTGAGAGGCTGACACGGATGCTACATTACGATGACAACGTCAATGCCTTGTTGCTAACCCACTGGCCGTCTGGAATCTTCTTACGTTGTGCGCTAGTCTTGATCATATTTTGAACTAACTTTGAGCCCTTTGTTCAAGCCATTTCCTATTCTCATTGGAAAACACTATCTTGATAAGGCATAACTTTCAAATGAACATGTAACAACTGCAACTACGATCTGCTGAGATCTAGCTCTTGTTCTATTGATTTGTTCGAGATGAACGTTGCTAGCAATTTGTGGCTTATTGTTTGTCAGGCAAAACCAGCTGGAGGCTAAGTTGCAAATTCTTTAGTAATAACCATCCATGCTTGGTCTCACCGCTGGAGGACAACTACTTCATGCCATCCACCTCTACCCAGAAGTAAAAAGCCTCTGTTTTATGTCGTATGCGTTGTTTCTTCCTCAGCTTTTCAAATGATACTTGCCAATCGCAACATTTGCCCATCTTGCCAGTACAATTTTCGTGTACCTTTCCGGCGGATGTAGCCGCCGCTACAGCTAAAGGCAAGCTTACAAACGTATTGTCACCCAATAGAACAAGACTTACCATACAGAATAAGGTATCCTGTAGCAGCAAAAAACAAAAAAATGTTGCAATAACGCCGTCGCAGGCAAATTCCCTGGCAAATGCTGAGTAAACACACTGATAAATGTGAGCAGCCACGCTTCCTCCATCGTCGTGTTCAAACAAACTGTGTTGCTGCTGAAAGTAAATGACGATTTGCCCCGTTTATTCGGTGTGAGCTCCCGACAAGCAAATCGAACGAGTTCTGGTGGATGCCGAAATTGTTGCGATATAATAACGGGTCAGCAAATTTATGCCGTCTTGCACAGCTCTTGTGATCGTTCATTGTCCTGTTGTTCTGTTATCCAGCCTGGAGCGGTTTTACCTTTCCTTAGTGACCTCGATGCATTTTCTTACGATAATGCCTCAATGTCGACTCCTGGTTTGCGCGTAAAATCTTTTTTTTGGTGCACCCGTACCAGGATAGTTATTGTTCTGCTTACATAGTCAGCATTGTCAGCCCATGCCTTCTTAAAACAACTTCAAAATTCTTGGATGGTGAATCCAGCACAGTGTTGCCCTTGTTATTTCCACTTTTGAACGGATGAAGCTGCAACGTTATAGGTACTGGTACAGCAATCAATCTACAACAGGCTACTTACTCTACGCCGCAAAGAGGCTCATCACCATGTTTTCACTTTACACGAAAGACACCACGCTGCTGTAAGAGAAGTCACCCTTCGCCATCTAACTTAAAACCATCCTTCTTACGTGAGCTGCTCCCCCGCCTCTATCATGAGCTTGCACCAATCAGGCCCATTCCATCTTGTGTCACTCGTGGTAGCAAATTGAACTACACGTACGCAAAAGGCCCTCCAAAGAGCTGTGAATTCGACGTAGGCACCAGCGGAATTTTTTGTTTACGGGAGTGAGTTGCTCTTTTGCAAATAACGGCACCGATGTCTGCAGCGTTTGAACACTCCGCGGTCTAGATTTTTTGCTACTGCCATTCGATGGTACACATTCATTGCTTCCGATATATCCGAATGAGGTGAATAGCGAGGCCGACATAGCATGAAACGCAGGAGTAACAGACAACAGCATCGGCGATGCCACGATGACCCTGTGGAGCTAGTTACGTCGCTTTATTTCGATAGTTGTGTCTTGTCGCGCACTCTTACCAGTCCTGTTAATGAGGTTCACACACGTGACATGTCTGTATCGCTGGATAGTGGTTGTCCATATGCGCGAAAACCCGATTCGTTTCAATACTATATCGTGTCCCGAGAAGGCGTCAAACGTCCGCGGACGTACTTCGAACTGTCCACCTGGTCCCAATACAGCAAGATTCAGCAACCAGCACACGTCCGGGACGGTTTGACCAGCAGCATTCGTCTCAGCAAAGTTGGCCACGCATCCGTCCTAGTCGGCACTGCCCATGTTGAATCGCGTGCCAATCGTCTCCATCTGCGTCTTGCAAGAATAAAGTTATCGCAGCGCTACCTATTGACGTCGCACTTCTTCATGACCTTGACGAACGTTCTTCTCGTAATAGACGTACAAAGTCCAAGTGAAAGGCAGCGGCTGAAAACTCGTTACTTCTACCGCATACTTCATCTTTTTTGATAAGCTAAATCTAGACATATCTACATATCTACATTGATAGATATAGTTGAGATGTACGAACCACACAAACTACTTGACAAATCTTGAATCCATTCATTAGGAAGCAAATGCCGCGTAGAGTTCGACAAAAAGATCATGTTCATGTTTCTCGTAGTAAAGGAAAGAATAGCGTTAGTGAAAGAAAGAAATTACGACAACGTTTTGGTCGACAAGAGGACTGTCTACTAGCAATGCAAGTAAAGATAGATACACCATATAAAGCACGATATGGTGCTATCGGAGAGACCTGAGATCATATTGCAGATCGTTTGAATCAACATGTGGATTTTCATATGCGTCCAGTCAAAGGCACAACAGCAAAAGCACAATTTGATACGCTTGTGTATCGTCATCGACAGTGGATGGAAAGTCATGAGGATGAAAAGAAGTTGGAAGAAATGACGAGTCCGTATCGAAAACTAATGAGTGAATTGATCATAATTGATCAATGAGATGGACATTTGTCCTAAGAATAACGCTAGACTGGATGGAAAAGATAGAGATCAAAACGAGCATGAAAGACCTACAGAATCACGTACAAAGAATACTCGACTTGGTAAACGTCGATCATTGAGTGTTAGTTCCGGACATGTTGGATGCAGATGAGTCTTTTGGATGTCGAGAGACGTTTATACTGCCACGTGCTATTGATACAGAAGAAATGCATGTATCATCTAGTGATTCGTCTCAGGCTGGAGAAATTGATCCACAAGTTACTGTTTCAATTGAAGAACCTGCGTTATCACAGAGTCCGATTGTTGCAGACGTTGGGACGGTGCAACAAGCTATGGCAGAGTTGCTCAGGATGCAACATGCCATTGCAACTCGACCTGATAATAGTAGTATCAAGGAGCTAGAAAAAATATATGAGATGAGACTACGAGAGAAAGAGGAGAAAACAAAGCAACGCGGCCTTGAACTTCAGATTGAAATGCAACGTACGAGATGGAGACAACTGAATCTGGAGTTTGAGAAAGAGGAATGCAAGAAAGACCGCGAAAAACAAGCCAAGCTCATTACAAGTCTTCTCGAGCGTCTTGAGCCAAAGAGAAGCTGAACGCTGATTGAGAGAAAGTGAACGGCGACGTAAGGAGCATCTGTTGCACAGGTTACCTGATGAAAGCGAGGACTTTGATAGCTTCGTGTGTATCTTCAAACGATTTCGTGGATGTCAAATATTGCCTTCATGCTATGATGGCATCATCTGACCAATGCTTCATTAATGACTGACTCCATGTACATTGTTCTACTCCAGCACTGGCACTTGCAAACAATCATCAGGTATAGGTACGTCATCGCCTGGAGTGAAACATAGCAACATTTGACATGTGGAGCAGGCGAATTGTGACTTACAAGTGATGCTTTACTACTATTGCTGCTACTCCTACAATATGGAATAGTTAAAAGTATTAAGCTCGGAGATCATACAATAGGTTCATCTATTCACCTCAAAATGAGTACGTCTTGCTTAGTACCGGACCATTCCGATTTACCACCGCCATGCGCATAGCACTAATCCCCTGTGTCGAAACTTTCCACACCGTAGAGTCTCACAAACACTTTCTCCGCCATGTGACTAGCAACGTTCGTACCAATTTGCTTTTCGTGTACAGCCGTCGGTCGCGCAAATTTTGTAGCCGCCATGCTCGAAACACTTGTTGTACATGTTGGTACGGTTTGTACACCCTGGTAATGTGCCTCGTGAGCCTCCACCATGACGCACGCAACAGCCACGAAACATTGTAATGTATATGTAGCCTTCAACTTGACACGGCAGCGTGTGACTCATTCTTCTCTTCTTCTCCTTGCCTAAACTTTGCAACAAAGACCGTCTACGCGACCTCCGCATTTTTTTTCGTACGCATATGTTGTTGTTGTTAATGCTTCCTTTACTTTGTTACTTGATCCAACGTCACTGTTGATGGTCAGCACAACACGAGCATCAAAATCAGTTCAAGTCATGGCCAATTATCACATACACCAAGGCAGCATCGTGTACGAAACTTCTTGCAATGGTGTGACGCGTATATAATTCGTATTTTCTAAGCAAAACTACACACTCAGGCGTGATCAGGCCCTTCAGACCACTTCTTGCCTGTGCCAGCTGAGTCTATAGGACCAATAGCACTTGCATCAAGTCCAGTCTGCTTTCGTCTCTTAATTTCGTAGCCGCCACGCTGCTTACTAGTTGCAGCAGATCGTTTGAGAAATGGAGAATCTATAGCTGCATCATTACTAACACAATGGTAATGGTCGACTGGTCGTTTTCTCATCAGGTTTCCCAATTGCGCCCGAGCACGTTTTGACTGCTTGCGTGTTTCCACAATCTCTTAGAATACTGTCAAGCTTTGCTTTCGCCTCAATAGCTTGTACTATAAATATACAATTAGACGCATATTGTGTTGCATCAGACAAACCGAGTATTAAAAGAAGCAGGTCATACATGACGCTTTCCCACCTAATGATACACTCCGCGCAACAGGTCGTGTCCACGTCGTCTCGTTCGTCTTTTCATTCCAGTAGTAAATGTCACCACTCGCGGCATCAGGCACTTCTTTCCATCCACTATAATGCATGCACACCAAGCACGTTAGTTCTGACCTACAAAACAGCAGTCTTGATCCATCACGTACTCGGCCAATTTCCCGTCACCAGTCTTGGACTCCGCATTTTTCACGATATTCATCTGCACGTATCATCCTCATTAATATAATAGTATACATCACTAACCCACTCAACAAATGTCCGCACCTGAGTCGTCGAGCTTTCAGGTCGCTCCCATACCGTTTCATTGGTTGCCTGCACCACCAGAACGAATCTTCCCTCAGTACTTTCCGTAACAATAACTCCTTAGTCCTACATAACGACAATGCCTGCCTCATTCCAATAATATAAGTCGCCCGAGACGGGGTCTACAACTTCTTGCCATCCTTGAGGTAGGCCGTTATATTCTGTCGTCCTTGATTCCAGTCGGTACGTCTCCGTCATCTGCTTAATCTGATGCATCTTCTGGATCTCGTGTGCATGCCGCAATGCTACTGCATGCAGCGTGTTGTCTCTTACTCGAGGGTCATACTTGTCAGCTGCTGACGGCTCCCGAGGCTGCGCACCAAGCACTCGACGCTGAGCCATAAGAGACGTGGTATTGGCTGCCTGTTTCTGTCTAAGTTGCTGCTGCTGCGTCAATTCTCGCTGACTTGGTCCACTACATGTGGTCTGTAGATACTTAAGAGCTTCTTCGCGTGTCTTTTGAGCTGCTACTTCCTTCTTGAGCCGCTCGGTAGCGACGGCGGACTTGGGCGGCATTTCTGATGATGTCAAGTGGGCGTTGAGTTCTGTCATTTGCTGTGTAGATAATTGGCAAAATACGTTTATCGAGCATTTGCAAAACTTGAAGTTGCTCTTAAACTGCTAGAATAAGTAGCTCTGTCAACACGCTTGTCAAAGGACGATATCCTGCAAATGATAACTGCAGGATATAGACATGCTGACTTGACATTATCGATGATTATGTAAACTCCCGTATGATTATCACAGACGCAGTGTGAGTCTGAAAATAGCGCTGCGTGCCTGAAAATACATCTCAAAGCTTTATATTATTCGTGCCAGCTTTTTCTTTCCATCTTGATTAGAATCTACAGTCTTTAGATTGTGCTGTCTGCTGAAAGTGGTTCTGGCCCTTGCTTTTATCCGATTCAGCATGTACTATGATACAAAGATGAGGTTTGCCTGTCAATAGACGCTCGTCACCGACCGACGTGGAAAACTGATAGATTGACCACGATTTGTGATATTCAATCGAGCCCGGTATTGATGCGAAAGCAAAAAGCCGAGCTGGTTAAGAACCTTATGATGGAAGCTTGGAACGATGTCAAGTCAAAGGCGGGAGCAGTAACAACAGAACATGATACTGAAGTTGAGCGAAAACGAATATCTTATCATGTAGACTCCACGTCTGTTGCAGCAATTCTCGACGTATTCGTGCTGATATTGTTCATTCTTACAGGATAAAGCTAAAGACGACTGTCTTAGGCTGCCGCAATTACCAGTACGCGACTTTTAATCGTGAGCAATCACCAGACTGCTTTTCCAGTTCATTGAACGCTTACTCTGTCTGTGCTCAGGCGAAAATGCAAACTGCTAAGCAATGTGCAGCGGAAAATGGTATTCGTGTTGGTTTTGCCACGGTTAGTGTGCGTATGACACATGCTGCTACTTCCAGTTTCTGACACTGTGCATATGTGACAGATGACACTGAGGATCACGTTTTCGATCGCAACACGACCGATTCTGTGTCTTGCATGGCATGCGATAGACCGCACAGCTGTATTTTGCTCAACTTATTGGAGCGTAAACGAATGCCAACCGGGGGGAGTAAAAAAAATAAAAGTCAACAAAAAGATAAAAGAAAAAAAAAAAAAAAAAAAAAAAATTTTTTTTTTTTTTTTTAAAAAAAAAAAAACCCCCACCAAAAGAAAAATAATTAATTAAAAAATTTTTTTTCGGGGTTGTTTTTTTTTTGCAGTGCCCTTTTGAAGACTGATGTCGTGTAACACTAAGCTGCTGCGGCAATATGAGGAGTCCGAATAGCAAGTTGGAGGCGGTCTTGTCGCCTAGACTGAATAACATGCAAAGTGCTGTGCCGGAATAATAAAGCAAACAACAGGCAAGACCTGGAAACGTGAGACATGTAATATTGACTATCACACTTAAGCTACCGTGTAGTTTGACACGACACTGCTTTGACGCAGCACCAAGTGTTTGTATTTACAAAATGTACGACCCAGTTCTTGAGGAGATTGACAAATACAAACATCGTCGTCCTCTACACACATAGGACCAGAGGTTTTCTCTAGCGCCAGTGAGGTAACACGACATGCCTCAGACCTCATTGCAATGAAACACTTTTCAGCGTCTGAAGCAAAGAAATCCTTGCATGCATGCCCTTACACGTCCTCACGACGCAATATACAATCTATAGTCATCCTACAAAACACACTCATAATCACGTGATATCAAATGCACAAATGGCATTCGTCGAATCTCTCCTCCATTCAAACATTATCAGATGTTCATTGGTTGATTCTACATTCATTCACCAACCAATCATAACACGATGCACATGGAGTGAATGCATGTCGTGAAAGTTGACATTCTATTCCGTTTTGCAGGTTTTATCGGAATGATGGTAAATACAGACAAATTTACACGCCTTTCGAGAAGAACAATACCGGTATTTATCCAATCGTAAACATGCCGACACTAACCGACGAGGAACAGGAGTTGATTCAGAACGACCGCGAGGCGAATCCAGGCTGTTTCTACTCGACGGCTTTGTCACAATCGTGCAGGTCTATTAACGGTGATAGCAAGTGTGAGATTATCAAGAAAATATTTCGTCAATGTCCGAATTCTCGCAAGGAACTTATTTCCAACCGTAAAGAGATTACAGAGGACGAACATGGCGGCGAAGCGACTGACGAGGACTTTTTCAATCGGGAGAGGATGGATCCACGTAGAGGGTGAGAGGATAAATGCAAAAGACATATATTATGACATTGTCGGGGATAAAATGCACGACTAATGGCATATTTTTGACAGCGGTGAACCGGGATTTGGCACATTTTTCCAGCAACGGTACGCGTTATTGATCAATTAGTGTGATTTAATGTGAGTGTAAGGGGAACGTAGCTGATATGTAGTCATGATTGATATAGAGGAGACGATTTTGAAGCCCAGATGAGTCCATTTGACTTTCTCCGCCAAGAAATGCTGCGTCCGTTTGAGGGTAAGTTGAAAAACATGCGAACTTGGGCCCAATATACAGTTCTTATTATTGTTGTTGTAATGCTGTAGAGTTTTTTGGTGGCGGGATCTTGGGTCGCGGCGCACTGAACCCGTTTGAAGGCCTAGAAGAAGGAGAGTTTGAGCGGACGCCGATACCACCGCTCACGCCACATCGACCTTCTCGACAGACACCTTCTAATCCTCCACACTACTCTTTCCATCCATCTCAAGGAAACGACTCGAATGGTTGGCATTCGCTTTGTCTTTTCCGATGCTTTCTGTGCTTTTATTCTGACAAAACGTCTCAATGATGGTGGATGCAGAAGCGGATGCCCAAGCACGCGCACGAGAGAAAAGCGACATGTTTGCAGGGTTTTCAGGCCGAGTGGAAGAAATCTAGACCGTACTCGCAGGCGGTGTGGTGGCCAATTGGAATTGTGTAGCTGATCCATTGAGTGCTCTGTTGAGTTAACTGCCAGTTGCAGCAACTTTGATGGCTATTCGTTCCTGCTGTCATGTAGAAGGAATATAATACGAAAACTTGGATTCATATTTCCTGTTTCCATTGAGGAAGCAGTGATATGCACGTGAATTGCCAAGAAGGAAAGGGGCGGAAGTGTGCGATAGATTGCCGCTTTGCAACATGGTCAAGTTTCAGGTATTGACGTTCTACAGCTCGGTGCCGAATGGGCTGAAACCGTCGTTTGCGATTGCCTCGCAGTCAACAAGTAAACTTGGTAGCTCATTAAGCTCGAGATACTTGACATGTACTTGGGCACGGTCTTTTATGTTTGAGTGAGCTAGCAAATATTGTCCCACATTCGACGCACTTATACTGTGGCTCAAAGCATGTTAGCATCTTGTATATGGTAAGCGTACTTTCGTGAAAAGTGTCCAAAACGGCAAAAGGCATGTCGATGATATTATAATATGACATGGAAGGTACTGCAACGAAGTAGCATTATTCTGCTCATTTCACAGCGAGTAATTACAATATGCTAAGTGATGGACGTTCACTGACGTATTACTAACTAGTGCGTCGCTCCGTGCGTGCCACCCAAATTCATTTTGTACATATTGCATAGAATCATGACTTTCTGCGCCAAGAGATACCTGAATTGCATCCAAGTAAAACATTTTGAATGCAAAAATTGGACCTTACGCTCTTTAGTGGCCAGATTGCCAAAATCAATCATTTTACTTGACCTTAGAAGCGCCGGTGAGACAATTCATGTAAATATACGTGTCTACACCGTGTCCTTCCATGGGCATAATCGCTAGTTCACCGCCAAAGTACTTGGCGTATAGCTGCGCAATACGCAGACCAAACGATTCCGAAAAGTCTAGTTCGCTAGCACGGCGCTCCAAAACCTCTGCGACAGGATCATATCCACTCAAAGACGGGGACGTCGCCGTGCGATAGTAGTCTGAGAGCGCATTGGCCTCACTGCGGGTCAAGCCTCCGCCCATATCGGATACCTTGACACAAACGCCGTGCGGTCCCCCCGAGACCAGCACCTTTACCGGCGGTGGAGCGCTGGCTCCTGGTCTTTTGGCCGCAGCAACACTGTTCAGCACCGCGTTCTTGAACACCTCCGTCAAGATAATTTCAATATGTTGCGGAATATAGCGGTACGTGGCTTTCTCATCGCCAGTTACGACAATATCGGGCAGAAGCTCACCGTCGAGACTCTCCTGCCACAACAGACGCACTTTGTGCACAACATCTTGAGCGATCTTGACGGGCGAGCACACATCATGTACAACACCCGTGAATCCAGGCTTAGGTGTCTGAGCTGCAATGTGTTGGTCTACGAGCATGCGAATGCCAATGCGAGAATTGTAAAAGTTATCGAGCGACTCACTCAATCCCTGAGGTTCATACTCAAGAGCCTGCACCGCATCTGCAATATTTCCATGCATGGTAGCATGTTTTTGTCGAACCTTGCGATGTAAATCCATAAATTCCCTTTCACTTGAAAGGTTGGAAGGCAGCGGAAAGCTCATCAGCTGATCAAAACTACTGAGAAGTTGCTCACGAAGAGACACAATGGGTTTCGCTTGCGGCAGCTCATCTGGCAAATTCTCAAGGTCCACAATACGACGTGCAATTCGAATTGGTACTTCACGGTGTAACAGCTGTGCCGAAGTCACGATAGCGGGTGCATTCACCTCACGCCACTTGGCCAGAGCTTGTGGGTCCGTCTGAAGGGATGCTGCAATGGCAGGATTGGCCACAGGTCCACGCTTGAGCAGCGCCTGGAGCGTAATAGGTGGCAATGGAATATGATGCAAGCGGTAAACCTCAGCCAGCACTTTTGCTCCTACAGATGTCGTCATACCTCGTTCAATGAGATACTTTGACAAATACGCTACGAAAGACGTGGTGTTGAACGATTTGGTGCTTGCGCAAGCATTTCAAAACGAATACATGGGATTGACTTACAGCGAATGAATGATACGTTGTTTTATGTAAAGCCTAGAATTTAGCCAATCAAAAGACGCATGTCAGTTACTGAAACTTCACTTGATTACCTACCTCAATAGAACGCAAATCAGCCACAGCATGAGAGGTCCAAGGAGGGATGACTCACACAGCTACAATTATGTCTTGCAGGGATCAACGTTGTACAGCACTAGTTGCATAAACGTTCGAGCCAATGTAATCATTGGTAGTAAGGCCCAGACATGTCCGTCATGGGCGTTTATCTCCAGAAACGAAGTTTTCGGTATGGTTAACGTTTTCTAGTCATCGCATGGCCATTTTGACAAATACATCAAGTCTCTTCATTTGACCATAGTCGAAAGCGTGATACAACGCTAACTAGTCTGATACATTCCACGCATTAAGTTGTAGCCCCGGTGTGTCGTTCTCAAACGCGCTCAGGGCGACCTCAACTACAGCTCCCATTCGATGGCCGAATGCATACATGCAAGCAACATATTCAGCATTCCTTTTTTTCTGGCGATACCTCAAAGTTGCAGCGGTTGTAGCTTTTCAGGCGGTACGCCTCGATCTTGCTTGATCAAGGCTATTGCGCTCTCTGAAAGTATGATATCAAATTGACTGGTTTAGCTCACTCGAAAGCGCCAGTACTGGCTCGTAACGAGAGATTTGGCAATTGAAGACTGGCGATGTCATCCATTGCTTGATAAGGAGTCTGCTGAATCGTAGTGACAGCATTGTGCAAATTTCACACTTCTGTTTTTGCAGCTACTACTTGCAGCTATAATATTGTAAACTTTCTGGGTCATTGATCACGACGTCACTTGTCTATCAAATCTTGAGGTGAACTGCTTCCGTTAATATCACATCAATTTGCCAATAACATTGTTCCGCTTCGTATCTTGACTTTTCCATATAATCAGCACCATGCTTGTCTCCATAGCGACAAATATTCCATCAGTACCCAGCTCAATCTCCAGCGTATGCTGACCAAGTGCCTCATACAACGCTGTACAAAATTTCTTGTAATACAAACAAATAATACCTTACGCTATCCATATCGAACAGAAGCTCCCGAAGCGCCTATCCAAAACCTTCAACCATCGATGGGTATCATCATCCAGTTCACACTATTCCTTTACAGTACAAACTCCATCGTATGTCCCCGTCCTTTTTTTCCCTTGAGATAGCACTGTTTGGAGAGCGTCCGTGAACAAGCCTACTTCATGATTTAGTAAGTGGCAGATGATCCAGTCATGCTAATGTCCCTACTTTGATTGAAGAAGGATTGTCCACTTACTGACGTTGTAACAAGTCGATCATACACATTGGTAGCGACGGTCTTTTTACCATGCAATTCACATTACGCTACTTTTGCGACATGAATGTAACTACATGATTGACTGAGTACTGAATTCTCGACATACAAAAGTAAACATTGAAAAAGTCAACGAGTTCGATGCATCATCCCCGTCGAATTTGATATGAAGCCAAACAATCAGTTGTTAAATGGTATAAAACCGCAGAGGAAGTTGTGAAACGCAAACTTTACAAATAAAAGCATTCATTCTTCAACTATTCTGAACATATCCAGTCGAAATTACATTTGACGGTTTTACAACGCGTCATCACGCTCTTATCGCGATTCACAATCAAACAGCAGCCAGTCTCTCACGTTCAGCGAAAAGTTGAGCATTAAGTCTGCTTCTCATCATTTAAGAAGAAGAACGATAGACCGTAGTGTGAAGCTTGCAAGGTACAGTGGATTCATGAGAAGAGCAACCCTGTTGATGCAGTCGGTTGTTTTGTATATAAATGACAACTCACCGTCTATTGTGTCATTCTGTCACTGTTTTCTTTTTGTTTCATGTACAGACAACCTTCATCTGTCTTTCTTCTAGTGTAGCTTTCCAGTCTCTCTCTCTCTCGCTACGCTACGGTAATTAATTCACCTCAGGCAGTTGAAAGTCTCTGCAATTTCTTCTTTCGTCCAGTTGACAAAAATGGGAAGAAAATGGCAGCTTCGTGATGTGGAAAGCTTCTTGAATTATTTCAAGATTGAGATGCAGCTACTCAAGCAGGAGTGGAAGACCATCTTGCCGTGCACCATCATGCAGTACATCCATGGTGTCTTCCATAACCTGGCTTACTACATCCAGGGCAACTATCTGACGACGGAACAGCGCTTTACACTTTACGACCTTGGCTACGAGCTCATGCCGGAGCTTCACGGTTTTGCTTTGTCCATCTCGGAAATCCTTGTGTTTGCCGCTGTCTTTGCTCCAGCCATTCTCTTGGTCGCAACGATTCCATTATTCAAGCAGGAACCTGGCCGCCCACGCTACCTTGTGATTGTGCTGAAGCGCTGTCTACTGCAGATCAGTATTTGTATGGTCTTGCGGATCATTTCGTTTCTCGTGACGGCTCTTCCGTCCCCAGCCGATCACTGTGAGCTCAAGTTTGACGACGCGTGTTTGGCGGCAAATCCAAACAATCCAGTGTTATGTGTTATTCCTAACCCGGACTTTGAACCGCCTGCTCTTAGCGATTTGTTTACTCGTCTCAACCCGCTTACAGGCTGCGGGGACTTGATGTTTAGCTCGCATACGATCTACACCGTATCGCTCATTCTGACCATGTGGAAATTTTGGCCCAATAAGTTTGGACTTGCTATCATGGTCAGCGTGCAAATTACTATTGCGTTCCTGATTGTAGCCTCACGTAAGCACTATACGATTGACGTGTTCTCGGCGCTGTATGTTGTGCCGCTGATCTGGTTCACGCTGGAGGCGTACCACAAAGACATTAATAACAAGGACTCAGAGGTCACAGTTAAGTCTATTTTTGATTACTACGGAGTTGACGTCTCTAGTGATGCAAATGACGGTGCAATGCCGCTCCACACCAGCGATGCAATTCCAGATTCGGCAGGTCCGTTAAACTCGGTGCAGGTGGCGATGACAGAAGACGATAGCTATAGCGGTGAGCGTTCTGACGCTGATAACTCAACCACTAGTTTCCAGCGCAAGAACTCGTTGTAAGGTATATGGAGTACTTTGATGCAACATCATAGCGACTTCTTAGTTTGGCACATGCTCTATATAAAGAACGCAGCGTTTTTAAAGCTGCCTTGTTGGTATGATTGGTGCTATTGTGATTTAATCATTCATGACGATTGCGTTTTTTATTTATTGTTGTTAAACGCCAACAAGAGGCAACCGTGCCTGAGCTACGCATAATACGCGCTAATCTGCGAGAGCGTATCCATGTCTGACAGATCGTCTGTGCAGATGCTCGAAAAGTCGCTTCGTTGGGACCACCACAGTGGTGAAGTCACATCGTGGTCACTCCACTCGCTTGACTCATCAAAGCTGGCGTTTCCAACACTTCGATTTGCGCGATAGAAGAAAACGTCTGCGGCGTCAAAAGTTGGGCAGGGCAACACACTGGGTGCAATAGTGACCTCGTAAGATTGTGAGCTTGTATCTGGGAGACTTAGTCTAACCTCCAGTGGTTTTAATGCCGAGCTGTAGGCAACATGTGGCATCTCAACGTCTTTGTCAGTGCTGAATCGAGGCATGTCGTGACTCAATATCTGCTCAATCTTTTCCGGGTGCCCAAGAATAAAGCACTCGTGATAATAAATGGTGTACTCGCGCTGGTCACCGTCTTCCTGATACTTAAAGTTGAATGCCTCAAGCATCTGATGAAGTGTGCAGACCCGTAGTCCCAGTCGTTTTGCTAGTCGAACTTCACGTGTCTGTTGTACGAGAAAATGTGTGCCATTGTCAAGCCACACGAGCGCATCTTCCTCGGTCTCGTTGTCTAGGCAATAATGTAATTTTTCCAGTATTGATCGCCAGCTTTTATCGTCTTGTCCTGTTGTAGAAATGATGCAATATTACGTAAACATTTTTTTTATCTCGATGCAACTACTTCACTGAAGAATCATTATCATGAAGCACCTCTTCGATCGCATCGCAATTGCTTCATACACCGTTCTTCAACCACAACAGTCGAGTCTAAATATATAAAAACCCATTAGGAAGTAGTCAAGACAAAAGAAACAAGCGAACGAATACGATAATTCGTGGATGCATTCACATTGTACCATTTTCATTGCGAAATCGTCGTGTCATGGTAATTCATTCATACACGGACCACTTCAACTTTGTCAATTCAAGTGCAAAACACCACCACCAACTAATGAATTGACCGTGTTCAATTCAAAAAAATAAAGCTCATCATTTAAATTACACTCCCCTAACACATCCATCATCAGTTCCACTCTAAAATAGATCAGCGTTATAACCCTATAGAAGTCTACCACTTTATTTTTCCACCTCTATAACTCTTGATTTCGCGTCATTTATAGATGTCAAGAAGACCAATAAATTCGCTCTTCATGGCGTCACGACCACGTCCAACGTCTCCAATATCGTCGTCCATGGACGCGTATCACGTCTCTCCCGTGTCATTTCCACAGCCTTCAAGTCCATTGCAATGTTCCAGTGTGAATTCTACGGATTCCCAGCAATGCAGTGCGGATCCAGACGCTTTTTTAGGTTTTCAGGTCTCTCGTGGTGTTTCAGACATGAAGATGCGACGTGGACAGGATGTACAGCACGAGAACGAGACGTTGAAGCTTGTATTGGATCTACAAGTAACGACAAGAGACGTGAGGAGAGACAGGGACGAGAAACGGGTGATTCAGGACGTTGGAGTGAGTGGTGATCCATTCCGTAATTTATTTCATGAAGAGACACAAGACGAAGAGAATGTAGTGCCTATTGTAAGCTCATTGACTGGAAAGAAGAAGATGAAGATGATGAAGAAGAAGAAGATACAAGGGACTGATTCATGTGTGAAGAAGACGAGATTGAAACAAGGGTGTGAGAAGAAAAGAGCTCAAAGGATTTGTCCCGTAATGTTGAACAGTGCATGGAAGCATTCTTACAAGAAGAAAGTTGTGGATTCTTGTGACAATCGACAGCTACAAGAGGCTGGAAAGAAGAAGGAAGAAGAAGAGTGTGGCGATGGGGAATTGATGCCGGCTTTTTCAGAGTATAGCGAGGATTTGGCACCACAGATTTTTGAGACTGCGTGCATGTCATTGTCCAATGATGATGACACAGATGGTTGTGAAAAGGAACAGGGTCAGAATAGTCTCGTGTTAGAACATAGAGAGAAGTTTGATACAAGTGGCTTTGATGAAGAGAGCAAGAGTGAGGAGGAGTATAGAAATGATATGGATTGCACCCAGCAACTGATAGAGGAAGACGGTTATACGGACGAGACTCGCAATTATGAAGAACGTGACGATGAGGAAACGGAAGTGTATCCATCTTCTGAAAATGAGACTTTACCTTATGCGGCCGACTCTGTTTTACAATGCAACAACTCAAATCATAACCAGATAAGCAGTGAGCAAGAGAAAGTTGTAAGCGTTGATTACAGTGCAGATCGCTTGGATGTTGTACCCACAGCACGTCGAACGAGTGACCAGCCGAATGGTGAGGACGAAGTGATGAGTCGAGAAGGATCGCAAGCTACACAGGAAGAATATTTGACGCCGAGAGTCAATCCGAGTCGGATCGGACAGTCGGATCCAGCTGAAATGAATGTCGAGTCCGTCTCCAGCCTTAGTGTAAACGGTGATGTGGAGCAAATTTCGAAGACGCTTCAACATGATGACGATCAAGACGAGTGTATACCTACTCAGCCTAGTAAGGTCGGGACAGAGGATGAGCCTTTGGTAGAGTCAGACTCTTCTTCTCAACGACATGTAAAGAAGAGCGACGAATGGTTGACGAGGAAGCATACTACTGGGGCCGATAATCAGACGAAAGCTATGCGAAGCCTTGAGCTTTCTTTATTCGTACCTGAGTCACAGGAAGGCGAGCCTCATCTTAGTGCAAGTATTCCAGCTAACAGTACACCTGCAGCAAAAAGGGTTGAAGCCTCGACTGGAAGCAACGAATCCAGCTTTTTTTCATCGTCTACTAGCCCGGTGTGTCTGCCTACTTCGACGCCAACACAGCTATCAGTCGATGATCCCACCACCCCTAAAGCCGCCGTTGACAATCAATCGAGCCCCAAAAGGAAAACTGTGTCCTCGCTGCAGTCTGATTTGCCCTCCGACAAAAAGAAACCGAAGACCATTTCACAAGTTATTGACTCTCCATGCCAAACCACCTCCACCCCGATAGCCCCGAGACGCAGTAGCGCCCCAGCTAACAGCAATGCATCGTCGCAGAAAGCTAACGGAAGCGATGCCTCGACCCCACGGCACCATGTGCGACGTAGCAGTCGATCTACTCAATCGACGCCCTCATCGACGCCAACAGTCCGAACACGAATACGGTCGTTAACAGCAGTGCCAGTACAGCGTACATACGCTTCAAGATCTCGGACCCTTTTCAAGTACAAATTTGAGTTTTGCTTGACGGGCTTCGTAAAAACTGGTGAACAACATTTAAAAGAGCTGATTGAAGGACATGGAGGTAAAATTCCCGAACGCTACCAGGACGTGCTGAACAAACGAAATTCAAAGGCGATAGTGATCGCGACAGCTGTATCGTGGCGTAAGCGCAAGTTTATGCAAGCTGTTGCGTGTGGGATCCCTGTTGTTCATACTGATTGGATCAAGAATTGCATTGAAGTAGGGCATGTGATACCTTTTGACGGGTACCAAGTTCCAATAGGCTACTCTGTAACTACTCGTAAGTTCGAGTGTTGTCCTCCGAAAGAGGTAAGAAATGCTTGTGCTTTGCATGAAAAAATGTTAGCTCTAACTTTTGCTGCTCGTATGTATTTGACCAGCTACAAATTTTTGAAGACTACTCGTTTGGTATCGCTAGCGATGTATCTCAAGTGTCTAAAGCTGAGGCGAAGGACAAGGCAAATTTGATGACATTTATTTTGAAAGCTTGTGGTGCAAAAGCTGTGTACGAGGTGAGGTGGAAGATTGCATGATTTGTTTACCACCTGTCCGCTCACCACCCCACTTCATTGTTTCAGAATTTGTTGCCTGAGGATAGCGTCAATGTTGATGTGGTCCTCTGTGATGAGTATACACCGGTACGTGATACTGATAGTGTAGTTTAGTAGTAATCTTGGCTGCTAACATGTGATACTCTCATGTTGCATAACTACTTCAGACGTGTAGATACTATAGGAAAATGCGACACATCCCCGTTAAAGACTTTCAATGGGTAACAGAGTGTGTGGTCCTTCAAGTATGTACTTGCATTTGAAACAAGCTGTAAGTTGATCATCTGCTAACGCCGCTTTTGTTTTCCAGCAACTTTTGGACCCAAAAGAACCAGCCTTTGGACCACTGCGTGTCGGTAGCGAAGATCAATTCGCCGCAAGCGCTGAAATTGGTGACAGCGACAAGTAAGTGCTCAGCTCATTGCTAGATTCTCGTGATGTTTGTTCAGTTTGTTATTTTCAATTTTGTTGTAGCACCACACTAAAGCTGTACAAAGGGGAGCTCGTGATAGCGGATATTGCCGGAAGCGCAGCCGATCACTATCTCCTGTTTAATGTCTGCGAGATTCTTAGTATACACTTGAGTGGCCACAAAGACGAAGCTTCGCAGACAAAACGAAAAGATTGCAAAGAAAACCAAGTCATGCTTCGTGTGGGCATGCTAAAACGGTGCGTACTATCATGGTCGGTGGGAGTGCATTCCATAGTATTGACGCTATGTTTCATTTACATATTGATCGAGCAGTGAGCCTTACAACCCAGAGCTATCGAAAACTTTCGTGAAAGTGCTCGATATATCATCATACCAAGTGAAGAGAAGGGTGGTGGCCATTTCGAAGAAGCATTACAGCCAGCTCAAGTATAGAGATGAAAGCATCTTTTACTTAAAGGATGATGAACCTAATATGTCCACTGCGTCAGAACATGAGCGGCTAACGCAATGAATATTTTGCTGATGTGTCGTCAATACTTACCAAAAAGTTCTTGACCAGTAAATAAAACTTGTACCATACGCTTCCTCATGCCTGTCGCTCTTCACTGTCCAGCGTGTTTTGTACATTATCGAACAGGTACTTCAGTAATATGCTCAGTGTCCAGCTCCATGAACATATCTCCCGTGTCGTTGCAAATCTGTTTGTAAACGAGCGTCAAATGGTTTAACCACCCATCACCAAGGTCCATATATCTGCAGCAGTACCTAAACAGGGCCAGGGAATGGCGCAGCCGTTTGGGTGACTGCCCGTCCGCAATTAAGAAAGGGCCACTCATCAAGCCCACGTGTTGTGAACAAACTGACGATTTTGTTCAGTTCATCACGCAACTTCTCACACCTGGTCGCAAACGTAAGTTCCACCAGAGCAGCTCCACCAAGTCTTTGCTACGACGTCTACAAGTATGAAAAACCTGCCGGGAAAACAACGTTGATACTGCATCGAGCGCATTGTACAGACATGCGCGTTTGTAAGATATATAAGCGCTTATGATGTTGCAATCTACTAGCAACGTTACGGAGGAATTGCGCCTACAATGACCATTTTTAATACGATCTCGTCACATTATGGAGCACTGCTCCTGGCCGGGTGCACCACCAACTACACACAAACGATGCATGACAATCAGATCAAGGTGCACAATCGCCCTATCAACCGGCATATATTGAACTTACACGGCATTCCTGGCATACCGGGAAGCATATCAGGGCCCTGCAGAGTAGACATACGAAACCCCAGTAAGACTTGGACCTGAGTAAACATGCAACATGGCTGAAGACAAACCATGTTGGGCATGATCGGCATTCCTTTGTCGTCAAACTGCAAACCTGCGGAAATCAATCAATGTACTGGTTAGCGATCGCACCTCTGGAGACTGCCATTAAACTGTTCACCTGGTGCAAGGTCCTTCACAATTTCCGATGGAGGCTGACCATTCTCCTGCATCTCTTGCATAAGCTGTGACAGCCGAGCGTAATCATTCGGTTCGGATTCATACATGGCAATGATCTGCTGGAAGTATTGATACTGCTTGGTATATCTGTATATAAAAATATGGCCACAAACATTACCAGTGGCGGTCGACAGAGCAATGCAAGTTCATCACTACCGATCTAACCTTTCATAATCTTCTTTTGACAGCAAAGACTTTTTTTCAGCTAACCACTCGGGATACTATGAAAACAGCAATCGACAAAGTAAGTCTCTCAATGCAGCAACAAATTAACAGCCCACTTTGGTTTGGCACACCCGCTCACAGATCTGCTTCATCGGGTCATACATGATGTCCTTAGACAGTAACTGCTGCATCATCCCATCCACCAAGTCTTGGAAATCGCTCTGTCAATTTAGCATCACCATCATCATGATTCATTCCATACATAAGAATCATCACATCATGACTCTCATACCCCATTGCACGAGTCATGATCCGCACCTGTTCGCCCATTTCTTCAAATTTCTTCATCATTTCAGACATCATTTCTTCTCCCATTGCTTCCACTTGTTCCGTACCCACTTCATCAATACCTTGTGCTGCTTTGGCCATATTCTGCAGTGTCTTGGCTACACCAGCATTCACATCGTCTGTCTCATCACATGTCGTGTCCATCTTTTTCAACGAGCCCAGGAGTTGCTCCACGTTCTTTGTATCAACTGAATATATCGATAGATAGAGATAAATTCCCCGTTCCTGTGAGTCCTCCTCTGATATTTTTCCTACAGTCCAACCAAGAACTCAATCAATTGCACTTGATTTCACTATACCATCTGTCCCTAGCTCTCGAAAAGCTTGTTCCAGCACTTGTTGAAATTCTGGCGTCTCTGCATCCTCAAAGAATTTTGCCATGTTCTATCAGATGAAAGAACAGTCTTAGACAATGTCGACAATCTTGTAATGTTGAAGGTGATATTACGATCATTAATAGACCCATTGAACCTGTTGTAGCTCCTTCTCATTGTTTTCCATTATTGTGGCTGTCTCGTGTTTGAGAGGAGGCATTCGTTCAGACGTTTGGATGGTCGTCTTCACTTCATCGGCAAAGTCATCGAGTGCATCTAGTATAATGTAAGAGAGATGGATGTTATAGGTTCGATGTATAGGTTATATATGTAGGAGAAATGAGTGCAATACCAACTAGAAGATCATCTAAATCCACTTCATTGGAAGGCATTACGTTCGTGTTTGTCTTTGATAGTTGATATTATATGATGAATGAAAGAATTTGAATGAGTAGTAGGATGCAGTGAAAAATGCATTGATTTAAATGATGAGGTGAGAAATAATTCCAAGTGTTGATACAATGGACAGACTCGGGTTATTTTATCAATGAATTGAGCTGATGAGATGCGTGTCGTGATTGAATTGTACCATGAATTGGTCGAAATTTTGACAGATATACTGACAAAAACGGTGTTACTATAGAAACAAAAGGGTGCAATATAACTGCATCGACGCAATCACGAGAAATTCTATGGTAAGATCCATGTATCGAATACGACACAACTTCAATGAGACAGTCAGGAGGAAAAGACCGTTGGTAACACAATTTACGACGTAAATAGAACACGAACCAAATGACCACAAAACAAATAAAAGACGACGTACTGCCATGTTTGACAAGATGGGTGCATTCAAAAAATGTCGCTTCAAGATATTACAACGTTACAACACATCTGACTGTGTTTCGTACTTAATCCAAACAATATGATTTTCATGACGAATTCATCTTTAACTAACTGAGTGACTGAGTGAGTAAGTGAGTGAGTGAGTGAGTCACATATCTGTCCGTACATTGTAATCATCCGATCGTCCGTCATTTATTTGATATTCCAAGCTATACATCTCATTACTTGAATACCTTTGCAACAAAATGATTACTGCATCTGTAGGTGCAGACTCGAGTTTATTACTTGAACCTGCATTTGAATTGTTCTTTCCACTCTCGGAATTACAGTCAGGTCATCGACCACGTTGTCTTCTCACATTAACGAATTTATCAGTACTAAATGATGTGGTCTTTCGTATACGAACACGTAATCCAGATGCATTCACAGTGCGTCCAACCCATGGACTCTTAGCACCTGAAACAAGTATTCAAGTCGTGTTAAAAGCGACGGAAAAATCATGTAAACGTCTGAGTGCCATGGATCCACGGGATTTAATGACACGTCAATCCTCTGAACTTTTCCTTGTGCAGAGTGTAGAACGAGAGGAAAAAGTACAAGCAATGGAACCTCTTGATCCGAACTCAAGCACGTCAATACGTGCATTCTGGAAAAAATTGTCCATGGATTGTGTCACGGAGAACAAGTTAGTCTGTTGCTTTGTTCCTGTGCCATCACGTGATTCAGACGTCTCGTCGAACAGCAAATTGTTATCCCGTACGATGAGTAGCACAAGTTTGAGCTCACAAGAGTCTCAAAAAAGCCGAAGTGATAACAGAAATCGCACTAGGAGTGCAACGGAGCAGCGAGTGAGTCGCAGTGGTAGTGACAGTAAACGGAGCACAGGCGATCGGTCCGTGAGCAACCAGTTCATACCGTCTGACGAGCCGAAGGAGCAAAGTCGACAGCATTTGTTTGGTGTTGATACCAATTTTCACACTGCAACTGAGCCTCCAATGTGGACGAATGGAAGATCGGGGACAAGTACGACGACTTTGTCGAATCACGTGCTTCCAAGAACACCGAAGACAAGACTATGTGATGCTAGCATTAGCGGGAACGACAGCTCAGTCAGCGATACAATGCTGTCTGCTCAGACTTCATTTTCTGCTGAAACGGATACGAAATCGCCAACCCATGAACTTGGTCCGCTGCTCTACCACATTCAGCCGCAGGATACACTCTCTTTCGATGTGATGCCTGGACCACGCTTTTGGGGAAGCACCTCGTGTTATATTGTAAACTCAAGTTTGAACGACTGTCTTACTTTCAAGGTGCGTACGTCCAATCAGTCTGGATATGTGGTGAAGCCAAGTCGAGGACTTGTATCACCTACGAATGCGCAGGAAGTGGTTATCTCGCTTTGTGCACCTCGTCACGAAACAAGTTTTGATCCCATGCAGCGTAAGGCAAGAGATGGCTTTATGGTTGAAATTGCGAACATCTCACGGGACAAGTACGATGATTTGATGAAGCTTGATGAACGAAAGCGCTTTTACGAGATAAGCTGTCTGTGGTCCAAGTTGCCACAAAGCGATCGTCAGTCGAGGACGCTTTCAGTCAATTTCAACATGGAGAACAGCCATAGCGGTAGTAATATTCTTGAGAGCTCTGAGAGTGGTAACTGTAATTGTCGAAGCAAGTTCAGCGAATGTAGGGCCGAAAAGACACAACGACAAAAGTTAGAGTCGGTCATTCAGGGTGTCAAAGAGCTGTCTAGCTCCTTATCATTGAAAAACGAGTCTTGTGGACACACAGCAGAGGTCAAGTCTGACTATGCGAATTCGGATCAGTTTGCATTCATTGGCGCATCAACTCCTGTACCCACTGCAGTTGGCGAAAATAAGAGAGAAGGTGACGTGGTGCTTACAGCTACCAATGCTTTACGAGATCCAAAGGTGCTTGTTGTTTCAGCTGACAGAATGGATATGGTTGACTTTTCCAATCCAAACTTGTCATTCTTTATTTAGTTGTAGCACAATGCAGCACGCCAAGTCGTTCGTTGTCTTGATCTCTCTGTATGCAGCACTTCATCATGGCAAATGGGGATCAAGTGTTGATCCTAAGCTTTCAGATATATAAATTGTAACGTTTTGCATGGCAGTTGTTGTAAAACCAAATCTGTTTTGATTGTACTACGTCATTTTAGCAAGTCGTGCGTGATCTAACCTAGTGACAGTCTACTTGGTGGTCACAATGCTAGCCAACTTCTCAAGAACCTTGACAGTCGAGGACGTACCCAGCCTGTTGATGATGCTTGGTGGGATGTGTCCAGCCAGGTCAGCATGTGCGATGAGAGTCACGACGCAGTATACCTTACCGTTGGGCTCCTTGACTTCTTCAATAATGTAGCCCGAAATGTAGTTGTTGGCACGGACATATCCTTCAAGAGGGACAATATCCGCCACATCAACAGAGCGCGTAGCAATGATGATACGTCCATCCTCAAGCGTCGTGGCGTACGTGACCACAAGAAATTCCCGACCAGAGATGGGAAATTGACCCTTGCTAGTGATCTGGCGCAGGGCCAAGTGATGCGACTTCCCAATGTCACGCAATGTCACAATGCCCTCCATCATCTCATCCAGCTCCAAGGTACGATTCGGATCGAGCAAGATTTGCTCAATGACGTGCTTGTCAGCGTTAATACGACGAGCTGCACGGAATGGACACCAGTCACAGTCCTTGACCATTCCACGCCAAATCTTGACACCGTCAGTATCCTCTACAATCTCCCACGTCGTTACTTTATCATCACCTGAATTACGATTCAGTAGAATTTGAATATTTTCTTTGCCATAAGCTTCAAAATCCACATCTTCCGTAGTCGGATAGGTCGATTCCTCTGGTTTCATCAGCTCTTCAGTTGCTGTTTCTCCAGTGCCAAAAAGATAATTCATGATAGTCAGTAGGAGGAAAAGGAAAGAAGAAGAGGAAGGGAAAAGGGTCAAAAGAACGTGGTCCTGCTTTGATGAAGGAAGGTTTTAGAGTGATGATAATGATAAGGAAGGAAGGAAGAAATCTCAATTGTCTATTTCTGCTTCGGTGGAGAGCGCTTTCAGTCAGTACTTTTTGTTTTTCATGTCATGGCCCCCCCTGCCCTGAAATATATATCTGACGGAGACTGTATAAATATATAAAATTGTAAATAGCTAAGAAATCAAGTTGTACAGGATAACTGAATGTGACTCTTTTCATACATGATTCATGTATGTGGTTATGAGCATTCGAACTAGGAGAAACAGGTTCTACAGGTTTATGAATGTAAAAAGGGATTATGCCGTCTGGTACAAAAAAAGTAACAGTCGTTGAATGACAAAACTTCAGATTTTTTCGGTCAACAGTAATGTAACATGAGTGCGATGGCCCAAAATGAGGGAGTTTCGTAGAATTCACTCATTAAACTCCGAGCCGGAATCCATCGCGTTTGTGCGACACTGCTGCTACATTATATCAGCATCGCATATTAGAAAATTTCGATATAATCATTCCAGGAACCCACGTAACCAGCCATTAAGTCTGCAAATGAAGAAGATAGAAGTCCAGCGTCTACGACTTCATACATCCATCCATTTATCCAATCCTATCGCAAGTATGTTCCTATCAATCGTGCAAGTTGATAGAAAGAGCAGAGATGTCGCGTACATTTTCAGACGCAATGAGAAACATTAATTTCATAAATCTCACTCGATTTCATAAATCACATACCCATCTTGATAGGCATTTTGCTTCGATGTAGCATTATTGCTTGCACCGATCGTAACTTTCGGTGCCTCTTTCTGTAAGGTTTTGGATGGCTCGACCAACACCCCATGACAACTCCTTAATGCTTCAGTTGTCGTGTTGCATGAGAACATTGTCATCATTGTGAGGGTCAAACAGCGCTAGTATTGGAACTGGGGCTAGTGCAATAACAGGCTACCTGTTCGTCGCCAACAATGGTCGTCACTGTCTCGCCTTCCTTTCCATCGATCGATAACTTGTCAGGTGGTTCGGTATCAGGCACCTCAGCTAAGGTCTCCTAAGCTTTCTCCGTCGTGTCAAATCCACAAAGCAGCAGTTCAACCTTTTCGTCCAGATGACTGCTGCGACGATCGTGCTTGCGTTATACTCCATTGTTCCGTGTTACTATAATGCCTACAGCAACTTTCACATGGGTCAAACCACAGCTCCAGAGCTGACAATCGACTTCTTGCCATAATGCAAAACGTGTCCGTACCTAACTGTTTCAGCACATCGTCTTCTCTGGGCGCCGATCGATCGTTTTACCGTCACGTCAGGCGCAGCTACCGTCGATGGTGAGCTATGTCTTCGTTGCATCATCTGCACAGATACGGCAAACATACTCGCGTGCGTGTTCTTCTACGCCACGCACGCTCACTTTGTTCTGACGCAAAGCTGAATAGCTTTTTCATGTCAGAGTATGTCAGCAAAATGTTACAACGGCACCATTCAATACCACGACGTCCGAGCTAGGAACGCCACGATCCTTTCAAAGATGCTTCGACTTTATCTGCAGCAGATACAATGAAGAGATACAACTACATTCATAAAAGAGTCAAGAGTCTCTAAGAAAAAACCAAGACACCTTACGTGCGCCAGTGCCTCCAATAGAAATGACGAAGCCGTCAACAAAAAGTACTTACTTACTATAAACGGTATGATTCAGCACTTAACTCCGTCCGGACCCTACGATGTAACAACGCCAAAGTCCACTACAATTGCACCAACTTGATCTAATATACAGCGTATATCTTACTCGCACGTTGTATTTCGCCGGGACGACTGCTCCCACGGTCCAACAGCAACGATCGGCGTCTAGGCAGCGGCAGTACAAGACCAATTACTAGTACTACGAACGCATCCAATCCTGCAGACTCTACCGTCTACACTGCCTCATCTGGTAGTTCTTTGTATGAATTCAAGCCCAGTAGTTGCACAATAGTCTTCGCTGTGTCATCGTGGGCGCAATGGGATATATGCAAAAGACGATTGCTCGTTAACAGATTACGATAAAATGTATTGTATGAAGAACCAAAGCGAATAAAGATGTTTTGAAGAGTCGGTACTACTGCAGATGGTTGTTGTCAGGATTCCACACTAGCACAAGGTGCGTTTTTGGCTCTCCCGCTGCACGAGCTCGTCTCTTTGGCAAGTCACTATACTTATATTTTCTTGTCGATTCAAGTGACCATCTGTCGCATCACTGTGACTATCAGATGAACTGGGTTCTCAGAACTTCCAGTAAGTCATTTGTAGCACATACACACATACACTGTAAGTAGTGGAATAGCTAGTAAACTTTCATGGACATTGCGATGCGCACAAGTGTCAGTAAACTTCAACTTCTGATGATGGTGAGGCTGATGATGTCTCTTCTGATTGGCTATTTGAAATGAAAAGAAGAAGATCCAACAAACCGATCGTTACAGACAGGGCAGTTTGTGTCGCCTGAATGTAGAGAGTATATTTACAACAGTTCAATGTGGTCAGCTTGCGTCAAAGTGTTGTTGTTTTTAGTAACGGCTTCTAAACCTACTCGAAGTTTTGTATTCCCGTCTAATTGTGTCGACCTAGGCAGAAAATACACGATTTTCTTCTATACGAATATATCGATGAAAATTTTATACTCTTGACGTGCCTATTCCCTGCGAGAACACAATCCCCAAGTGACAATCATTTTAAATGGATACAGCTGGGATCATAGGGAACGACCAGACGTACAGAAATGGATTCACCAGTTTGAGCATAAACCAATTAACTCAAAAGTAGTATAATCTGTTCAGTGCCTTTGGTGTATCGCTAAGCACTGTTGTGACCATCAAGTGGGACTTTGTTTTCTGTAGCTTTTACAATGAGGGCGTCTATATCGCTCCCTATTTCATCACCCCCGAAGCTTCGACGTCGCAAATCTACAGAAGAAGAACGCATGAGTCGTGCCTCTTCATTTACGAAGCGACGCACTGAGAAGCAGCCACAGCGTCTTACACCCATCCAGACGATGGAGCAGACACTGTTGGATAATGTCCACGTGGAATTTATTAAAGCAGTCGTGCCTGATAAATACAAACTTGCCAGTCCCCGGTACATCATGCGTATTAGCAGCACGGTGCTGGACCAAACATGGGAAATGGCAAGGACGTTCAAGGAGTTTTGCGAGCTCAAAGATGCAATTGTTTCCGTGCTAAGTTATGGCCACTTTTGTCCATCAAACTGCCCGTGGCTCTACATGTACGCGTCAGATCATTTCCCACGTCGTCGTATCTTTCGATCCCGAAGTCCATCTGTCATTGCAAGCCGTCTATCTGAGCTACAGACGTACGTTTCGACGTTGCTACGTATGGCTAAGCAGAACCGCAATCTTGACTGTACTGTGACGTCGACTAAGCTCCCGCGACTCATCTACAGTTTTCTTTTCGAGGGTATGGTCTTTGATCGTTCTGATTTTATGCGATTCAGCGACCGCGTTTCGTTTGGCGGTCGAGATAGCAGTTTCCTGGACAATGACCCGACACACGATGAAGAGGCGTGTATTATTTGTGATAGAGCCCTCATTGGTGATGCTACAGTGTCAATTGTACCAGAAGCTCTAAGCTGTCATCAAGGACTGACGAGCATTGACAAGAAGGTCAAACGACATGTGATGGCAGGTCTGACAACGCTCAATTGCGGTCATTGCTTCCACGACGAATGCATTCTCGCCAAACTCAACGAGTCGCTGACTTGTCCACTTTGTATATCACTTTCCAAGGCGCTCTGTGTCTCACCTTCTCAATCCACACTTGGTGCTATTTAGTTTCTAGCAACATTTGTGCAGTATAGACTACTTCATGTAGCTTCTAGGAAGAAGACCCATATATTACATGTATAGAGATGAATAAAATGGTCATTTTTGCAATGAAAATTGTATGTACTGTACATAATTGAATGCCCAACCGAATGATGTGGTCCACATGAACTCACTGAAAAGTATTCCGCAATGAAGCGTGTCGTCGGTACGCGCAATCAAGAGGTAAGTAAGCTCTTTTCTGCCTCCTTTTCTATCGTCTTGCCTGGTGTTTATGATGGTATAAATACCGTCTGCATGTACCTTACTGTTTCATCTAATATCTTTGTTGCTTTATTTTGATTCACTCTTTCTTCACAGGTAACAGATGCACAAGGACGTCGACGCTTCCATGGTGCCTTTACTGGTGGTTTCTCTGCTGGATATTACAATTCTGTAGGCAGTGAAGAAGGATGGAAACCTCAGACATTTTTATCTTCTCGTAACAATCGATCGTCGAGAGTTGAGCAGCGTCCTGAGGATTTTATGGACGAGGAAGACGATCCACTACTGGGCAAACGACTGGAGACCTCTGAGCAGTATGATACACTGAAAACGGGGTATAAACGACGACTGCAACAGCAGCAGCAGCATCAACCAAACCATTCTGGAGCTACTTCTATTCCAGGGTTTACACTGCCTGATGACTGGGTCTTGCCGGTCAATGACTCTATTGGAGTCAAACTGTTGAAACAAATGGGCTGGAAAGAAGGACACGGCATTGGACAACGTGTACGAAGACACAAGATAAATGAAGAAGAGAAGGATGGGTCTATGCACGATGCTGAGGAAGATAAAGCGCAATTACAGCTACAAGATGATGCTGGAGAGGAGGTGTATGTACCCCCTCGAAAGGTATTTGACGTGCAGAAAGTCTTTCCAAAGCCCAAGTTAGATTGGTATGGAGCTGGTTTTGATCCGTATGCGGACGCGCCTGAGTTTTCAGTGTACAAACAGCAACAGGAAAAGGAGAAAGAAGGGTCTTATTGCAAAGGAGTGTCGTTTCTGGACGCATTGAATTCTTCGAACGGCAGCAATTGTGTGACAAATGGCTATGGTCTAAGTGCACTGGAAGAAAATGATGATGTGGATGTGTATGGTACCGTTTCAATGGCTGAATTTGATCGAGCAATTGCTCCATTGGGATCGAAGCATAATATTCAGCGAATTGGTTCGTCAGTACAATCGTCTCATGGGCAGGAGAAGACAAGTCGTAGCAGAGCATTGTGCTCCGATGGACGTTCTGCGCTTCCTGGCTTTGAGCTGGCGGTGTCTAAAGAGAAAGCACCAAAGGTCGTTAACATGCGGCTTGCTGTCCCTCCAAGTTATACTGCATGTCACCGCTTCGATGAGGATGAAGGTCACGGTGATGCTGTGACAGCCTTGTATCGCAAGTTTAACTTCTTGACAGACAAGAGTAGCAACGGGACGTTAGTAACGGTGGCGCAGAGAGGTGCTGTACTCAAAGACAAAAGCACCGATAAAGTTAGGTTAGGTGCTGGTGAAGTTGCGAGATCAGCTGGAAGTGTATTCGACTTGCTTGGCGAAGATCAGAGAGCAAAACTTTTTGATGCTGCAAAGCAAGCAAAACAGGGGCTACTTCCATCGCGCATAATACCAACTGGTATAGCTGAAGAGCCAGCTATACCGAAAGACCGGCAGCCCTTAGTATGTGGGAATGACGGCGACCAGTTTCGAGCTACAATCTCTGCCTCCATCGCAAAGAGATTTGTGTCGTCAAAATCACCGCTGGACAATGGTAAAAGCAATATTGCTGCAAATGATGTCCCGCATGCAAATGTGTCACGCCGTTCTCAAGGCATGTGGATTCCCAAATCATTATTATGCAAGCGCTTTCACGTGAAGTGTTTGGGGCCAACTGTATCCAACGGAAAAGATGACGAAAACGACAAGAAGCTTGACTTGTTCGATAAGGAACTAGTTCCACATTTGATGGAATACGCTGCTGACCGAGCTGCCCAGAAACGGTCAGGCGTTAATCTTAGTGAGACCACCAAGTACAGCGAAGGTGATAAGGCCGAAGGTGACGAAACTGTAGCTCTGCCAGCATTGCCTGCAGTTGTGAAGAGCTCTGCCAGTCTACTTCAATCTATTTTTGAGCCTTCGGACGAATCGGATTTGAGTCGAGACAGCAGCGAAGACGGAAGTGACGATGACGTTAGCGACATAGAGAGTAAAGAAATGCCAAGCTTGAGCAAACAGGAGTTTTCAAGTGGTGGAGATGCTGGAGAGTTCATGCATTACGCTGCTGTGGGAGATCAAGAAGAGTCGATTTTATCAGACGATGACGCGAGCGTTCTTATTTCCGATGCTCCTTCTGGACGTGTCAATGAACAAGTAGACCGACTAAAGAAGCGGTCTCATAGTGTTGGTGTTGGTCGAGATGCGAAAAGGGAAGAAAAGAAAGAAAAGCGAAAACACAAAAAGCATAAGAAACACCACAAACACCGCTCGTCGCGCGATAGCAAGGAGAAGCAAAAGGTTGCACGAGATCGCAAGTCGAACAAACACCGCTCGTCAAGGCACTCCAAGCGAAGTCGTAGTGCAATACGAAGTCCTAGTCACCGTCGCAGCTCCGTCAGACGGAACGAATAATGCAGACAAAGAAGAAGAGCGTGAGTTTGTGATTCAAACACGCATTTCTAGCATTTATCTACAACAACTTGAGCAATACTGCATATAAACTCGTTCAAACAATTGAAGTCAAATGTATGGAAGTCAATACACAATTGACGCATCTTCTATCAAGTCAAGCAACATCATTGCCTAGCACTTCAAGCTCAAATGTTTCCAGTGAGCACCATCTAGCCAAAGTATAGCTCACACCAGTTGAAGCAGCCGCCATTAAATTAGTCGAAAGTTACCTTGGAACCTTGGAAGTTCTGGATAGACGACGGCTGGCGCTTGGGAGGACCGTCACCACGACCTCCACGTCCGCCACGACCACCAAAACCACGACCACCAAAACCACGGCCACCGCCACGGCCTCCTCCACGACCACCAAAGCCACGGCCACCGCCACGACCACCATCAAATCCACCACGACCACCACGGCCACCACCACGGCCACCGCCACGTCCACCGCCACGTCCACCAAATCCACCGCCACTCTGTGGGTCACGAGACTTGGCGTAGTTCACGCGGATGCTACGTCCGTTCACATAAGCACCAGCAAGCTTCACAGCCTCGTCAACAGCCTCAGTTGTTGCAAAGTCAACGTGTCCAAAGCCACGGAATTCGCCAGTCTCACGATCCACAGCCAGGCGGCAGTTTAAGATCTCGCCGCACTCGCCAAAAGTCTCGCGAACAGTATTTTCGTCCATATCCCAGCTAAGATTACCAATGAAAATGCTTGTGCATCCCTCTGGCTTCTCGTCAAACACGTTCTTCTTCTCAGCCGTGCGAATTTTCATCCAGCGGCCACCAAAGTCTTGGCCGTCCATGGCAAGAGCAGCCTCAGCACCCTCAGGGGTTGAGAACGTCAAGAAAGCCGTACCAGATGAGCGGCCATTTTGCAAAGGAATGCGAGCAGCAGTCACCTCACCGCAACCGGCAAAATGGTCTTTTATCTCCTCCTCTGTGGTGGACCACGGCAGACCGGCAATAAAGATCTCGAGAGTCTTCTGCGGGTTAACAACAGCAGCAGCGTCTCCGTTCTCTTCCTTGTGCACCTTGTTGGACGTCTCGCCAGCGTCCGAACTCTTCCGCTTCTTCGACACAATAGTGGTCTCTTCCTCGTTCGAAGATGATTCCGAGTCAGATGAAGCAGATGAGGAAGACGCCACCTTTGTAGCAGCAGGCTCCTCCGCCTCCTCCTCATCCGAAGAGTCTGAGTCTGAACTGGACGAGGCTGCCTCCTTCTTTGCAACAACCTTCATCACTGGCACCGCCACTTTCTTAGCAGTCTCCTCCTCATCTGAAGACGAGTCCGAAGATGAGTCAGAGCTCTCCTTCTTGGCAACAACCTTCTTGGCAGGGACAACCTTTTTTGTAGGGGTCTCTTCCTCATCGGAAGACGAGTCAGAGCTCGAGTCAGAGCTCTCTTTCTTTGCAACAACCTTCTTGGCAGGGACAACCTTTTTTTGTAGGGGTCTCTTCCTCATCGGAAGACGAGTCAGAGCTCGAGTCCGAGCTCTCTTTCTTAGCAACTACTTTCTTAGCAGGGACAACCTTGTTCGTAGGGGGCTTCCTCCTCATCTGAAGAAGAGTCCGAGCTCGAGTCCGAGCTCTCTTTCTTAGCAACTACTTTCTTAGCAGGGATAGCCTTGTTCGTAGGGGGCTTCCTCCTCATCTGAAGAAGAGTCCGAGCTCGAGTCCGAGCTCTCTTTCTTTGCAACAACCTTTTTCGCAACAACTATCTTGGACGGTGTAACCTTCTTCTTAGGAGCCTCCTCTTCGTCACTCGATGAGTCAGACCTCTCTTTCTTCTTAGCAGCCGGTTTCTTAGCCACCACCGAGTTCACAGGCTTGTTCAAAGCCGTTTTGCTGTTTTTCTTGGTAGCTACCACCTTCTTTTGCGGCGCTTCATCGCTGCTTGAGTCCGATGATGATGAGCTGCTGCTGGATGCAGGCTTTACGACAACGGGAGCTTTCGTCTTCCTGGCCATTGTGTGTTGATAGGTAAGAAGCAGACAAGAATGATGCTGCTGGGACGTCGAGTGATTGCTAAATGACCAACGAAACGCTGCAGAGCAACACCGTTGGCTGCCAGACGCTTGAGTACTGTCAAGTGGCAACAACTGGTTTGGTTGGCTTAGCTTTGACGATGATAGTACAGAGCTGTCTTCAATAGTAGACTAAACGTTTTGCATCAGTTTACACAGGTAGCTAGTTTTAAGCAGCTACACTGACTGTATAGTAGCATCACTACAATGCTATGCTGCAGGTTATTAGATATTGTAGATAATTGTAGTGAGTAGATGTCACGGTCCAAAAAAAATAGAGGGCCATGTTGTACGACGGTACAAAGCATATAAATGGAACAAAAAGCAACTGTTTCGTCCGCCAGTCTTTTGATTGAAAATATATCGACAAAATTTGTTGCAATAGGACTCCAAACAAAGTGTGCTTCGGAATGTGGGAATGTGTGGTGCACATTAACCCAAGGTTATTCGCAAGGGGGCGAGGTTTTATGTATCACTTGTGGATCGTATCAGTCTAAAAATAATCACACACAAGTCAGTCATGGCGGTACATAGCGGTGATGAGAACTCACCTACGGACGCAGTAGCGACGCACGTGGGAGTAGAAGACATTGGAAAGATTGAAGAATTGACAGTAATTGGAGAAAAACGTCGTGATCGTGATGAAGATGTTGTATCGCTTGTACCGACCGTTCCAAGTGCTGAAGTTGATGATGAAGCCGCTTCACAGGACTCACAGGTGACGCAGGATGACGAGATTCACGATGTTGTGGCTAGAATAAAAGAGACAGCAGATGTTGATATGACTTTTGATGCTGCAGCTGCTGCTGCTGCTGTTGTACCACTCCCAGAGGCCATGAAGGCTGATTTATCTACACCAGTACAGGATGCAGTAGCCGCTGCGGCTGCCGCTGGCATTGGTGTCGATCCTGACGGTGCTACTAATGTCAAATTTGACAGTAAACGCATGGCACGCGTGTCGTTCAACTCATGGTTTGACTTCGACTCGTACTTTGAATTGTACATGCAGGAAACGTTCCAGCCCTTCCGCATGCGCTCGTCCTGTAGTGTCGAGGCTTATCGTCGTAATCAACAAAAGGTGATGCTGAACAACAAAAGCTCACGTGGACGTCGAGCTGAATTTCCGGATGAAGCTATTCACCATCACCGGATATATATGTGCACGCACGCAATGAAGGCGCGGTGCCGTGGTGCGAACACCCGTCCTGGGCAAAAGTATCGTGGTATTGGCTGTATGGCTAAGATTAATGTCAAGATCACTCCAGCGGACAATCCGTCCAAGTATATGGTGATTGTCACTGATCAGGTAAGTGCTTTGTAGTATTTGAGTGTGTGGGTGGGTGTATATCGAGTTGAATTGGTTAGTGACTGGGTTTGTGTGCATTTTGGCTGTTTGTTCATGTACTGTTTTGTTGTAGGTGGTATCACACAACCATCCAGTCAGTCGTGAGATTTATGAGGCGTACCCAGATGTGCTACTCAAGATGATGCGGCGCAGTCAATTGTCTCAATCGATGCTAGGTCATCCACCTCCGCCTAAATTTGAGACACCTCAGCAAACGCAAAAGTATGAGCGAGCGATGAATACGTTCCAATCTGTTGCGGAGACCATGGCTCGATTAAGTGACGAGGACTATGAAGCGCAGCTTGGTCAATTACAGCGGCTCTATACTCCTACGACGGAGCAAGATCAAACGGTCTGAGTAAAAAGTCAAGCAAAATGCTGTACGATAATGGACGAGTGACTAACTGACTGACTGACTATATACGGAGACAAAAAAAAGCTGTCATTTTGTGCAGTATATGATGCTTCATCATGTCTCAGTGTTTTCTTTGCTCCTTTATTCATACACGCTGCATTTTTACTATTAAAGTTTGTGTTTTAGACCATATTTTAGTTGTTGTGGTTGTGCTTTTTTTTTTAGTACGAGACAAAAAGACGAGTCTCCTTTTTTTACAATTGATCAAAAAATACATATACACAAAAGAGGGGGGGGCGAGTATAATTGAGACACAAAAGAATCACAAAATTAAATTTGAGCGAGAGTGAGAGAGAGCGAGGAAAAAGAGGCTGGATCAAAAATGGCAGCGGGTAATGGGATTGACGTGGCTCTTGCACCGAATTCAAGCGTCATTCTCGAGCCAGCAGATTCGTTATCATTTCAATTACAACCACAGACAACACCTCAGGCCGTGTTAATCATTCGTAATGTAGCCGATGATCGACAAGTGGCATTTAAGGTGAAAACAACCCGACCATTACGATATCTAGTACGACCTAATCAAGGACTCTTAGGTCCAAATGGATCGGCTTCTATTATGGTGATCTTACAACAAAAGGATTGTGATGAATTACTACGTTTAGATCCAGTGGAACGTCAATTAGCAAATGATAAATTCCTGGTCCAGAGTATTTACGTCCAAGATCGTTTCTATGAACTTGTCAAGACAAAATCGACCAAGGAAATGGCCGATGAATTGACAAATATGTGGGCAAGAACGGATAAACGAGCGTTATCGAATAAGAAATTACGATGTCGATTTGTACAGGAGAATGAAGAGATGATGCAACGTCCCGTGTCACCATCGTGGAGTCCTCAAGGAAATACAATGATGGGTGATATATCACCTGGAAAGATATCGAATGGATCGGATGGTCGATATCATACTCGACTCAGTGACGAAACGAAAGAGGAGATGGCAACAACTGCACAATTGTCATTGGCATTATTGCAAGATGATCATGGACGTGAATCAAAAGTATTGGAAAATAGCAGAGAAGGAGGCAAAGAAGTGTTGCAGGAAGTGACATTACGTAAGAAATACGATGAGGTATGTGGAAGATATGACATGAGGTTCTTTTGTTTGTTTGTTGGTGCTGCTACTTACTGCTGGTGGTGGTGGAAGAGTGCGTGAGTTGTAGCTGATTGTTTTGTTATTGGACTACTTTAATATGTAGTTGGTGGCATTTACCGTACAACTTACGGCGCAACGTGATGTGCTGATAAGTGAATTGGACAAGACGCGGCAATTACTGCAAAAGGCGAGCACGGATGCTCAGCGTGTAATGAAACTTTCCGAGCAATCGTCGACTTTGCGTCATCGAAAGAACGGTGGGGTGAATGATGTGGCTGACAATGATGACTCGCATGTGATCATGGAAAAAAGTTTAAAGGAGCAAGGGGTACGTACAATTATTGCTGAAACCGGCCCGATACGATTTTCTCAAGTGACAACTTGCTGTTGCTTTATGCTGCGTCCACGTCAGGCTTTCGGACCTTTGCATCTCGTAGTATGCGCGATCATTTTCTTTTTAGTTGGGCGCTACTACTAGGGCTACTGCTGGTGTATTTTTGATCGCTGGAGGACGGGACAGAAGTGCTGCAACTTGGATACACATGTGAGGTGACAAAGAAGTACTAGAGTTTCTGTCGTCCATGACGAGTCGTGCTTGCACGAGAGTGTGAGTAAACGACATTACAGTTGAAAGAAGCTTACTTTGCTGGTAGAAGCCATAATAGTGGAAAATGAATCAATGGTGACAGCCTAGTGTTATGTCTAAAGCAGGGTACGGATTCCAGTGACACATTAGCCCGAAAACTTGATGATACATTCAAACATAGACTGCAAGATATTCAACAACACCCTCAAACAAATTGACCCTCTTGTATAGCGATACTACGCGAGATGACGTTGACTAGTTAAGAATCGCCGTGACACTCATCTTGCGCTTGCCTTCCATATCTAGCGGCGCACATGCTTTACGCTTCGCGCGTCGTGTGCGATAGCTTTCTGCGGCGTTGTCACCACCGTTGCCGCTGATTCCGGACGCACGCAACTGTGCGCTATCTTTCATAGTAAGCATAGTAACTGCTGCGGCATCACTGTCGGACTCGGATACTTGTAATTGTAAAGGAGGTCCGACACGATTGCCTTCTTGGGAACGGCCGCCAAAGCGTACTGGGGACACTTCAGTGTCATCGTCAGGAAAACCTGAGTAGCCCGAACTATCCTCATAGTCTCCATCGCCGCCATATGCGCTTTCAATCTTTTTCAGCTCCCTCACATCATCTCGAAGTGCATTCACCCGCACTAATGTGACCGAGCTTTCAGATCTTGGAGAAGAGTTATCCACTGCGGCTCGACATGTGCGTCCTTCATGACTGTCACCGCTAGCATCAAAAGCAGTGTGACTAGGTGAGTGATTTGGCGAGGCATTGCTGCCAAAGCAACCATTGTCTCTTTCACCACCACCAGATGCAGATCCTGAGCCATCAGGTGTTTCTCCTGAATATGAAGACGATGAGCTGCCACCACTACCACGTCGAGAATGCGACTTCTGTGCATCATGTTGTTCGATGCTAGAACCCGTTGCTTGCATGAAAATATGCTCCAAACAATCAATCATTTGTAGCAATGGCTCGTACGTGGCAAACGGTTGTTTCATCAAGATTGTGTGCATAAACTTATTACGAGTAGCATATCCCGTCCACTTGTCGTGCTTTTTCAAAATCTATATCGTCCACAATAGGAGAGAAAACATACACACAAACAAGTGAGCAATTAACATTTCGAGATAGTATAAAGCAGACAGATGAAAAAAAAGCTGTCAGGGGACGAACCGCCTGACTTGGCAAATGGGATCAACTAGGGCATCCAACCTTGGAGATACCGCAAAAATTCATCACAGCAAAATTCTCAAGCAAGAGAAGCTCTTTATACAGTGCCACACAATTTTTCATCAATGCTGTCTTGGCTTCTCCTAACGTCGGATTCGTCTGAGTATATAGCATAACAGCACCACCACCACCACCAACAATAACAAGACGTCAGTCAGCATCCATCATCTCTAACTCTCTCTAACCTTCTCTATCTGTCTCTAACCGTCTCTAACACTCTCAATTGATCCATTATCATATCCATTCCTTCATACCTTGAGCTGTTGGAAACTCGTATTAATAGCTAGGACTTGACTTGTATGTTTTGCTTGTTCTTTGATAAAGAAATCAGCAATTTTCTTAATTTCCATGCGTAACGTCCGAAAGAAATTCATTTCATCCTGTGATTGACCTATAGAATAGATGACCCAGGACAATTTCTAAATTAGTTGACGATTCAAAATAAAAATACATTTCTATTTCTAACCACACAAATCAATAGATGACAAACTACTAAACGTACGAATACTATCGTTATCTTCTTTGGCGGATGGTTTAATCTTAATCTTAATGAGTTTATCACCTTGTAATTTCTCCTCTTTCTTTATCTGTGCACAGTCTTTAATAATCTTCTTGAGCAATTTATAATCCGCCCAATAGATTTCCCAAGCACGTGGTGACATTTGTGTCGATTGTTGTAACACTTTGCCGAATTTCATGGTGTGTTTGTCTCTATCTTTTTCAAATCTGAAAAATTGTTACGGATAATAAATAAAATTATAACCACTGCGTTGGTTTTTTTTTGTTTTTGTTGACAATGTCGTCCGTGGGTTAGAGAATAGGTGTGTATTTTGTTTTCCGTCTGGTTTTTATTTTATTTGTTTGGAGAGCATACTGCTGCAACTGCCGAGGAGATTCAATGTAGCAAGAATGTTACAAATACTTTGTCGAATGCACCAAACCAAAAAGGATGAATCTTTGCGTCCTTTCTACGACCTCATCACAAAATGACTATAAACTCCAGTCTGGTGGATAAAATTTACCTAATACTGTACAAACAGCTTGTTTAGCGGCTCAGTTTTTGTCCTAGCGACACTTTTACTTTATCCAACATTGATACATCCACAATCCTGTGTTTTCGACGCTAGTAAATATTGGATGAGGAAGTTGCGGAGTGTCAAGTTGGTCAATATGAATTCTATATCTGCTTCGCTATCCACTTCTTGCATCACGTTATCGATGCATACATTTGCTGCAAAATATAGCAGGAAATACAAAACCAAACGTGAAAGTGACTGTAAATAATAATTTGTAAAGAACAATGCAACGCTAGAGATGCCATTTGTCCGTCGTCGCCTGTTGTGTCGGTTTGTCATGAAAAATCTGTCGTGAAAACTCATATTTTCTATGCGATTGAAGGGTGTATTGACAAAAAAATATCCAAACATTTGGATTTTTGCTACCTCAAAGAGTATCTTTTTTCTCTCGTATACTGCTCTTATATATCCGGTCATTACGACATGAATACGGCGGATCAGAAACGCACAAGCAGTGTAAGACGCTTTATTGTGCTATACTAGTAGCGACCCCAGATAGCCAGTACATACGCGTGTGTGTGACGAAGAAATCCTTGGCAATCTATAACTACAGGCATATATATATATATATATTGCACATGCATCGAGTCTATAAAATCTGTCATCTTTACGACATGTCCTGTATTTTAAAGTTATAAAGCTTATTGATAATTAATTACCCTATCGGAAGCAAAGAAAGAGAAACTGGGGGTTTTACTGCCTTTTTCTATGCATCCCGGTGATCAGCTGTAACTCTATATCCACGACACACCATATTCGTGATGCTTGAACTTCAACTTCGACATACTGGACTAACTAACTGTATATGAATCGATCCTTCAAGGTCCTTTCTCACCAAAGAAAGACCGTAAATCCAATCATATGATACATTAATGGCTGAGGTAGATATCGCCATCGTACAATCTCTTCATTTGCGTACAATGGGCCCTTAATTGCACCAAGTATCAACCACAATTGCTCCATTGTCCAGTCCTTAATCCATGACCATGATGACAATCCGCTTTTGTCTCTAGTTGTTACTCTCTCTTGAGGTCGGGCTAGAGCAAGTGGCAATGCAGACGACCCTGTTCTACAAAGATATCGTTCAAACACCGTCACAATGTTCGACTCTTCACGTCTGTTCATGTCCAATCTTCCTAGCTAGGCACTATCACTTACATTGTGGTCGTGTTTAATTCAATGTCTTCTTCTTCCAAAAGCCTCCGCACAATGTTCATTCGACTGTGTGTGTGACAGCGTAGAGCAATGCCGTCCAGCCCTCGCCCAACGTCACATTCACATCACCACGAGGGTCTGATGCAAGCCATGCATTGACACCATTCAAGTCTCCGTCTGCTGCCGCATCCAGAAACGCACGCTGCTTTTTGATACGCATGTGGCATCGATTCACTCTGACTCACTCACACACGTCACTACATCGAGGGATGTTCATGTCGTGTGGAGAGGGACAGTCAGGTTCAGGATTCAGAGCCAATCGTAATTGCTTCGTTACAATCGCTTCACGTGTCATGTGGTCCTAACCAACAACGGTCAGTATCTTCTTCCTCCTCCTTCTTGTTCCCGTCGCTCATTATTCATCATCATCATCATCTTCTTCTTCACTTGAGCCATTAATAAACTTTGACGACTGAATTATCTTAGCTGCTCGGGATCGAGGAGATAGCAGACTTTCTTCTGCACCAGACGACAGCGGTTGACTTGTGGTTTCATTGCTGTGTAGAATCGTTTCCATATGCGCACGCGATGTGTAGTTCGGAATGCGAGACCAAGTGCGCATACGCCACTTTGTCCAGACTATGACACCAAGTGCCACGCTCACAAGCAAAATGAGGATAGCTTCCGCGGTTGAGACATCGAAGTTGGGACTTTCTCGCTGCGTTGTCACATCGGCAGATGAACTGGTGGTTGGGTCGATACTGCCAACAGTAGCATTATCCGGTACTGGAGTTGCTGTTGGATTCATTAACACCACAGCCAAACTGTTGCTAGAGCTTACATTCGAACCGTTTGTCTCTCCAATTGCAATTGAAGCATTTGGTGCTGCAGTTTTGGATATGAACGGATCGACAGTATCCGGTGATTCACTAATTGTATTTACGTGAGCTTTCCCTACATACCATCATTGCCGTCAGCTTAGCTCATCAAGCATCATACGTAACGTATCAAGTCATACTATCGTACCACAATGTGACTCTGCAAAGCCGACACGCTGATTTTCCGCATCAAATATCACGTCCAAACCAATCATAACACTTGCACCCAAAACTATGAAAGCGACGAGATATTAGAAGCTGGCAGGTATACAACACGAAAAGCAATTGAGCTTCTTACCTCCACCACTACGCTCTGAAAAATGAAGATTGCCGTAGTATGACACACCGTCATGAGATGATATGAGATATTTTGACGCAGGGACATCAAGCTGTATGTCATCACTGCCATCTCCTTTCATTCCAGAGAGTACAATCGAAATAACTGGGAGACGTGCCAACTCATCCTGAGAAAGTTTCATAACTTTCTCACTGTAATCTCGACCGCCTGCAGCATGTCGAAACGCTTTCATAAATCGGCGATTTCCTCCAGCGTCAAAGAATGTGTCCGTTGTTCCGCTATCAACAATCACACCTTTGCCGGAATTGATCGTTTTCTCGTCAATGCCTAATGACACTCCGTTCACCAAAATATCCCTTACGTGGACTAGATACGTAACAGAGTGTTCGTTAAGCAGCGGCGTGTAACTCACACCACTCGTGTGGTGGCTGTAATCCACTCCTCCAAATGTGAGCTCACCTCCATCTCCAGCAAAGCACAGAGTGAATATATCATGTTTCACACGACCTGCCTTCAGCATGTACGACATGACGGTCGAGTGATGACGCCCAAGACCCATAATGCCATTCTCCTGTTGAGTAACAAACAGACCAGTCTCTTTGGTCTGACAGCCAACTGGAAATCGAAACCCAAATGTTTTCATCACTCCTTCGACTTCATCACTAAGTGATGCTAATCCTCCCAACCATATCAACTCATCGATCATAACAGCTTGCCACATGCTGCCTTCCACGTAGTTCTATTTTCATTCACAGCAAACGACACATTAGTCACAAAAGTTATTCTTATTACGACGCTCACATTATTACAAGCACGTAGGCATCATCTCGTTACCTGATTAACATAGCAACGTTCTTGTTCACACGAACGGCATGAATCAAAATCATTGCAAGCCAAGTATGTTGCCGTCGTTGACTTGGATACATTATACGGCGGGTCCGTGTGTTTTCCACAGTCATTGCACGTGATACAAGGCAATGCTGTAAAATGACTTCCAGTATCGACAATCACTGAAGCACGTTGTGCTGGAATACCCAAGTACATTTCAGCGTAGTGAGTCCTGTCGAGCGTCATCAGGCATTAGATTGTTACTAGACTCTTCATAGTTAGTGTACTTCAACAATCAATCAACACGTACCCATATCCTACACCCAAATAAGATTCACTCAATGCAAATTCACCCGATACAAAGTCCGTATCTCCTTTATCGATATCGTCTAGTGCTCGTCGACGAGCTCGCGTTTGCTCACTGCGTGACTGCTGTTTTGTATGCAGCTGTAGCTTCATCATACTGTACTCTTCAATTGCTACAATACACGTATACAAATACATTGCGAGCATGAATATAGCAAGCAATACACGCCCAGAGCGCGCTCGAGATGCTGCGCTTCGACGCATTATTCGTATTATTGTCTTCACAATGACAAGAGATCTATTTATAACCAATGAGAACGATCGTGATTTTAACACATGGCTACATGATTCAATATTCAAATATCTTCTGAAAATACATGTTTTAAGCAGGTTTATACTTTTTATACATTCAAAGTCGCTCCAATATACCATTGTCCACCACCGTCGACTCCTCCTGTATTGGTTTTAGGTCAAAAACCTCATCGTCCTCCTCTTCCTTGCTGCTGCTGCTCGCATGATCCTCTTCGTCTTCCTCTCGATCCAAACGCTCGTGCTTTATTGATGGTTGCTTCTTGTCATGGTGGTGAACAAGACCAAACTCTTCCTCGTCGTCGTCTTCTTCATTTTCCTCGTCGCTCTTGACGCGGCTCCATAGCTGATCCTTAGCGGCCTTTTGTCTCCGGCGACTCACTGAAATTAGCAGCATCACCAGAAAACCCACCACCAAGATAGTACCGACAACCGAGAGTACCACTGGATGAGTTCCTGATAACTTTTCCTTTGACTTGGAGTCCCCCATAGCAGCCGAAGAGGAAGAAGTAGGTACCATTGTTGTCTGTCCCGATAATGGCTCAATCTGCGAGTCGGCAATACTTGAAACATTGTTCAGGGCTGAACTATTCGTGACCACTGCTGTCAGAGGTGTCGCTCCAGCAGTCGTTGTTGGCTCAGTAGCAACTGGAACAAGTGCCGAAGTCGACTCTGCTGTAGCAACCGGCTTTGATATAATGGCAGCGGGCGTGGTGGCTGTCGGCACTGCACCGGCAGTTGGTGAAGAGATGTCAGTGGCAACGGACGTGGGGGCTGTCGGCACTGCACCGGCAATTGGTGCAGAGATGTCAGTGGCAACGGACGTGGGGGCTGTCGGCACTGCACCGGCAATTGGTGCAGAGATGTCAGTGGCAACGGACGTGGGGGCTGTCGGCACTGCACCGGCAATTGGTGCAGAGATGTCAATGGCAACGGACGTGGGGGCTGTCGGCACTGCACCGGCAATTGGTGCAGAGATGTCAGTGGCAACGGACGTGGGGACTGTCGGCACTGCACCGACAATTGGTGCAGGGGTGTCAACGGTAGACGTGGCACTCGGTACACCAACAATCGTGACCGTTCCTTTCTCCTTTCCTTCGCTGATATTTGTAGTTTTGTTGCTAGCAGATAAATCCGCCGTCGAGTTTCGATCCCCCTGATAGGCGCAGTCAGCATCCACAAATCCCACGCGCTGGTTACTGATGTCAAAAATTACGTCTCGGTTCATCATCAGGTTAGCGCCAATAACACCACCAGAGTTTTCCGTCAAATAAAGGCTGCTACAGAAAGCACCATTCATCTTTGTCAGATACTGCTCGGGTGGAATGTTCAAAACAACTTCCCCATTTCCATCTCCGTGAGCTTCCATTACGAGCTGAATCGATGGCAATGACGCCAAATCATCATTGGTATAGCCTCGGCACGAATCGCCCACCCGATAATCACGGCCTGATACTTCCTTGAACATCGCCATGAACTCAGTTTGTAGCAATCGTGGTAAATAAGAATCTGTCGTTCCACTGTCCACAATAAAGTGCCCACGAATGAAAGCCTCCTCCGAAGCGTTAATCGATTTGCCACCAATTCGAACATCCTTTACGTGAACATCGTAGAACTCTCTGTTGTGCACAATAAAATAATTAGTGAGTAGCCCAGGATTGGTAAGACAACACAAAGCTCCCATACCCAGCAGAACGGTCCGAAAGTACTTTCGCATACGAAATCTCACCACGGTGTGCCGATAAGTGTGGCTGGCCGATAGACATGGTGCCTCCGTTTTCAAGGAAGCACAGCGAGAAAAGATTGCTTAAAATCTTATTTTCGCGGTGCAGTTTCGCTACAATGTGCTTGCCCGTATTCGACAGCCCCATAATACCATCTGCCACCTGCGTAAGAAATAATCCCGTCTCTGATTTCTGGCAGCCAAACTGGAAATACGTGCCATATTGGTCGCGCATCGTCATGTCTTCAAAGCTCGAGTCTCCACCCAAGTACACAACATCCTCAACCACCGTCGCCTTCCAGCTACTTCCTTCCTGATACGTCTGCGAAACTGTGCACGTGTTTGACGTCACTCCACAATCCTTACACCTAAATGAAGATAATTCCGCGCATGGGACGTAAACCAACGTTGAAGAGTTCTTTGCAGCAAAAGGTTGGTCTGTGTGATTGCCACAACCATCACAATCTGAGCACGGGAAGGCCATAAATGCACTACCCGTGTCCACAATAACCGATGCTCGCTGCGGTGGCGTGCCTGCATAGACCCATGTATAGTGCGTCCTATACCAATTACACATTACGTCACCTTTTTTCCTATCTCTATTGATGAACAACAATACAGTCAAGATAGCAACAAACATACCCAAATCCTAGATGCAGTGGTACAAGTTCCATCATGCCGTCTTCAGTGCTCAATCGTCTCATATATCGGTCCGAATGGATGTTATGCTTTGGCAGACGATGAAGTTCCAAAGTCATACTGAATGCCAGTGCTGAGAGCGTCGAGATGAACGCTAATAGCATTAGAATACCATTACACGTGCATTTCATCCTATACGAAGCGCCTAGAGTTAATGAAGAGAAGATGCAGATGCAGTAGCTGTAGCCAGCGTAATAAACTAAAGTGGCGTGTGGAGGATGATGGATTGATACTACGTGGCAGGCGTTTATTTAGGACTGACGGCCTTGGACTCAAATGATGTGAAACAGAGTACCCAATTTTGGGGTTCAAAATTTGGTTTATTGGTCTATTAACTTTCACTTACAAATGACCAAAAAAAGAAGTCGGTTGCTCAATCAGAGCTCCGACGATTTTCGCTATTGTCATATTTGACAATAATTTACAACTTCAACTTACGACGACGACTGTACATAAAGTGAATATTTGTTGTCATTACATGAATTTTACGTGCAATGCTATACTATCGTATAGTCACGCTGCAACGCGTATACCAACGTATAACAGTACAAAAGCCGCGTACTAATGAATTGTAGTAGGCAATACATGGCAAGTTCAAAGATATAAACGCGCCAACTAGAGGTGGTCTATCTTGTCGTTCCCGCCATCTTCAGACATCCAACCAATTTGTTCGGTCCTTTCCCGTGTACAAGCAGGTTTCTCTGACCCATTTTTTCAAGTACAAATCACGGTTAAGCGCTAAACGGGTTCATCACTTTCCAACCCGTACCTCTTTGTGTGTGTCATTTGCCATTTGGCCATTAAATTGCCACCAGTGAAAGTCTGTTTTTTGGGTGATTTAACATTTCCGTCTGGGTCTTTTAATACACGCTTAGTGTAGGATGAAGTATCTAGTAGTGACGGGCGGTACTGTGAGTGGACTGGGTAAAGGTATCACCATCAGCAGTATTGGTGTTGTGCTCAAGTCGCTAGGACTGCGTGTCACGTCCATCAAGATTGATCCGTACCTTAACTGTGACGCTGGGACCATGTCCCCATTCGAGCACGGCGAAGTGTTTGTACTCAATGATGGTGGTGAAGGTGATTTAGATTTGGGCAATTACGAACGTTTCTTGGGCATTACGCTCACGCGCGATCACAACATTACTACAGGTAAAGTGTACACGCACGTGCTCGAGAAGGAGCGTCGTGGCGACTACTTAGGCAAGACGGTACAAGTAGTACCACACGTCACGGATGCCATTCAGGATTGGATTGATCGTGTTGCTCAGATTGGTGTGGATGGCATTCACGCCGGTGAAACGGGCGCTGTAGGTAATGAAGCTGCGGACGTCTGTTTGATTGAAGTCGGCGGTACTGTTGGTGACATTGAAAGTATGGTGTTCCTTGAAGCGCTGCGGCAATTCCAGTTTCGGGTTGGGCCCGAGAACTTTTGCCTCGTGCACGTTTCATTGGTGCCAGTCCTGGGCTCTGTGGGTGAGCAGAAGACAAAACCCACGCAGCATGCCATCAAGGAGCTTCGCAGTGCTGGTCTAACGCCTGACGTAATCATCTGCCGTAGCAGCACGGAGCTGGAGCCTGCAACTAAGGCAAAGATTGGGATGTTCTGCCAAGTTCCGGCCAACCACGTGCTTTCGGTGCACGACGTGAGCAACATCTATCATGTGCCGCTACTGCTTGCCAAACAGGGTGCCGCTAGTATTCTGATGTCAAAACTGCAGCTAATGGACCGCTTCAGCGAGCCAGATCTTGCGGCTTGGTCTGCCATGGCTCATCGCGTTGACTCGTTCGAGCAGGTGTGCAAGATTGCTCTCGTCGGCAAGTATACGGGTCTACAGGACTCGTATCTGAGTGTCATCAAGGCACTCAAACACGCCACGATGAAGTGCAACTACGATCTTGAGATCGAATGGATTGAAGCCAGTGATCTGGAAGTAGAAATGCGTGAGAGCAATCCCGACGCCTATGACAAGGCTTGGAGCAAGTTACGTAGCGTAGACGGTATCGTGGTTCCAGGTGGTTTTGGTGACCGCGGTGTCGACGGCAAGGTGCTCACGGCTCAGTATGCTCGTGAAAACCGCATTCCGTATCTTGGGGTGTGTCTGGGAATGCAGGTTGTCGTCATTGAGTACGCGCGCAACGTCATTGGCTGGAAAGGTGCCAACAGCGAGGAGTTTAATGCTGATGCCGAACACAAGGTGGTTGTTTTCATGCCCGAGATAAACCCGGAGGTCATGGGTGGTACCATGCGCTGCGGTGAACGCCGCACGATTGTGCACGAAAAAGAGGACCCGGCAAAGCGTTCGCTGGTGTCGTATTTGTACGGCAAGGACAAGCCAATTCTAGAGCGTCACCGTCACCGTTACGAGGTCAACCCGGATCTTGTGCCCGCTATCCGTGAGGCAGGCCTCAACTTTGTCGGCACGGACGAGAAGGGTGAGCGTATGCAGATTGTCGAGCTTGATCGTGATGTGCATCCGTTCTATTTTGCTACGCAGTACCATCCTGAATTCAAGTCGCACCCAAACGATCCGTCACCGCCATTTTACGGTCTGATTCTTGCAGCTACGGGTCAGCTCTCCCAGTTTATGAAGGACGTTGAGGCCAAGGAGCAGCAGTCATAAGCGAGTGCGCTTGGATAGGTTGAGCTATGCGTACTGCAACGCAAAGCTAGTGAGCAGAGCAAGTGAGGCGTACACTGATTTCTTGATTTGTGGAACAGCAGATTTGCGTGTGCATAGGCTAAAATATTGATTTGGAACTCCTCCTTCTGCTGCTGTTGCCTTGTTTTTCCTTCGTCAAAGGAGAACGGGGCGAAGCTCCCTTGGTGGGGCTTCATAATCAGCAATCTGACACATACATAGACACGTAAGTAGAAAGACACTATAGACAATATAAACATTATTTAATGATTGCGACGGACAAGTAAATGATCATATGCCGAGTTGTAACTGATGTAGCCATGTTTACAAATGCAGAAGATAAGTACATTTGTTTGTGAGCTACAGTGTGTTTTTTTCAGCGAATCAAATTGCTTCGAGTGGCATTAACGTCTTGAATGACGATGTCTAGAGAGCTCCAAGAGGCGATAGATGGCTTCTTCCTAGCAGCTGAATACGGTCGCTCCGACGTCATTAAAGCACTAGCTGATCACAGTCGTGGTAGACTGTCATTAGGCGATGTGGTGGATCCCGTGACCGGTCGCTCGCCTTTGCATGTGGCTGTAGCAAACGGCAAGAAGGACGCACTTCGAGTTCTTTTATCCAGTGGCTTTCCCCCGGATCATCAGAGCAAGAAAAAGCAACAGGAAGATAATAGAAACTTATCTGCATATGGATTAGCTCAAGATCTACAGGCTCAGGATTTATTGTTGGTGTTCCACCAGTTTCTGATCCAACAAGTAGCTGCCAACAATGTTAATAGTGTGAATCAATTGCTTGTAGCAGGAGTGGATGTAAGCATTACAGATGCAACTACAGGAGGATCATTACTGCATTGGGCGGTGTCATGTCAAGCTGTGGACGTGATGAAGGATTTGTTGGAGAAAGAAGATGTGAAGAAATTGAAGCTAGTAGATGCGCGCAATAGAGAAGGTGCTACGCCGCTACACTTGGCTTGTCATGCAAATAACGTGGAGTGTGTAACGATTCTACTGGCACATCATGCCGATGTGAATGTGAAAGGTGACGAGGGCTTTAGTAAGAATAAAACGGCATCTGAGCTGACCACGAAGCCGGAGATTATGGAATTATTCTCTCGACGATGCGAGGAATGTAGCAGCAATGACACGATATCTCTCGTGGATGATGACATTGGCAACAAAAGCAATGTCAAAAAGAATGAAGGGAAGTTCTGCTTATCAGCAGCAGCTGCATGTGAACAAGAAGGACCAATGGCGTGCATACACAAAATCCAGAGTGGAAAACTATTGTTGCAGCTTGAAGAGAAGGATCTGCTAGTGAATCAGCTAAAAACTACCATTGAAACACTTGTGCAAGAATTGCAGGAAGTCCAAATGCTTGGGGAAGAGCGTGTGATGCTGGATTATGTCCGAAAGCTGCGAGACGAGAAGATGACTATCCAAAGGCAGCTGGAGGACGCCGATGACTACATTAACGACCAACAGCAACAGTTGAACAGTTTGAAGGAGCAAATACGGCAAATGTCTACTGTCGGCAGTAAGGTACGCAACAGCAGAATTAAACGCTGGCATTGCGTGGGTGGTTTCTTATGACTACTTTTTTGTGTGCAGTTTGAGACTGACCACGACATTCTCTCTCATACTAGTGACGGCACCACTAGTAGTAACGCAGGTTGCCCTCCCGATAATATTGAGACGAAACTGGGCGTATCTGGATTGCATCAACTTGAAAAGCACCTTGATGAAGAGTATACAGGGCCCACAAGGAATTCTCAAGCAGAAGCGCTGAAGTTGGATGCGTGGACGTCAACGGCGCAACGTAAGCAAACAACCTTTCATCAATACGCTCAAACGCATGGTTCTGACACCTGGAGCGCTGTATGGCACGATATCTGGACAGGAACTAGTCAGATGACACATGATGAAGACGAAGAAATCATTATGACGGTGTAGACTTAGTGATGAATGAATTGAATGTATTTCAATGCAAAGATAAAGACGATTAATAGCTGAGTTGGAGAAAGAAGCAGCTACGAGTGAGAAGCAGCTGCTGTCATTGAGAACCAGCTGTCATTGTGCATTGGTGGTGCTGCTTGTCGATACAGTCCGAAAGTAGATCTCAGGATATGCAAGTGATTCGAGTCGTCATCTCGTTTTCTATTTCAAGGTTTAGAACACGACAAAAAGCTTTGCTTGGTGCAACATTTATATGATGCTTACAACAATCGAGTACAACAGTACTAACGAAATATAAATACCGGTATGATCAAATACCAACTGAAACGGACCTAAGACGGCACCTATCTCTGTCTCACTCTTGAATTGACTGTTAAAAGCGTACTTATGTCAAAAATGATCGCACCAGGAGCAGCAGTTCAGTATATACGACAGCGATCAATTCAGACGCTTAAGGCCTACGATAAGAGCGAACACTGTTTATTGGTCATCGGTGGCAATGGTTTTGTTGGTAGTAACATCTTACAACGTGCGGTTCAAAAAGGCATTGAAGTGCGTAGCCTCAACCCATCGGGTAAACCACAATGGCAGGACGTGCCCTGGATTGATCAAGTGGACTGGCATAAAGGCAATGTTTTTAATGACGAGCAGCTGTCCAAGGCCGTAGAAGGTGTTACGGGTGTCAGTACGTTATATACAAATAGTCAGTCCTTGAAGGTTATATCGATCTGTACTGATACATCGATATACATCACTGATGATGGAATTCTTTTTGGTCATTAGTCTCGACAGTTGGTGCATTCGGTAACAAAGAATTTATGGAGAAAATGTGCGGAGATGCAACAATTCAAGCAGTTGAAGCCGCGCAGAAAGCGGGAGTAGAACGTTTTGTGTTTGTATCGAATTCTCGTGTTGGTTCTTATAACCCACCATGGCTGCCATTGTATGGTTACTACCATGGTAAAGAGAGAGCAGAGGCTGCTGTGCAGGCGAGGTGAGTGTCTTGGAACAGATTTGGGTTGATTTCTTTGTGCTAATTTTCATGTGTGAGAATCATGTGGAAGGTTTCCAAATACAGGAGTATTACTGCGTCCAGGTTTTATTTATGGCTGGCGTCGCACAGCAAAAGGTCGAGGTGTTCCGCTACAACTTGTTGGAACGCCTTTGTCAATGCTTGCACGTGATCTTGGACCGATTTCAACTGCACTGAGTTGTGTGCCGTTAGTTGGTGATGAGATACGAGCTGCTATTCCTGTTGATGCAGTTGCGAAAGCGGCAGTGCTCAGTGCTATTGGTTCTGTTCACGGACAGACGCTCGACACAACCAATATGCTTGAAATCGCCGCCTCGTTTCATGTCCATGAGTAGGCGCGAGACGAGTAGCACGACGTCAAAATGGTCAAGAACAAATGGAGGTAGCTAAGAAGTCAAATATTAACGCATTTAAGCTTTTATTGTGCTGGCGTGTAATTTATCTTCTCGCCATCATTTGAGCCATGTTCTGTTTCTTGCCATCATGTGAGCTATGTACTTCATGCCTGTGACGCGGATTCTTTCTTGCTCTAGTCACCGCTGCTCTAGTATCCATTCAAGAATCTATATTACTGTCATGGGAAGTACCAAAAGTTTGGTCATCGTCCTATGTGCACAATCCCTACTTCGTTTTTGCACTCCTATCTGCTGCTTGAGTAATTCCTTCTTCGTGTACAGCCGTCAGACCCGCAGATTCTGAAGCCGCCATGTTGGAAACGCGCGTTCGACATCTTGGTACTGTCACCAAGTCATAAATCGAAATTCAACTGCTTACTATCTCATCATCTCGAGCGACGATGGTAGTAGATCAATGTCGATGGATGCAACAAATGGGAGCCAAAAGCGTTGAGTCATGACCGCTAAACACGACTCGCGATGGAGTGGCAATTCTTTCTTGCTCAGCTTTGTGACAATTACCTCCCTGTTCAATTCACACTGGACGGTCTTGAGAACAGTCTCACATGAACTCTTACTCACACTGTACATCGGTAATAGACAACATGTTTTGATCAGCATGAGAAAGCGGCCGCAGGTTTTTCACTCGCATGGACGGATCCAACTTCGTTGCTGGAACTTGCTATCGATTTCGCCCTTGTCCGGCATTAGTACAGAACCAATGGCAGATAGAATTGCGCCGTTTTTGCCGTCAAATAGATCCTTGACAGCGCTTGAAGCCTTAGCCTATTGAAAACATGCTGCCCGGACTTGTTGAGAAAAGTCCATCAATTGGCAGCAAATATAAGGTACAGATGCATGTAGTATACACATAATTCTGTTGTGTGTGCGAGTATGCTGACACTCGTTTGTGCAGGTTGAGGTCTTGGTGAAGGTATTCGATGCGAATTGCATTGATTGCATTTTCTATCGCTTGAAAGACGGATCAACCAAGACTGACGATCCGCTCGCGATGAAGACATTTGTTCATGTTGAGAATCCAGAAACGTTTTGTTTTTGTCTGAGGTGGAAACACAATTACAACGACGTGCTCTGGAAGAGCTACTCTATATGGCTCCAGCGGTCGATTGAGTAGAATAACTATATAAGACTTCAGCGAGAATCCGTGAGTTGTAGCTTTTAAATCGTACGTTACGAACTGCACTAGGTGTTGTCCTTACAAAAATAGAACTATGACCACCAGAAATGGCTAGCTCTTCCAATAGCTGCATTAGGACTCTATTTATGATGAGCATCGTTTGGCTGATGATAACGCTCTTCTGCACAAATTGTAAGCAAACGTTCCTCAATTGATAATAATATTTTCCATTTTTTAGAGGTAATATCATATTTGTTACAAAATTATTATCGTTTGTAAAATATTCAATTCTAGCATCTATTCATTTACAAACTGTTGAAGCTGGAACGTTGAAGGGGAAGAGGGAGCGGAGAGACTGGAGGAAGCGGAGTATGAAACACTTGATCAGTTGAATGAAGATTCGAAAGTGATTGAGTTATCGGAGGTTATTCTTACTACTGCCTGATTTATATGTGGACCACATATAAATCAGGCGACTGTTCACACCAATGATTTATATGTGCTCCACATATAAATCAGGGATCTTCCAATCAACCTGCTCGTCTAATCAACTATGACGTAATTACCGTAAGAACTTTGCCGTATATACTTACCCTTGGAGTTTGGATCGGATTGTCAATACGCCCCTCAATGCAAACTCTCATGAATCCCGAGCGCCGCTGTCATCTCTCTGTGACGCGGTCCGTGAAGTCCCTTGATCACGATGTCCGCTAACATGATTGAAGTCTCACAGTACTCCAACTTGACTTCGCCACGCTTGACCTCATCACGGATGTGATGGTACTTGATATCGATATGATTGGCTCGACCATGATTCATCGGATTCTTCGTCATCTTGATACACGACTGGTTGTCCTCGAGTATGATGAGGTCTAGTCCCGATTCGTTAGCCACCCTCAGAATCTCGCACAACAGACGGTGGATCCACTTGACTTCCTGGATGGCCAGACTTAGCGCGATGTATTCCGCTTCACTTGTCGACAGTGACACGCTTGACTGCTTCTTGCTTCCCCAACATATGGGTGTACCGAGAAGCACGAACGCGTAACCCGAAGCTGACTTGCGATCAGTATGGTCGCCGGCCCAGTCCGCATCAGAATATCCGCGAAAGTCGATCTTGCCGGTCGGCTGATAGCGAATGCCATGTGACTTGGTACCTTATAGGTAGCGAAAGATGCGTCTTACTGCCATCCAGTGTTCTTGCTGGGGATTATTCATAAAGCGAGACACATAACCCACAGCATACGCGATATCTTTGCGCGTTGCAGTCATCAAATGCATTATAGCACCAACCGCTTCGCGAAACGGAGCACCCACCTTGGTCGCGGTACTGCTAGGCACTATTGGAGAGCTTAGATCGACCGGACTTATGGCAGCCTTGCACTCGCTCATGCCAAAACGCTTGAGAATGCCATCGATATAGCGTCGCTGGCACATGTTGACACTACTATCAGGTTCCTCTATCAGCTCGATTGTAACGGGGTTACACGAAGGTGTGTATTTTACATACACATCTGCCACACCAATGTGGTGTGGCTGTACCTTGGGTACAAGTAGGTGATGTGTCCGTACCTGAAGTACGAAGGATCGCATCGTGGCAGAGAGCCACGTGGTCACTATACTTAGTTAAAGTATAGTGACTATGCATATTTGCATGACAATAAAAGGCTAGAGCCAGTAATAGTGACTAGCACTAAGTATAGGATAGGTGCTTCTATATTTAGTGTTAGAAGATAAACATAAATATAAATTAGTTTCAAACCTACTCTACAAGCATCACTGCTTGAGCGTACTATTCCTCCTGATGAATCAAGTGTCTTTGATGCTAGTCTCTTTGAGTCGCGGTTGTAACAACCGATAGGCACAAGCTTACGAGTTAGCCTAGGAGGGTTAAGCACCCTAAGACGTAAATGCTCTCTGAGCTTGTCTTCCTCTGCACATAGTGCATAAGTAGCGTAGCTACAGTAGCTCGGCTACATTGATGCCCAAAACAAATGTGCACTTGCCGCTGTCGGTCATCTCGAAACGCATCTTGAGATCACTCTTGGTCTGTGCAATCAGGTCAATTGAACTTCTCGAAACGCATCTTGAGATCACTCTTGGTCTGTGCAATCAGGTCAATTGAACTTCCTGTTACCAGAACGTCATCCACGTATACCAGCAGCAGCACGCAGTGACCATCCGCAACCTTGATGTACAAGCATGAATCAAATGCCAATACTTGAAATCCAATTGAGCGAACAAACTTGTCGAAAGTCTCGTTCCAAACGCGCGAGGCTTGTTTAAAACCGTAGATTGCCTTCACCAATTCCAAACAGTCAAAGTCACCATTCATCTCAACGCCTTCTGGAATGACGCAAAACACTTTTTCCTTCATTACTCCATACAGGAATGCTGTAACCACGTCAAGCTGGTCCAGAGGCCAGTCGAAATACTTAGTGATCGCAAGAACCTTGCGTAAAGTCACATACTTCACCACCGGCGAGAACGTTTTTGTATAGTCGATGCCGTATTTCTTCTTGAATCCCTTCGCAACAAGACGCGCGTTGAACTTCTCGATCGATCCATTCGCCTTGCGCTTGATCTTGAACACCCAGTTAAAATCGATGGCGCACTGGCTGCTCGGCAATTTTGCAGCACGAAAGACACCACGATGCTGCATCGACTCGAATTCCGCTTGAATGGCTTTGCGCCAATGCATTGATTTGGTCCACTTATCGCATCTTGGAAAGTTGCAGGTTCCGCCAAATCACTTACTTCAGCTGCGTTCGCACTAGCACGCCAAAACGCTGAAGGCTTGGAGTCATTATCTTGATCGCTCATACCCTATTTCTCTTCTTCTTTATCATAGTCTGGCACCTCTCGACCATTTGACGACTTCTCTGATGACAATATACAAGGCATCTGGCGCACTTGCTTCTTTCAACCCAGTGTGCGGACGAGCAGAGCGCACAATATTGTTGTTAGGCCGGGATTTGCGCTTGCCTGTCTGCCTATTGTTGACTTGACGCACATCATCGTCGTTGATCTCGGGACGATCCAAGTTCAACATCGCATCATCGACTGCTTTACTTGATGGTTCCATTGAAAATCCAAACGTCGATTCATCAAAATTTACATCGCGAGTGATCACCACTTGTCCAGCTTCGACATCAAACACTCGATATGCTTTCGACACTTCTTCATACCCCATGAAAATGTCAACACGACCCTTGGGGTACCACTTGAGAGCTTCTCACTTGGCGTCAGAATGTAGGCTTGGCATCCAAAAACACGCATGTGTTTGACGCTTGACTTGGACTGGCACACGATCTCAAAAGTTGTCATGTTGAAGACCTTGGTCGACGGCAGACGATTCTTCACGTAGGTTGCCGTGATTGCTGCTTCTGCCCAAAACCACTTGTCCAATTTGGCACGATGCAGCAAACTGCGTCCGATTGTCACGATGGTTCGGATGCGCGTTCTTCAGTGCCGTTCGTCTGATGCGCATACGGAGCTGTTGTCTGCTGCTCGATACCTTAATCTTCGTAAAACGTCTTGAGCGAGCTGGTCGCAAATTCGTGAGCTCCATCATGACGAACAAACGTGACTGTCTTGCCAAATTGAGTGTGGATCTTGGTGATGTAGCTCTTAATGACGTTCTCGATCTCAGAATTGGCTCGCAAATAGAAGCCCTTTGTGCAACCACTAGCTTCGTTCACAATCAACAGCAAGTATTTGCTGCCGCCGATTGAGACTTCTTCCACCGGGCCACAGATGTCGAAGTGGATCAGCTCAAATGTGTCGTGGCGACGCTTGTCAA